AACGCAAAAAGCTGAATATTTTCAGCGTTTTACGTCATTTCAATTACATATTTTGCTTCGCCAATCAGAATGCGCAACGTAAAATGCAAAACGTAAAAAGTTTGGTTGTGAACGCCGCTTTAATCCCAAAGTCCCCGCTTGGGCTCCTCTACTATAAATGAATACTGCAATAAAGGAGGAAGTATTTTCGTTCGTGAAAATGAATTCCTATGGCGTGAGATATTATGATTGAATAGTTACGACCATTGTACGTGTGATGATAATTGCTTTGAAATTAGTGCCCTGATAGAAATTACGGTGTGAAATTAGCAGGCAATGTTTTGCAGTTTAATTAGGTATATGAATCCATGTGTATGGTATGCTCTCATCATAAATCACAAAATAAATACAGAGTGGTATGGCAGGGAAAATTTCACTGACTGATATTTTGAGAACGGTTATAGGGAACGAATTCTTCATGTCTAGAATCTAGAAAAGAACTTTATTCTTATTTTTTTGTATAATATTCCACTACTTTCAAGATGCTAGGTTCTGATTGGTTGATAATCGAAAACACTATGTTTTCATTTGGCTGTTGATTGAGTACTGGGTACCTACATGGCATGTTTTTGTGTTTCCTCATTAGCATAGTTTGATGAAGAATAAAACGATAAATTACCAGCAACAGGTTGTCATACATGTAATAATATTTGAATCAAACATTTTTATACCAATTTCGTCTGATCAGCATTTCGAAGAAACAATAGAAATCTATCTGAATGCACAGAGTGGACCACATTTTGGGCACATTTTGTCCCACTTCATAATATGATATAAAGTTCATATTCAATACACATACTTGATATCCTCAGAAAATAATCAGGAGTTCCTTTTACATCTACATTCTCCGTCCATTCTCGGTGTCCATTGATTGGGCAATTATGGTGAATACTTCTGTGCATATTCGCCAAAATTTTCATTGGGACCTCCGCCACTTATCCAAGTCTGTATCTTTCGCCAAAATATTCGATTTTTTTATTATGGCGGATAACTTAAAATGTTCGTCTGTTTACTTTCTGTACAGATTGAACAGACCTGAGCTCTATTATAAGAGAAAGAAAAAAGGTTGGAAAAATCTGAAATAATGTTCATGAATGGGGTTGGGTGAGGTCGATCTAAAGCCAACATAAAGAAACATACCTGTATTCTGATAAACTTCAGGAAAGCTTATTGATGGATTTAGTGGGGAAAGAAGTTATTAATTTATTTCATACAAAATATTCTAAATACAGGACCTCACCAGGAAGAAACAAAGAAACAATTTTTTTTCTTGTTACTTCTTTCTCTCTTTCCTTTTTCATTTTTCCAGCTTTTTTCTCATTTTTTGCCATCATTCCAATCTCCTCCGCTTATCGAGATTTTACTAGTTTTTTAGAAACTTCTTTAAAACTCGTTGAAAAAAAATCATATTTCAAAAAACCCTCATATTTCGAAAATTAGCCCTCGTCTTCGACTCGATGATCGAAAAAATCTCCGGAAATAATTTGATCTCTAGTGGTATTACAAGTGACAAACAATTCCTTAGTCAAGTTTCATTTTGTTTTCAACAAAAAAAATTATTTCGGCTGCACCCTGTGGTGAATATAAGACACGCCAATGCATGATATCAGAATTTTCTATCGAAAAAAGAACTTATCTAGCACCGTTGAACTAATGGCGGCAAATTGTGCGGTTCTGGTCTGGCAGCAAAAATGGCGCCTGCAATTTTATTCATATCCCGATGATTGTCATGTCTCGATCGCTCAGAGGATTTCCTGTCTTCCATAATGCCTGTCTTTGATCGAAATCGAATGCTTAATATACATGACATCGGCAGCGGAATTCACAAATTAGAATAGAACCGTTGCACATCGATCACGTGGGGTATTTGTATTGATACATCAAAATTAGAACATCAAAGTGAAGATATGGGCCTTTGAAGACTAGTTGATTATAGGATAGGTCATTGTGCATGATTTCATGGATATAACTGGTACATACAGGGTGTGTCAATTTGAAAACGTACCACACGTCCGCACCCTGAATATCTCCCTATAGAAAATATAAAAATATTCAAGATTACAACCTAAGCTGGTTTATAAATGAATTAAGTACATCAGCACTCTAGCGAGGTTTTACCTCACTTATAGAAAAATCTGGTGAAAATGGTGAACAAGTTTGATATTATCAATTAAATTTCATTCTATTCAATACATGCTCAATCGGATTATTTCAGGAGACAATACACTAATGAATAGTGAATATCTTTCGGTCATAGCTCTCCAACAGCTTCTTGGATTCGTCTGATCCTTTCATGGAATATTCCGCTACTACTCTCTAATCGACTGACTTAATTAGAATCCGGAAAATCCAGGACCGTTCTTAAAAAATGTTGATAGTTTATAGCAAAAGGTTCATCCTGTATATCGTGTTTGTAAACTGTGAGAGGGAATGTTCAGAGGTCACACACAAACATAAGGAATAAAATATTCCAAATTTTCCTCACACTTTTACTGCAGTCTGAAAAAACTATGAATATTATGAAAAAAAGAAAATTGGGCAAAAAATGTATTTATTTGGAAATTAATACTTCGCAACCCATGAATTTCACGAATAAAAGTGAGACTTACATTATGGAAATCAATATGTTCTTTCATTTCCAGGCCTGAATTTCATCATTTCATTTTTTATGGAGGGTAATGATCACCCTGTATATCTTATTCAAATCAGTGGATGGGGTATATGTGGAAATTTTGATGGCCATCGCTATAAATAATTTCATGATTTCAATTCACAGTTTCATCTTTTCGATTTGTTAATTGTGAAATTCATGCGTTGCGAAGTAATTCTTTTCGAATGAATTTTGTTATAAAACTTTCGTTTTCACTTATAATTTATCGTTTTTTGAAAAATTCTGTGAAAGTGGGAGGAGCATTTTGAATATTTACAGGATGAACTTTTTGATAAAAACTAAACTATCGAAATTTTTCAAAAACGGACCTGGATTCTCCCGATTCTGGAAATATGTGCAAAGTTATGCCCAAAATATGTTTTTGCCAAATCTCATAATTCACCCTATATATTGGTTAAAGAGGGGAAGAAGACACTTTCTGATGGTCCTTAGGTATTAACCTCAAGGGCCTCTATTCGTGGTAGGAGTATGTACAGTTCCTCGTGACTCACCCTGTATAAAAATTTGCCCGCGTTTTCAATATGTACGTTTTTCATTAAATTCGGTGACATTGTTTGTTGTTGTCTTTTAGGAAATACCTTGTATTAATGGATATGTTGATATGCATCATTTCAAGATTTTTTACCACCGTTTGAACCAGAATGACAAGTACACATAACCAATAGTTGAAATTAGAGCATCAACTTATGCATTTTCTAATTGGAACATGTTTCTCACCTCAGAACATTTTTTTAAAATTTTCCTTCCAAACTCGAGTTTTTGAAAATCACACAGCTGTCATTCACATCCTGTACATTCTCATTCTGAAGAGATACAGTTACACATTATAATACTGTGGTTATTCAAAAATTCATATGTTGCTCTTCTCTTGAGATGTTCGACTGTTTTTTCTGTCTTCTTCTTCTTATGAAAGGGGAGGTTCGAAATATAGGTGAAGGCACTGTATATTGCCACCTGTGGCGACTGAACAGTGCCTCCACCAAAATTTTAAAGGCAGTATTGAATTATGTTTCCTCTATCAGTTCTGTTGAATACGATTAGTTCTTTTTGAGGGCTCTTTCTAGTTACTTTACAGTTCCCCAGATATTCATTCCATTAATTTCATTTTTATGTTCATGGAAAACGGTTTGCATTGATATCAAACACGAGTACCTACCTACTTTCATGATTTGTGATGGTAAGAGCATCTGATGACTCTGATGGCATGAGATTTTCCAAAAATTTACTGTCATAATAGTTTTTTAACATCTTTCTTCTCCTCACATTATCAGAAATATATCTGTCATACTATTTCCAAATATTCTGTATATACAGCTAGTTGAGATTCATTTTCGGAATATGACATTTCATTTTTCACATTGTATTCCATTTTTTCAGTAGTTTTAGTGGCATGAAGAATCAATTTCTTTTCTGGGTCAGTGCGCTCATGAAGCGCAATAATTTCTATTTGAAACAATGATTATGGTTTATGTCAGACTGCTAAATCATGTATTCGCCGAACGGGATAAAGTAACGAATTTATTGCAAGTTATTATGTTATTGCTATCTGCTGCAGGCAATTTAGATAATGCTCCATGGTCTCTACAAATTGAACTAATTCACGAAGCTACGAGGTTCCAGACACAGGACGAACTACGTGGAAATTCTTTTACCTATAGAAATATCACGTATGCGTTTGAAACTTTAACTCGTTCCTTCATTCATCTATCATATTTCAGAATTTGTCGATTTTCTATAACATCTCCAAAATTTCCAGGTTCATATTTATTCATTTGTCATATTTTTGCATTCAACTGTCCAGCATTCATCTTTCATATACAGAGTAAATTCCTACCTAAGAATGCCATATCTGGTTGGTGCGTTTGAAACTTGAATCGATTCCTTCATTCATCTGTCATATTGCAGCATTCATTTGTTATATAGTGGGGAAATACTGAGAAATACCGACACAGAAATGGCACATCAGGTTGTGCCTTTGAAACCGCAACGATTACGTACCTCATGCATCTGTCATCTTTCGTCATTCCTACTTTCGTCTGTCATATGTTTAATGTACTGAGGGATGCCTACCTATCTGATGGTGATGGTGCGTTCGAAACTTTGATCTATATTCCATCATTTATCACTGTCATACTCCCGTATTAATTTGTAATATTCCTTCATTCATATCTGTTATATTTACGCAGTCGCCTGTCATATTTCCGCATTCATTTCCACATTGATCTGTCATATTTTCCAATAAATCTGTCGACGCACAATTCTATACCAATACATTTTTCACTTGTTTCAGCTTTGAAACAAACGAACGGTTCGTTTATTGTCAATGGCGATTGGAAACAAAGCAACAGCAGGGTTTTCCAAGGAGCAGGAACCAAATTCGTTTACATTCGTCAGGATGAAAACTCCCTAGAGACGCTCACCGCACCAGGACCTTTGTCCAACAGTGTGGATATCATGGTATGTATGGAATGTACTGATCATACGGAGGTGCTAATATTTTCTATGTTGTGTATTCATCAAGACACTTCCATTATTTAATTTTTTTCTGTGACTAGAAAAAAGTTTGACATCTTATCTCTGTTGACAGATTACAAAATGTCACTTTACATAAATCACTTTTTTCCCACACGAAAAAGTGAGTATTTCTCCTCGGATATACAGGGTTATTCACGGTGGATGGCACATTGGACGTTTCTGGAGAACGCAACTAAGGGTTATTCTGAGAAGTTGGTGCCTTGGATGATAAGTTGTGTTCTATCGACCTACAATATTCTCAGCGTTGCGACGTTGTCGCTTATATTGAAAAGTAGCAACAACTTTGATTTTTTCTATGGAATACCCTGTATATCCCTCCATTTTCAGATTCTCCCTGAAGAGCTGATTCCATCGATCTATCACACTTGGGGTCTAGCGGGAATGAGAACAAAGATATAGGGTGTGAAAATAGAAATTTTTCAACTTTAAGAATTATTTGTGTCAAACGAAATGAATACAGGGTGATTCAGAATTAAGATTTTTGACCACCCTGTGCAGCATTTGTCAGACATCTTGCTTGATCAATCATTCACAGTTGGGCTCTTGATGCAAACCCATGTACAGGACGAAAATCTCGACGAAACGAAAGTTACGAATACTTCCCCTCTTGAATTCAATTCATTATATAAAATCTGAATCTATATAAATATAAAATGGAAACATTCTTGAACAAATAAAAAAATCTTCTGTGTCCCTTTCAGTGCTTTCGTAGATCTGAGTGCTTCAGTTATTACCAGGATTGATGGAATGATAAAGGTGAGTCCTTTCCAGGTATTTCGACTGAAATTCAAATATTTCACATTCAACATTTCCTTCTTTTTTGTACCATGAAACTTTAAAATTGTCGAATATGTTCCAGAGCTTCTCTATAGAATGTGGTCTCAAAACTTATTGTGAGCAAAAATGTCTAGGTTATGAAATTATTTGAATGATTTTACTGGTAACATTTTGTTTTCCCCCACGCATCTGTAATAACTTGCATAAATTTCGAAATACAATGGTTTCAGAAAGTTTCCGAAAATTTTTTTTTTCATCAATTACTCAAAAACATTTTGTTTTTCCTGAAGCAGGTGTATAAATCAATTGATCTATTGAATTTCAAAGATCGTTGTAGGAAATTTTCTTTAGGAATCAATAAATTGCTATTCATACCTAACATCAGAGTGGAAATTATGGAAAGTGAAATTGGATTTCAGTCAAAATTTCACCTTTCTTGATGACAACAATCCTGGAAAATACCTGAATAACTATACAGCAAGAAGGTCATGCAAGTATCTATATGATCACCCATCAAGAGTAGCACAGTCCCCTACCTATGATTATAGCATTGCCCTACTCCCATTATTAGATGCACTCACTAGCGGTAGCAAAGTCAGATACCTACTACAGAAATATCGTCTAATAGCAATACAGATGCACTTGCTAGTGGCAGCAAGGTTCTATATCTAATAATCGCAGGTGGTTTATAATCAGCAAAGTCGACTTTATATACACAGGTGATAACTCGCTTGTCCCCTATGCTATTAGAGTTTTTTGCTGGGGTAATTCGATTTCTGACGATGGTTAATAGGAATTTTTCTCAGTGCAGCAATTTATAATTTGATTTAAATCACGATTCAAATCATTTGATTTAAATCGTCGCAACCCTGATTGCAGATCGTCAACTACCAAACCAACTCGGGCATAAAGTACGGCTACTCGTTACCAGTGCCGGACTCGCGCTCTTTGGCCCCCCCGCTAATACAGCGCTCCCCCACCGAAGCGGCGACCCACCGACGACCGGAGCCCGCTTTCAACGTGTCCGCGCACCAGATGGCCTCGTTCGGCCAGCGGGACGAGGCCAGGCCGGCCGTGGTCTATCCTGGCAGGAGAACCAGGCTAAGGAGGAAGAATTTTCATTGGAAGGTGACAGGGCTGACGGCCTGCTCCAAGTCCTGCGGGGGAGGTCAGTACAGACATTTTCATGATATAATAATATTAATAATAATAATAATTTATTAATCCTTCAGATTACAAAGTAATATTGGACAGGTCAAATAAATCAACGTTGATACATATAACAAAAAAATAGATAAAAGAGTATAATACATTTCACACAGAACAGGTAGCGACACAGTTATTTGCATTGAAAAACTCAGAGGTATTGTAAAAACAACCCTGAATAAGAAAATTTTTGAGATCATTCTTGAACTTGTTGAGATTTTCATTCATAGTTATATACATGGGCAGATGATTGAAAAACTTTATACCCATATAGAAAGGGCTCTTTTCATATAGGCTTGTGCGGTGTCTACTGTCTAGGTATACGCAAGAGATTTCTATTGCGCGTAAAATGATCATTATTATATGAATTTATTTTAAACTTGTGTAGGTTTCTTCTCGTATACATTACACAGTGATAAATATAGATCGAGTAAAAAGTGAGCAAGTTATGCTTTCGAAATATAGGTCGACAGCTTTCCCTGTAATCAAGATTGAAAATTAGTCTTATAATTCTTTTTTGAGAAATCAGAATTCTAATAGAGTTAGTTGCATTACCCCATAATATTACATTGTTGCTCATATGCGAATAAACTAATGCATAGTACACATTAAGCAACTGGTATGTAGTGAAAACATATTTCAGTTTGAGAATAGCATAATACCCACTATTGATCCTTTTGCTCACATGATCTATATGTGTTGTCGAACTCATATCAGAGTCGACAAACGTTCCTAAAAATTTTGTGGATTTCGATAGTTCAATAGGGGTATCATTAACCATTACTCTGAATGGATAATTGAGTTTGAGTCTTGAGGAGAACTGCATACAAACAGTCTTATTCGCATTAACGATAAGACGATTTTTTGAGCACCAGTTGGTAAAGTTCCCTGAGACCATGTTGAGTTTACTTTGGAGTTCTTCCGGAGTATCAGTGCTGACCGCAATAGTAGTATCATCCGCATACAGTATGACACAATCAGAATCTAAGTGATATGGTAAATCATTTATGAAGAGCAGAAAGATAAGTGGCCCTAAAATAGATCCTTGAGGAACTCCTAAATCTATGTCATGTGAATGAGAATAATTATTATCAATTTTGACAGGGATTTTCCGGTTCTTCAAGAATGATACAATCCATGAAAGAAAAGTTCCTCTGAAACCCAGCATGTATAGTTTGCTTTCCAACAAAGAAAAATCAACCGGATCGAACGCCCTAGAAAGATCGAAGAAAAGTACACCAACATACAATATGATATATTTCATTATTTTCTTATGGTTGAGATTGATTACAAGAATAAGCATCTGATGCGCAGCAACTCAAGCTCAGTAGTAGTAGTTGTAGTAGTAGGTGGGGAGGCTGTAGTCAAGCAATAAGTAGGCCCCGATGGGCCCTTTTTGCTAATCCCTGCTCTCCACATATCTACGCTTCCTTCACCTAGATTTCTTTTACGAATCTCCCTGACCTTCTGATGAAGGCCAGTATGTCCGTCCACTCTGAATATAATAAATTCCTACTGTTGGAGTTTGTACTCCAAAGATTTCAAATCTCAGCCTTCCGTACGCCTCGCACTCGCCGAGAAAATGGCAAGTGGGGTGTTCCTCTATTCCCAAGAGTGATAGGTGTCTGCCTATCCTGTTGTGTCCTGTGAGTACTCCTATGAGGAGGCGGAGTACTTGGCGTTCTCTGCCAAGCAGCCACTCCTTCCTTGATTTGCTTGGATCGGCCATGAATTCCTTGGCCTGCCTGCAACCTGTGTATTCTCCTAGTGCCTTGTCCACCCATTCAACGAGGGCTGACGTAATTTGTCTCCTTGCTATACCTAGTACAGGCTCCGGTCCCAGAAACGGCTCCGCGGATCCGGCCCTAGCAAGTTCGTCTGCTGTTTCGTTTCCGGGCACCCCACTGTGACCCGGGACCCATACCAGTTCAACTTCCTTTGATTCGGCTAATATCTCAAGGGCATTTCCACATTCCTGTACCAATGCTGAGCTTGGTCTGGGATGACAAATAGCCTTGAGTGCTGCATTTTTCGAAAATTTTAGCAATATTGTTAATCAAGCTGATAGGTCGGTAGTTTGTCATTTCATTTTTATAACAACACTCTCCTTGAATTCTTTAGGTATGTCGGAGTTTAGAAAACACAAATTAATGATGTAGGCAAGTTTGTATTCTTGAACTTATTTTCATTAACCTTCGTCTTCCCGGGTAGGGGACAATAATTACTGCTCGTCAAACCCGATTTTTGTTTTACTTTTTTTATGATAAAAATTCTTCAATAGCGTGGGGTACGAATGTACCCCACGTGGGAATCTGCGCCCACTGTTCCAAGGAGCGACCTTTATACGTGATCAAAAATGTTAGAACGACTCCTATATGCAGATTCCGACAATGAAATGGAAGAGGAAGAATCTGACATATTATTGTCTGAATATGAGGAAAGTGACAGGGAACCAGAGAAATAACTGAGGAAGTGTCTGATCTTATACAATGCGAAAATGAAGTTGGTCTAGGAACATATGTGGCGCAGGAAGAGACCGAAAGTGTAGCGGAAGAAGGTATCGGAAATGTATTATATAAATCTGAAGATGGCACTTAATGGTCGAGAATGCCCTATCCTCAGACACGTAGAGGTGCTGAAAATATAATCAAAATCTAGACAATTCTGCAAGGATTGTCAAAACTTTGTATGCGCAGAACACCATGTGAAAGAAGTGAAGTGTATCAAACGCAAAGACGATTAAGTGAATATTTTATCTCATAATTTGTATTTTATTTTTTATCACTAATTTTTTAGTTGTATTGTATTATGTATCACTCTTTAGTATCATTAAAAACATGTTGATATATCAAAATTTTCATTTTAGTCATGGGTACAAATGTACCCCACGTGCGACTCTATGTAATTATTCTGACGTGGGAAGACGAAGGTTAAACTGATTAGGTAGATAGGTCGCGTGCAAGAACTGTCAGATGACCGACCCTGGAGGCAAAACATATTTGTTTACAAGTGATCGAAATAGTTTTCCACAATTATTTTGGCATATGAATCGTATTTTTCCGCTATTCATCAATTCGCTAATGCCATCACATTGTGCTGTTGTAAAATGCACAAAAACTGCAGCGGAAGATGAAGAAATCCAGTTGGTACATTACGATTCAAAAGTAAGTACCTACTATAGTCACTCACATAGTTTTCATTTTTATTTCTCTGATTTCTCATCGGAATTCCTTCTGCAATAGGATCAGCTAATAGAAATATACCTGAAATTTCTAGAATAATGCAAGAAGATTGGATTCATGCAATCAATCGGTAGGACTGGTCTGACATGCTGACGATCGTGTGTGTTGTACTGTTGTAGACATTTTCAATCTATTAGCAGCATTAGCTTGTATTGCAGAAGTGGCAGAAGGAATTTTAATAAGGAATGACAACATTTCATAATGCTAACTATGTGAGATTACTATTTATCTGAAAAATCATATTCCCTAGTCTTTTGTGCATTATACAACAGCACAATGCGAAGGCATGCTTGAATTATTGAATAATGCAAGAAACACGATTCGTATGCCAAAATATTGTGAAAAACTATTTCAACCTTTTGATTCCTCTGTAACCAAATAAAAAAGTGTTTCAATAATTCACAGAAGAATGAGGTTGTGTTTCAATATTTTGCCTCCAGGGTCGGTCTTCGTGCACGCGACCTATTGTTGTTATCGAGTTTGTGATTTGCTTTCCTCTTCTTTCTCAACTCATCTTTTTCCAGGCATCCAGACGTACGTGAAAACGTGCACTCGAGACGCCGGGCATGGCCAGCTGCCCGTCCACGACCGTCGGTGTGCCCATCTGCCGTCGCCCGCCCCCACCACCCTGCGCTGCAACCCGCAGCCCTGCGCGGTCGCGGCCGGGGCCGAGTGGCGCCTGCGCTGGGGCGACTGCAGCGCCACCTGCGGCGAGGGCGTGCAACGGGGGGTCGCCGTGTGCCAACAGGAGTCGGCAACAGGTGAATATCATGATACTAAAACCGTGTAGTACCTAGTATCTACATTTGAGGTCAAATTTGAGAGCGATCCAACGTAATTTATAAAAATCATTCGTATGGCAGGTGATGCCTCGGTCAACGAGGCTCTATGCGATAGACCTCGGCCTAGCAGCGGTACCCGACCTTGCCGACTCAGAGCCTGCGAAAGCCTGAACAACAACGAGGTTCCACATGGGGAAAAAGAGGATAATAGCATAATCGACTGGTCTATCGGTGATTGGTCACAGGTGAGATACAATATTATCGTGGAATCTATATCCTTATACCTAACGGTTTTCCCACCAGTGTTCAGTTTCCTGTGGCACTGGACACAGAACTCGATCAGTCGAGTGCCCATCGGGACGATGCAAACCTGAAGACAGGCCTGCGCATGCGGAGTACTGCAATGTGGGCTCCTGCGAGAAACCTCGTGAAGCTGCTCTTCAATCGTCGTCTACCACCCTCAGGTAAACAGTCGGAATCTCCCTCACTGGAAGTCATTGACATTTTCTGTTGCAGATCTTTCTCCCTCTGGTTGACAACGGAATGGTCCAGATGCTCGGAAGCCTGTGGTACTGGTACCCAGACCAGGTTCGCTACCTGCGCATACCCTGACCAAACCAGATGCGTCGAAGAATCCAGACCTGAGCTGTCTAGAGCTTGTTCTAGCGAGAAGGCTTGTGATGCCCAGTGGTTCATCGGTAAGAACTTTTTTCAATATCCGTACAATTTGTTCTTTCTTATGTGGACATCCTTCTGGATCAATACATTAAAGAGCTGCTGGTGTATTTTCTCCTATTGTCATACTCTGAGCTATCAATGAGAAAGTTAGGGAAACTTTTTCCTTCAGGTACTTTTGATAGGACAAGTTGCTTGGAACTCTTATGAATTCCTCACCATGCATTCAAACATGGTACGAGCTATCCAAAGGGCTCAAGCAATATTTTCTTATCCCCATATGTGATATGTGTCGAAGACTGAACTTTTTTACAGGTCCATGGAATTCTTGTTCAGATTCTTGTTCCGATAGAGCCAAGCAGAAACGCGAAGTCTTCTGCGTGGTCAAAATCAGAGGAAAATCACACATCACCAACGATATGACATGTCCAGCCCACCTGAAGCCCAATGACGAACAGCCCTGTGATGGAAGCTGCCCTCCTCACTGGTACTTTGGAGATTGGAGGCAATGTGAAGGTAAAAAACTTGGTTCTGATGATGTGGAGATGATTTCAAATATTTCACTCCGCTTAGGAACTTGTGGGCTTTCTTGGTGACGATAATTATTAGTTACGATATGGTTCACTTAGGTACTTGCCCAGTTGGTATCCAAAGGAGAGAGGTCAGATGTTTGGACATCCATGGAAGAGACACAAATGGTTGTCCTGAGAACGACATGCCTGTGGCGAAAAGGACTTGTGCTTGTGAGACGAATTCGGATAGTGGGGAGAGATATCAACCAGCGCAAGACGAACCAGCAGATCGTAAGCATTCTTAATTTTTTTATTCTACCTACAAATACCCATTCGACTATTTAAAAAAATATATCTTCTGCATAATGAAGTTTGGATTCTGTGGTATAATGCCTTCAATAGGAAACATCAAAAACCTATTTGATAATCGAAAACATGCATTTCTGCATCCATAAATAAACTCATAATCATAAACTTTGCAAAACATCCAATATGATAACTAATAAACAATCATTGTACTCTCTAATGTTGGCAATGGAATGGCGATTACTGAGAAAAGTGGTGAAAAATGCTCTAAAATGCACCAAAACCAACTATGGCTCAACAGTAAAGAATTTAATGGTGCAAATAGATATTATTCATAAACGGAACCGATTATATCTTCATTCATAATAAAATCAGTCATAACCCCAAAAAATCGTGTGATTACTTTTGCCCCTTCTTCAGATGAGGGTGTAGCACGTGGCGGAGGGCCGTGCGATTGGTCATAGGTGCGCAACACTGGCAGTAGCACGTGTCGGGAACCCACGCGGTTGGTCATTACAGGTGCGCCGACACCTGTTGCTGATATAGGAGGGGCGTGGCTAATGCAGAGACATAGTAAATATCCTATTTAACTGTTTCAGGATCTTGTGTGGATAGAATTCGCAAGTGCAAGCTGGCAGTGCAGGCCAGATTATGTCACTACCCGTACTACGTCAGCCATTGCTGCGAATCGTGTAGGAGAGGAAGGGATCTTCTGGAATAAGAGAACTGTGATTGAGATTGACGAGGACTGTAGTCGAAATAGATACTGAACATATATATATGATATATCGAAACGATTAGCAAATTTGAATGTGTGTGTGTATGTAATGTATAGGGTGATTGAGTTTATACGAAATATTCCGGATGATTTTGTGTGCACCATGAGGAATCAACACCTCGACATCAGTTGACAATTGAAACAAAAATTATCGGTATGGTCAGTCAGCTATTTCGGGTGTTGATGAGTAGATATAGGAAACATTTTGACTGAGATTCTGCATTTGAAATTTTTATCACAGGACAGTAATATACCTACTACTTTTAGGTTTTTTATATTGTAAGGCATGGTGTATTACTAATGAAAGTCCACAGTATCGTCAAAGATATAGGCCATATACCGAATTCAACTGGTCATACCTGTCAGTAAATCCACTGACTGCTGAAAATCTGTGTTCAGGAATATAAAATCAAATATACAGTGCTGTAATTCGGAACACGTTTTCATTGTTTTCAATCAGCAGGCAGCATTTGATCTGCTGGTGAAATTTGAATATTATTCTAAGCGTCAACTATTTGGAAATCTTTGTAACGAATAGAATGAATAATCAGCAGATTCAGTACTGTCAGTTGAATTCGGAATACAGCCATAGCAATACTTATACGAACAATACTCTTTTTATGTTAAATAGATGTCTGTGATTGTTTTTCTATCAAATTAACCTTATCATAAGAGAGTGCGAAATTACTTAAGAATAGGTTTGTAAGCTTGCACTGCCAAATTGATCAAGAAATATTTTGATAGACCTTACAGGTCGTCCACACTTCAGCAATTCCAGCTGAAGGTTTCATTTCCAGAAAATCCTATACATGTCAAATATTGACTGTCAGATAATCATTAGGTACTTTCACTTGAAGTACTCTATGAAAATGATGTCGATACCTAGGCGTATGCACTTGCCAAAATTTAATGATTTGATTCATTCTTCATTTTATTTATTTATTAGAACACGATTGTACTATGTGTAAGCTAAGATAATTCTATAAATGATGAGTATTACTTTCTAGATTATGTACCTATTTATTAGTCTTCGAATTAAGAAGTAAATAATAAAATTCTTCTAATACATACTTTGTTTCATTAAACACATACACAGAGACCAGATTTATCATTCCAACAAATTAAATAACTGAAATGAATATAAAATAGAATCCTGAGATGAACAGTTCCTCACTATACAGGATGTTATTTAAGTATGTGGCCAAACTTCAAGGGTGATTTTTCGGGATTTCTAATGGGTTGGGTGCAAGAACTGTCAGATAACCGACGCTGGAGGCAAAACATTGACTTTTCTTATTTGTTTACAAGTGATCGAAATAGTTTTCCACAATTATTTTGGCATAGGAATCGTATTTTTCCGCTATTCATCAATTCGCTCATGCCATCACATTGTGCTGTTGTAAAATGCACAAAAACTGCAGCGGAAGATGAAGGAATCCGGATGGTACATTATGATTCAAAAGTAAGTACCTACATATAGTCACTCACATATAGTTTTCATTTTTGAAATTTGGTTATTTCTCTGATTTCTCATCGGAATTCCTTCTGCAATAAGAGCTAATAGAAATATACCTACCTCTCTGAAATTTCTAGAATAATGCAAGAAGATTGGATTCATGCAATCAATCGGGAGGACTGGTCTGACATGCTGACGATCGTGTGTGTTGTAGACATTTTCAATCTATTAGCAGTATCAGCTTGTATTGCAGAAGTGGCAGAAGGAATTTTAATAAGGAATAACAACATTTCATAATGATAACTATGTGAGATTACTATTTATCTGAAAAATCATATTCCCTAGTCTCTTGCTGCATTTTTTGTGCATTGTACAACAGCACAATGCGAAGGCATGCTCGAATTAATGAATAGCGCAAAAAACACGATTCGTATGCCAAAATATTGTGAAAAACTAGTTCAATCCTTTGATTCCTCTGTAACCAAGTAAAAAAGTGAGGTTGTGTTTCAATAAATTCACAGAAGAATGAGGTTGTGTTTCAATATTTTGCCTCCAGGGTCGGTCATCGTGCACGCGACCTAAAGACGAAAAGTTATCATGAATGTAAGTTCGGAGATGTAGTTTTCAAAATTAGAGTGTGTCAATTTTTTTTGAAACGTCGATTTATTTAAAAATATAATGTTGGCTAAGTTATAGCACCTTACTATAATTGGATGTGAGTCAATAAAAAACATTAACAAAAACCGATGTGAAAAACGGATGACAACCTTGTACCCCGAAAACGTTGCATTTCTGGATCTACAATAATTTGTTTGTCTGATGATGAATTTATTATACATTCAAAACTCGTGAAAATTCTCAGTCGTATTCAATAAAAAAGCGTACAAGTATTGAAAAGAGAGGATTTCGGGATCCTAGTACTACTTGTGTAAAACTGGCTCAGCCTATGCTTTGTGTTTTCGAGAACCTATGACAACTTTACTGTCAACATTTGGTGAACAATCATTTCCGATAGCCCGTTTTATGCAGAATAAGATGACGTTAATTTCTCTATGTAATATACTTGTACGCTTTTTTTTTAATACGACTGTACCTACTCACTTAAAATATAATTATTAATACTGTACTAAATTGAGTAAGTGAGCAGAGTTCCACAGCAAGCTTACACCTATGAGCCCAAACCTAGGTGAAAATTTGATATTTCTTGATATATCTACAGTGTGTCTCACTTTGAGCATCACCACCCTTGTTTTTTCCTATTGGTTGACCAATTTTGTTATATCTTTCGCTTAAACTGAAGTACGTACTCAATATATACGATCTACATTTCTGAATTTCCAATTCTAGATGTTATAACTCCAGAATAATTTGTGTTATGAAGTCGAATGTCTATCAAAACCTCAATGATATTCACCATTTGTGTGGACAATGTTGCCGCTTCTCAGAATTTGTCTGAAATTAAATGAAATTTAGCTATTAACATAATTGAAGGATGCTGAATCCAATATGGTGGAGTCAAATATTTTTGAAAATAACGCAATTTTTTACATGAAAAAAAAATAGTACCTATGCCCGGAAAATCGAAATTATATCTTGCAGATTTGTGTAAAAAAAATTGAATCGGCTGAAAACTGTAAATTTTATAAGGGTGCCCCGGTTGCGATTTTACTGAATATACTGCACGCTAGCACAAACCACGCCCACCATAATACGTCATATCTCCAAACATTACCGATATACTCGGAGTCAGCACATCGCACTAAATATACTGTGCTCCAACGCAAGAATACACTTTTTATGATTTTGACACGAATTCGACTGAAGCTCTCTCGTTGTCAATCTCTTGTACGCAGTAAATTCATATACCCAAATGGTCTAATGGTTAGCGCTGTCGACTTTCAGTCTGAAGGTCCATGGTTCGAATCGCTGTGAACTTGAACTCTTTTTTGCAACTTTTTTTTCACCAATGTTTTTTTACTTCATTCTGGTTCTCCTTTTTCAGAAAATATTTGAAGTCAAATAGGTTAGTGCGTTTAGGATAAACAGTCTCATTTTATTCAATTTTGTTGAAGAACTTAACTTTTGAAATATATTATTAATCAATGTGTTTCTACACTATATTCTGGTTTTCCTTCCTCAAAAATATTGCAATCAGGGATAGGTTAGTTCGTTAAGGATAAATAGTCTCTGAGTTTTGCCTAAGTACTTCGAAGATGAGATATTACGGTGGGCGTGGTTTGTGCTAGCGTACAGTATATTTAGTAAAATCGCGCCCCGGTTCTAAGTGATTCACACTGTATATATTCAAATAATACTCATACATTAAATTGTATGCAAACGAGGAGAGAAAATGAGCAAAAAATCTAGGGAAATCAATTAGAAGTTAGAAAATAGCTTATTCAGACGAACCATCACTTCTTCATGAAGTGAAACAAAGACAAGCAAGGCCCTATAAGGCTGTAGGACACATATATGCTCATCAAGGCGATCAAAAAGTCCCTTCCGTGGATACGATTGCTACCAATAACCAATAAATAGTGCAAACCGTAGCCCAAACTCACGATGCCCAGAACGTAGGCACTCACGCCGAAGAGAATATGGACAAATTTGAACAAGGACGGCCTTCCAATGTTGAGTCTGTCGGAATTTTTGACAATTACACCACCCAAAGCTGTGACGAATGCTATAATCCAAGATGATAAACCTAAAAAAAAACTATGGTTGGGTAAATTTGTCTAGCGCAATGTTTTGTTGGTTACAACTACTGTCAAATTGTGAGTCACTTTTGCTGACTATGAAAAACAAGTTGTTCTATAGTGAGGCCTATTTCATTTATTTTTAACATTTGGCAACTTTATTCGCTGTCGCCAAGGTCATTAGATGACATTTTACGAGGTTATTCAAAACTATGGGAAAACATCCTAAATTCTGGCATAGATTGAGATGAGATGTTTATAATTCCTATCGTGTGGCCATGGTGTGGCCACTCTTTAATTGCTTCGTCAGACTATAGCTCTTCGACGTGAACGATGTACAATTGTGGGGGTAGTCCATATTAGTTATTTATGTAATAAGGATCATAAAGACGATCATTATGGTACAAGTCGTGAATGTTATCGGGCGAGGCGTAGCCGAGTCCGATAACACGGCGTGTGCCATAATGATTGTTTATGATTCGTATTACATACAAAATTTTATCTGATGGCATTTATATCAATACATTTTCGAAAAATTAAAAACTGCATTTTCGACATGTCACAATGACAACTATTTTTAAAGGAGTAAGTATTGTGTAGTTTCAAATATTAGTAGGTGAGTGAGCTGTGCTTTGCCATTATATCAATATTACAAATTGTAGTAATTGTTCTTTTACCATTTATAATAAATAGTTTTGTACATAGTTATGCATTTTGAATAAACTTTTTTGATCAAACCATTACATGTTTTCCTTATAGAATTTCATTATGGTACTTAGTACCATAATGAATTCATTATGGTACTTAGTCCCATAATGAATTCATTATGGTACTTAGTCCCATAATGAGCTTCCTTATGTCATCAAAATTGAGTGACATAACGTTGTCATTATGACATGCCATCAGATAAAATGAATTATTCAATTTGTGAATCAGAAAAGCCAAATATATTGACAAACTTTTTAACTCGAATCTCAAATCTCAATTATCTGAAAACAATCAAAAAACATTTGTTGATTAATAAAAACCTATCGTTTATTACATGCAGTGCAGTGCGTATGTATTACAACCATAACTTACCTAGGATACCATGAGTCGAATTGAAGTGTTCTCTATTCAAGTCGCTCTTTTCGCTGATTTTCAGAGATATTCCGATGGTTATGCTCAGAAAAGCAACGCACATCACTATCAGGTGAGCCATAGCCTTGTCGAGTCTATTGTTTCCGACTGTCACTATACTTTCTTTCCTGAATATCTGGACTCCTTCTGCCATACACAATGCAAACTGAAAAGTTATGAAGACTATTTTGTTAGAATCTTGCAAGGTAGTAGAGATACAGAGTCGATCAAACTATAAAGCAGGCGATATTCATCTTTGAACAATCTGTTAATAATGATCATTGTCAAAATATGGCGAAACTAATGAAAATCACTTGTTTTAATAAAGGAGTATAGGACTATATAGCATCCAGTGAGGTCTCCAAGCTGACATCAAAGTACAGAGAAGTTTATTTAACATTGTTCAATGATTATTCCTTTTCAAATGACACTCTGATGTATGTTCTTTTAATGATTTGATTATATCTCAGATACCCCTATCGATACAATCAAGCCAAAAAAATCCAGAATTGACCCATTAACAAATCCAAAATATCATGAATTGTGGTACACTTCGCCAACGTACTATAAGGAAGATTTTATTGGGTCTCAACACCAACAAAGCTTGTGGCTCCGAGGGAATCCCACCAGTTGTTCTCAAGAAATGTGCTCCCGAACTAACACCTGTTCTCTGCAAGTTGTTCAACTACTCTTACAAATTGGGGATATTCCCGTTCAACTGGAAAATTGCAAGAGTACAACCAGTTCCTAAAAAAGGCAAAAAGACCCTACCTAGCAACTATACAGACCGATCGCACTGCTATCTATTATTTCAAAGATCATGGAGAAAGCTATCAACATCGAGCTCATGAAATACCTAAAACATTCAGGTATTATCAACGATAGGCATTATGGCTTTCATCAACAGAGATCAACTGGTGACCTGCTCGCTTACGTCTCACATATATGGCAGCAATCTATCGAAAAATATGGTGAAACTTTAGCCGTGGCACTTGATATCTCCAAAGCATTCGATCAAGTCTTGCACCACGGACTCCTCGCAAAGCTTCCATCTTATGGCTTGCCTCCCCAGCTATGTTCTCTGCTAGCTATGTTTCTCTCAAACAGGTCGCTTACGTCTCACATATATGGCAGCAATCTATCGAAAAATATGGTGAAACTTTAGCCGTGGCACTTGATATCTCCAAAGCATTCGATCAAGTCTTGCACCACGGACTCCTCGCAAAGCTTCCATCTTATGGCTTGCCTCCCCAGCTATGTTCTCTGCTAGCTATGTTTCTCTCAAACAGGTCTCTCCATGTAGTGGTCGGCGGAGTTTCATCTGACTCTCTTATCATAAATGCTGGTGTTCCGCAAGGATCAGTTGTAGCACCAACACTATTTCTACTCTATATCAACGATTTGTTGGAAGCAACTTCATGTCCAGTACACAGCTTCGCGGATGATAGTACCCTCCATACCGCCTTCTCTTCCAGGGCTCCAATGCCAGCCAGGCAAATCAGATACGAACGAGGGAGAAATGTTGACAACATAAATATGGACTTGGCAACAATTCTCGAATGGGGATCCAATAACTTGGTAGATTTCAATGCAAACACCTTTGAAGACATCTATTTCGATGCTTGGTATTACTATCAGCAATAACCTTTCTTGGGAAAATTACGTGTGATCAATTGCTAAAAGTGCATCCCAAAAACTTGGTTGTCTGTTTCGGGCTAGGAGCTATTTCACTTCCAGTCAGCTGCTTATGATCTATAAGGCACATATCCGACCTGTCCTGGAATACTGTTCCCATATTTGGAGTGCGGCACCCAAACATACCCTGAAACTGTTAGATTCTGTCTAAAAAAGGGCCATTCGTCTCGTTGGTGATGCTCACTCACAAACTCACTCACTTCTCTGGAACACCGTAGAAAAGTTGGCGATCTGGCTCTATTTTATAGATATTTTCATGGACGATGCTCTTCTGAAATATCAACAATTGCACCTCCCTTGGCAGTCCCCGCGAGATTAACCCGTAGAGTTGAGGCTTCGCACCCCTTCGTGGTCACTTTGGAGACCTGCAGAACATCTCTTTCCAGAGACTTGTTCATCCAACGAACAGCGAGGCTCTGGAACACATTGCCAAGGGAGGAGTTCCCCGAAGCATATAACCTCCAGAAATTTTGAGAAAGAACCAATTCCTACCTTATTTCCCTTGGTTCTCACGATGTTCTCTGAACATTACAGGATATACCTCTTCGTGGGAACCAGAACATAAAAAAAACACTTCTAATACTAGATATTTCTGATGAAAAATATCGATGTTGAATATGAATATACCAAAGCCATCACTTGAGTTTCTGTTTGGAGAGACTAAAGGACATAAAGTGCAAAAAAGAACTATTCTATTTCCATCTAAGAAGCTTTGTTTTATCAGAACATAGGCAGACCAAAGAAATCATATTTTTTTCAGATTGAAAATAATTATTATCAGGCGTACCTACCATATATCTGGAGAAGATTGGGATTGGGAAATTTTATTCACACTAATATTGAGTCAAATATAATGATCGATCGTCCGCATTGTGTGCCTCAAAATTGACATAATTTATGAGATAATCGGATTACACAGAAAATTCATAATTTATCAAAAGTAAAACTTTAAATGAGGTCAAGATCGAAGATAAATCTAGATTTTCATGGAATCCTAGAAGTGTTATGGGTTTTTGTCATGTGAGTTGATAGAAATTCGACTTTTATATCGAAATTTTGACTTTTTTCACTACTAACTCTCGATGCTTGGGATTACTATCAGCAATAACCTTACTTGGGAAATCACGTGAGATCAATTGCTAAAAGTGCATCCCAAAAACTTGGTTTTCTGTTTCGGGCCAGGAGCTATTTCATTCCCAGTCAGCTGCTTATGATCTATAAGGCACAGATCCGACCTGTCCTGGAATACTGTTCCCATATTTGGAGTGCAGCACCCAAACATACCTTGAAACTGTTGGATTTTGTCCAAAAAAGGGCAATTCGTCTCGTATGGGTGATGCCTCGCTCACAAACTCACTCACTTCTCTTGAACACCGCAGAAATGTTGGCGATCTGGCTCTATTTTATGGATATTTTCATGGACGATGATCTTCTGAAATATCAACGATTGTACCTCCCTTGGCAGTCCCAGCGAGATTAACCCGTCTAGTTGAGGCTTCGCACCCCTTCGTGGTCACTTTGGAGACCTGCAGAACATTTCTTTCCAAAGACTCGTTCATCCAACAAACAGCGAGGCTCTGGAACACATTGCCAAGGGAGGTGTTCCCAGAGGCATATAACCTCCAGAAATTTAAGAAGAACTTTAATTCCTACTTTATTTCCCTTGGTTCTCAAGATGTTCTCTGAACATTACAGGATATCCCTTTTCGTGGGAACCAGAACATAAAAAAAACTCACTACCTCTTAAACACACCATTATGTATGCTATTTTCAATATGCGAAATCTTTTGTCTTCACTTCTGGACAATAATAAAATTCGTACCGCTACTAATAAATAGTAAATGAAGAGTTTAAATGAAAGCATTTTTCAATTTTTTTTTTCTTTTAATTAACTTTTACTTTTTAGTTATCGCTGGCTAGGTTTCTCAGTATGACGCCCATCATAGCAAATTACACAAGTCAAAGTAAATCAATCGATGTTACAGGCTTTAAAATAGATTTTTTTAAAACCTGCATTTTCATTCTCAGCGAACCCTTTCATTTTATAGGACCACAAAAAACTTATCAATAGTGCGCCATATTTGTGTGATGTCACATTCTATCTGATTATTCTCGACAAGCTCTTTCATTTGATAAACCCATATATTGCAGAAGTGCAAAAATAATAACTATTCCGCCATCTTGCATTTTCATCCATATTGGATTTAGAGTGACGTCACATTATTTTTCGAGTTGCCTAGCGAGCCCTTTCATTTGATACCCATATTGAAAAAGTGCATTGAAAATAACTATTCCGCCATCTTGGATGGTCCGCCATCCCAGACAACCAGATGACGAATGGTCACGTTCACTGTGACGTCCCCAACTGGTGACTTTCCGTCAGATACGTCATACACCAGTTTATGAACGTCACTATGACGTACTTTCTATGACGTGATAATTTCGTCATCATTGCGACGTTGAGTAAACGTCACTTGGATGGGTAAAATATGATGTCGCAGTTTCATGACGTTGCAGGAACATCGTGCCGACGTCATATTTCTCCTTCTAAAGTTCGGTATGTGTTTGTATAATATATATATACAGGGTGTCCCAAACTCGACGGCCCATCTTGGGTAAACCATTTTGTTCTATCGATTTAAAATATTTTCAGCGCTTCGGCGTTGCCGCTTCTATCCAAAAGTAGCAATCACTTGTATTTTTGGAAACTTCATACACGGGAGGAAATGGATACCTTTGCTCCCTTGATATATAAATAGCTATCAAATTAAAATAACAACAGTTGACGTCTTCTTTCTAAAATGCTCTGACAATGAATCTCATTCAAAATGAAATTAAAGTCGGAATTTCTGTTGCATTACTTATATGAATGTAATATTAACTCACCCCAAATACGCAGAGAAGTATATGCCATGTTCTTTTTGTAGAGAAATCATAGTTCGACTGACTGAAAAGTTCCCAGAGTATTATAACACAAAAAATAGCTAGGATTTGTTGGAATATAACTTCCGTGATATAAATCGCCCTGTCTTTCGCACTTTGAGAAATCATTCTTACAAAATAACAAATAGCAAATCTCCGTTAATTTTTGGAAGCAAATGCTGTAAAACGATTATTTTTTCGACTAAACTTATTTCATTTTCATGGATCACTTCTATTTTATCACATTGATAAGCGCTTATAGATTCCAGTGATAAAGATAATCTTGATGATTTTGTTCAGTGATCAAAATTCCACTGAATTAGTCAATAGCTAGAACTAGATTAGTTAATCGATCCGGGAAAATGTGAAGAATCATTCGGATTACATCAGGGACTACAGAGTGTTCAATTTGAATGGAGATTCTGATTTTCCATGTCATTATACACAATATTCACTGATATTCGTATCAGCTGAAAAATACCACGAACGTGGAACGTGTTTGATGACAGATATTCATGCAGTATATCACCAGAATATCTCGTATTTTTGTTGAGTAGTTTTCTAGCGAATGAAGGAAAATCTTTTGCTCAGGATAGTGATTTGCTCAGGTACCGTTCGATAAACTACAATGTGTATATCGAAAAATTGTATACTCACCCCTAACGTATTCAGGATATAGTGCCAAGAGGTGATTTGGCTCGTATTTTTGTTGAGTAGTTTTCTAGCGAATGAAGGAAAATCTTTTGCTCAGGATAGTGATTTGCTCAGGTACCGTTCGATAAACTACAATGTGTATATCGAAAAATTGTATACTCACCCCTAACGTATTCAGGATATAGTGCCAAGGAGGTGATTTGGCTCACATTGACATTTTTGACGATGACCCATAGTATAATAGCAGTTACTGCAGCATTCAACTGATGGAAAATCCATGTCACATATCCACTGGATACGTTCCATCAGGGACACTTCATTGTTTCCTGGGTACACTTTTGGTGGTAAAGCTGTACTATTTTGGAATCAAGAAGGACGGTTGATTGATGCCTGATATACAGCGTGTCTCACTTCAAACGCCCCCCCCCCCTCTATATCTCAGCTATCAGTCGTGCGATCTTTACCAAATTTGTATCGGTATGAATAATCATCAATATGACCAGTGCTTCAAAGACAATTATCATTTTAGACAGTGTCGTGCATTTTTATTGAAATGAATAGGGGTCAGTTTTTTATTAAATCATATTAGGCATTTTTTCACAGGAAAACTGACCTCATAATATTGTTCTTCATGGTTTCAAACCCACATATGTGGATTTTCATAAGATGCCTATGAAGGGTTTCAGAAAAACAGGCACATCTAAACAGCATTTTTGCGAACGTAATAATCATTTACTCGGAAACGGTGAGTTCGACATAAAAAACTCGTTTTTCCTTCCAAATCATGATTTTCCACCTACCGGAGCCATTGAAGTTCCAAATTTCGTAGTTCATTTGAAATCACTATTTATTCGAGACTGAAAATGAAAAAAATGAAGCCAATCCTGTTAATTCGGAATCAGGTGATTTTTTGCATATGGAGGTTAGAAAGCATTAGGAACAATAATATGAGGTTAGATTTCCTGTAAAAAATGTCTAATATGATTTTATGAAAAACCGACCCCTTCTTAGTTCAATAAGAACGCACGTCACTGTCCAAAATAATGTGCATCTCTGTAAAACTGATCATTTCAAATTTGGTTAGAATCGCATGACTGATAACTGAGATATAGCGGGGGGCCGTTTAAAGTGAGACACGCTGTATATATGTAATTTCCCTGATGATCGTCTCGGTCGTTTTTTACAAGATGATACAGGCATCCTTTTATTACTAATAAAGTCTCCGAATAAAGTACTTATGCTTAGACATTCCAGTACCGTACTTACAATAAAGTTTTGATAGGAGATATATTAGCGAGTTTTTTATAGTGCCAACTGGTCATAGTAGGCATGAACAAATGCGTGATATCAATTTGAATATTGTAGGAAAAAACATGATTGTATCAAAAAACATCTTCTGAATACCCTACAATTTCATGGAATACATACATAGCGTTCGGCGCCAAACTCGTCTATCCAGTACTGAGGTCATATTAAAGTCACTTTTTCTGTGTTGCCATCTGTTTTATGGAAATATCATGTAAATATTTCTCAATTTTCGAATCGATCCAATAACTGGGAACTGTCAAGATCATTTGATATTCATTGATGTAGTAAATGTCACATCGCGTGCACGATGACCGACCCTGTAGGTAAAACATCGGAACACAACCTCACTTTTCTGTAAAACATTGAAACACAACCTCACTTTTTTTATTTGTTTACAGAGGAATCAAAGGATTGAAATAGCTTTTCACAATATTTTGGGCACACGAATCGTGTTTCTTGCGCTATTCATTAATTCAAACATGCCTTCTCATTGTGCTGTTGTACAATGCACAAAAAATGCAGCGAGAGACGAAGGATTATGAATTTCCAGTTAAATAGTAATCTCACATAGTTTTCATCATGAAATTTTGCAATTCCTTATTGAAATTCCTTCTGCCACTTTTGCAATGGAAGCTAATACTGCTAATAGATTGTTAATGTCTACAACACACACGATCATATTTCACCAGCATGTCAGACCAGTCCTCCCGTTTGATTGCATGAATCCAATCTTCTTGCATTATTTTAGAAATTTCACGAGTATATCTATTAGCTTCTATTGCAGAAGGAATTCCGATGAGGAGTCAGATAAATTACCAAATTTCAAAATGAAAACTATAGGTGAGTGACTATAGTAGGTACTTACTATCAAATCGTAATGTACCAACCGGATTCCTTCCTCTCTCGCTGCATTTTTTGTGCATTGTACAAAAGCACAATGTGATGGCATGCGCGATGAATAGCAGAAAAACACAATTCATATGCCAAAATAATTGTGAGAAACTCTTTCAATCACTCGTAAACAAATAAGAAAAGTGAGGTTCTGTTTCAATGTTTCACCTCCAGGGTCAGTCATCTGACAGTTCTTGCACGCAACCAATTCTAGAAGTTTATATGCTGACATGATAATTAATTGAGTAGGTTGTAGACGTTGTAGGTTTAATCAGCAGCGACGAAACTCGGTCTAATCCTTAATTATACGTTTATACCGAGGTTTATAAATCTAACTGAACGATTTTGGTATACTTGTCATTTTGATAACCCTCAAAATCTCAAATTCTGATGACATCACTCTAATATTTATGTCATAATATGTCAGAATCCAATTTAAAATAAGAAAACAAGAACAAGTGAGTTTCGAACTTCCTTCCTGGAAATTGGGTATTATATATTACGCATAGTGGAAGGTCCACTATGATATTACGTAATAAATGTGTTGTATAATAGTTATTTATGTATTAAGGGAATTATGAGGGCCTTAATTACCGATGGCAAAGTTTGCGTCCCGAGGGCCTCTGGCCCGAGGGACAGCAATTGCCAGAGGTTATTGAGGCTCTATAATTCCCGTGATACATAGATAATTTTATTTCTGACTGATTTCATTCATTAGATACCTTCCCGATTGGAAGTTAGACATGTTTTTCCGTATAGTTTCAATGTCATCAGAACGTCAGATGATGATCTTGACTACCGCGAATAGGAGATTCCTTATTGCTACGTTATTGCGTGGTTGTTGGTTGTTGCTATGCATTTCTTATTTGATTTTAGCTAGAGGGAATTATAGCATCTATAACATCCCAAGGGAGTTATGACCCTCATTATAGATATCGTAACTATGACGATATAAGCTTATAATGTCACTGTCAGAAATAAAGCATATTATACTTCGTTTGTATCATTTTTATTCTTGACAGTTGCCATGTCAAACGATGTTGACGACGATTGCAGAATATACTTACTGAGGCTTTATTTCTTGTGTTCTTGCCTATTTTCTCTAGTGGCCGTAGGTAAAATCTCGATTCATTAATTTTCAATTCAAAGATTGTTTTGAACAAATTTGAAATACATTATATTTTCCCATAAAAAATGATTTCTTGATATGATTGATACGGCCCATACTCAATCCTGTAGTAGATATTCAGATAAAAAAAAAATTCTAGCGTAATTAACTTATTTTCAATTATCATTAATCAATATACGTGCTTCAAACATGTATGAATCTTCAATGAGTAGGTAAATACTTATCTAATTTTAGTTGGAATTAGCAGAATGATCTTTATCAATTTGACTTGAAAGTGAATAACGTATACTCTATCATCTGCAGATATATATCTCAATAAAATGATTGTTGATAAGTTTCATACGAATATAATGTCGTAGTCTACATCATTCATTATTCTTACTGTAAATAAATAAACAAATGAGAGTATACAAGATGGATTAAGTTGTGAATCATCAGTAGTCAGTCTTGAGATGGGTGATTAATAGTAATAATAATAATGATGAATTACATTTAGTTATAAACAATATCGATTGAATTACATTTTTATGAGAATAATGAGCGAAATAATTCAATTAATTTGTTCTTCCACTCATTAGGTGAAGTATTCCCAAGAATATAATAAGGAATCCCTTCCGTGCAATCCAAAAAATACAAACATTTGAGGAATCGTTAAATACTATCTTCTGATTGCTCATGAATTCAAAATCTCAACAGACAGTCACATTTCCAAAGTGAAAGACGTAAACAATTAGGAAATAAAGAGGTACTGACTTAGAAAGATTTTATTTGAATAAAGCTTCACTTCTTGAACCGATATTTCTTGTAACAAAATAATAAATAAAAAACCTAGCGATATCAACATTGCTATACTTGTCTCATTTCAAGTAAAATGGTAGTTTTTCAAGCATCAGCAGGCTACTTCCGGAAATGTTTGTCATCACTCAAGAAGTATTTTTGAACTTACAATAAGAATTGAATTATGTTATTGAATATTTGATAAGAGATTTTTTAATGAACTCAATGATAGGTGTTTCTCTAAACTTTCTAACAGCACCATAGTAATGACAAAAATTTACACAAAAAAGTATCACCTGATTACAAAAATATCACCAGGAAAAGCACTTAGAAGTCATTATCATTGTTGATGTAATTATCTCTCAGTTTGGACAATTTTTCTATAACCGTATCTACGGAATATTCTCCATGCACGACATTGTCTCTGGTACGTACGTTTACAGTGTTGCTAGATCGTTCCTTTTCTCCAACCACTGAAAAGAAAAATCAAATAGAACTATCTCATCATGACAGTTTTGTTGACGCATTTTTTTTTTTATAAAATTAATGCAAATATGGCAGCCTCGCCTCAATAGATCCCTATCTCACCCATGCTTTATTCTTAACTGAAATACCTGCCTAACCCAACGTAGCCCTCTTACCTACCCTGTAGAGGTGAATTCACCCTCTTGGAAAAGGAAAAGTGATCAAAATATAAGTGATCAATATATTGATCGATGACACGTGGAGTATATAGTTTGACAGAAGTAATGATCAAAGATCAATAGGTTGCCGGGGTAGCAACCAGGTGGGACCAATTCCCTCCCCCCTCTCACAAGACTCCCATAGGGGATGACTGCCGGTTACTTGTCTTTCGACTCACACCGACAGCACCCCAGGAAGAAATGGAGAATTTGGATACGCCAACGCGCTAGAGCCATCTCCGTTATGTAACCGCATGTTCTCCTGCTACCATTTTATTATACCAGTGTCAGTGCGCGAGCAGAAACGCTGCTCACCCGCCGAGGCAGGCAAGATATCCTCCCACTTGACCCATAATGGGATTCTTCTTCACCAGCTCTACCGTAGTCCGGTGGTGTTTTTTGGAAACCTCTGCCCCCTGGAGTCCAACCCAATTGGTAAGGCAACAGGCCGTATGTACGACCTAATGGGGCTATCCTCATCACCCCAGGTACCCATGTCAACAAGATTCCTCTTGTTACGTTTCATGGGTCGCCGTCGCAAGAGGCTTTGACCTGATTGCTACTCATGTTGACAAGAATCCTCACGTCCCGTTGAATGAGTGATCGTTCGAGGTCTTTCACAAGTTCCTCTACCTCGTTAACAGGAGAGGGCCTCTCTGACGAACTAAGGCACAAGGTACACCAGAGCTACCCAAGTCGACCGGAATCCATGGTGGGCCCACGGCCGATATAGTTTGACAGGTGACGTTTGACGTATACCGTTTGGGTTTGCATGTTTGACAGATAACATCACGTGAGGTCACGTGTCATCGAAGTGACTCACCGCTGCAGGGTAGGTTAGAGTAGAGTTCCTTAGGGGTCTATTCAGTAACTTATCACCGGGGCAACTACAAAAAGGGGCCCCCACTATTGAGAAAAAGAATCTTTCTTCTTTCGACGGGTAAACCAGTGAACAAAAATATTGAAAAATAATTTAATTATATTTGTTCACTCCAATCTGGAAATATCAATCTGTCAAAATGGCCCTCCAACTCAACCATCATCACTACCAACAGTGCCAACACTTTATGTCATTGACAAGTTTGACTACAGCTACAGCAAGCTGAATGCAATGTAGTCTATGCACTTTATCCATAGACAACAGTTTGTTTTCCCCCAGTTTGAAGTTCGTATTATGTAACCTAGATGTCGCCCACTTCGTGAATCTCGCGAATACAGACTGTAGGTTATGTTTCCTGTTCATTGAGTATCCAGAGTCCACACTCACCCAAGATGTAGTTGAACTGCGCCAATTGCGCGTTCCGTATCTTCTTGTTCATAGTGTCCCCCGCATCGATATCCATCTCGGCCATGAAACCGGCCTCGAACAGCCTGTTTTTGACCAGCTGCGCGTACTCGTCGTAAGAGGGCCCCACCGGCACCACCATGGCTTGTCTCGGAGACAGCCAGAAGGGCCACTTTCCGGCGAAGTTTTCGGTGAGGACGGCGATGCAGCGCTCCAACGAGCCCAAAATGGCGCGGTGCACGATGACGGGGCGCTTTTTGTCACCAGTCTCGCTAAAATTACGACATATCGTGTTCTAGAATATTTCAGAATGTTCGTGAATGTTATAATCTTACATAACGTTCAAGAATGTTCTAGAATGCATAAAAATCATGTCAAAATGTTAAAGAATACTTGAAGTCCGTATGACACGGGCCTGATTTTCACTCATTTCTGAATCATTTTCTGTGAGAAAATTCTGTGCTGTGTGACACGACACGACATAAGATCGATATTGTGATAAGGGGCATGCGCATGTTATGAAATAATATAATTAATATGAAGATGCACATGCCAGTTGTGCACCTTAACCTTAAAATATATTTTGGAAGAAGATATTCAAAATTGAAGAATGGATAAGTAATGCTTTCTCTTGAAAAATATCTGTCTGCAGCTCTGCAAAAGTGGGTGCTATGCTCAGGGTATTTGTTATAAAAAATCGAAATGGAGAAGTATAAAAAAATTGTCTCGTGAATCGCTCCAAAGAAAACACCCGTGGGCTAGGAGTTCTGAATATTGACAGAGTAAACACCTTTATGGAAACCCTGTGTCATATGGGATGGGAATCTACAAATTTCATAAGAATGAATAATGATCAGTTCACTTTTGTTCGATTGCAAACAAACAGAGATATTTCTGGTATTCTTCAATTAAAGCCCCAACATATGCTCCGAAGACCAAACCATTATAGAACTGATGTTATCTAAATTTGAGATAACAGTAGAAATTATCAGTGGACATATATTATTTGTAATCTGAACATCAATTATCTTTTCAAAATACCAACAAAGTGACATTACCGTAACCCCAAAACCCAAAATAACACGAACAATTCGAAGGTTGAATAACGGCGTAATGAGCAAGCGCTTCAACATAAAATGAATGAAAAATAGGACATCATCCAATTTGGCAGTCAGACTCTCTGTTTCTGTAATACACGGTGCAGTAAATTCCCAAATTGCTTGATTTATGCAGTTTTTCCTATTTTCAGTACAGCTAGACAAAAAACTGCCCAATGAGTCTAGATCTCGATTTTTGTGAAACGTCGATTGGTAAGAACCGCATTTAGATATCTCTAACCGTTTCCGAGATATATGCGAAAATTGACATTTGATCAATTTCAAATTTATGCCATAACATTAGAATTACAGCAGAGTGAGAAATGCTCAAGAATGTTTTAAAAAGTTCCGGAATCTTTTTCAATCGTCGAGAATGTTTGACAATGCAGAATAATGTTCGGGATTGTGCTTAGGATATTCGATTGAAGAATAAAATGTATTAGAATGTGTTCAAAAATATTGAGGAACGCTTAAGAATATTCTAGAACATTTTAAAATGCATGATATTATCCCGAGAATATTCCAGGATTTTTTTGAAAATGTAGCAAGATAAGTGAAAATGTTTGATATAGTACTAGAATGTACTCATGGGTTGAAAAACGATTAGAATGTGTTAGAATGCAATAAAATGCTTCTAAAATGTTCAAGAATGCTCAAAAATCTTCTAGAACGTTCTGGAATTTTCACTTATAATATCACGAGAGCTTCAATTATTTCCGGAAATTGTTTCAAGAACACGAATATTTTGACGAATTTTCAAAATTTTCGTGTTCGAGAAAATTTCCCACTGAAATATTATATTGCAAGTATGTCTTTGTAAATGTATTCATATGAGAATAAATAAATAAATAAATAAGTATACCTACATAATATTATATGGTAAACTATTGATACATTATTTCTATTCATTGACTAACAGAATGAACTCGAAATAATCTGAAGTTGAATGTGAATGTCAGTTAACCTATAAACGTCAAAAAAATTCCAGTGTAATTACCTGCTCCGTCCCTCAAGGAGGAAAAAATTTCCAAGAAATTTGTTTAGTTGCTATGGTAACGATACGAAATACATGCTTTAAATTGATCAAAAATGTTTGGTGTGAAATTTTCTATAATAATTTCCACAACATTGTATTGGAATATTCGGTCGAGTTTAAAAATGTACTTCAATAATGTTCGGAAATGTACTAGGATGATTATGTACCTCACGTAGGATAGGTTGAACCTGATGGGTAACTGGAAATCAAGCTGAATGGTGGCGCACTGGTGAGACCTCTTCAAAGCATCCTTGATCGTAATGTCAATTTTGGGACCATAAAATGCGCCATCCCCTGGGTTTATCGTCCATGGCAAACCGGTGTCGTCCAAACTTTCTCCTAATGCCTATACAAATAATTTCAATAGCCAATTCACTCCACCTACATGTCATATTTTAATAATAATAATAACATTTATTGATCCCAAGAAACATAAAAAATGTTTCGAAATAACATATAATTAAAATAAGTGCAAATCTCACCTTTTCAGCTGTATTCCATAACTCGATCTCCCCCAAATACTTCTCCGGCCTGGTGCTCAAGCACACGCTGTACGTGAACCCGAACGTATCGTACACGTACTTCATAAAGTCCAGGCACGCGGTGATCTCCTGCTTGAGCTGCTCGGGTGCGCAGAAGATGTGCGCGTCGTCCTGCTGGAAGCGACGCACGCGCGTGAGACCGGTCAGCGCGCCGGACAGCTCGTTGCGGTGCAATACGCCGAAGTCGGCCAGGCGGAGGGGCAGTTCACGCCACGACCGGACGCGGTTGTCGAACATCAAGCTGGAAATGTATTGTTTTTTTTATGTTCTGGTTCCCACGAAAAGGGATATCTTGTAATATTCAGAGAACATCGTGAGAACCACGGGATATAAGGTAGGACTTGGTGTTCTTAAATTTCTGGAGGTTAAATGTCCCGGGGAACACCTCCCTCGGCAATGTGTTCCAGAGCGTCGCTGTTCGTTGGATGAACGAGTATTTGGAAAGAGATGTTCTGCAGGTCTCCAAAGTGACCACGAAGAAGTGCGAAGCCTCAACTCGACGGGTTAATCTCGCGGGGACTGCCAAGGGAGGAACAATAATTGTTGATAGTTCAGAAGAGCATCGCCCACGAAAATATCTATAAAATAGAGCCAGATCGCCAATTTTCCTACGGTGTTCCAGAGAAGTGAGTGAGTTTGTGAGCGAGGCAACACCCACGAGACGAATTGCCCTTTTTTGGACAGAATCCAAGAGTTTTAGGGTATGTTTGGGTGCTGCATTCCAAATATGGGAATAGTATTCCAGAGCAGGTCGGATCTGTGCTTTATAGATCATAAGCAGCTGACTGGAAGTGAAATAGCTCCTGGCCCGAAATAGAAAACCAAGTTTTTGGGATGCACTTTTAGCAATTGATCTCACGTAATTTTCCCAAAAAAGGTTATTGCTGATAGTAATACCAAGCAACAAAATGGATGTCTTCAAAGGTATGGTTACTCCTGAAAAGCTTATGTTGGGCACAGTGAGATCGGCTTCTCTAGAGAAAAGGCATGCTTTTGTTTTGTTTGCATTGAAATCTACCAACATGAATTTGCTTCCAACAAATCGTTGATATGGAGTAGAAATAGTGTTGGTGCTAGAATTGATCCTTGCGGAACACCAGTATTTATGATAAGAGAGTCAGATGAAACTCCGTCGACCACTACATGGAGAGACCTGTTTGAGAGAAAACTAGCTAGCAGAGAACATAGCTAGGGAGGCAAGCCATATGATGGGATGTTGGCGAGGAGTTCGTGGTGCCAGACTCGATTGAATGCCTTGGGGATATCAAGTGCCACGGCTAAGGTTTCACCATATTTTTCAATAGATTGCTGCCATATATGTGAGACGTAAGCGAGCAGGTCAACAGTTGATCTCTGATGACGGATGCCATATTGCCTATCGTTGATAATACCTGAATGTTCCAGGTATTTCATGAGCTCCATGTTGATAGCTTTCTCCATGATCTTTGAAATAATAGATAGCAGTGCGACCGGTCTGTAGTTGTTAGGTAGGGTCTTTTTGCCTTTTTTAGGAACTGGTTGTAGCAATTGTCCAGTTGGACGGGAATATCCCCAATTTGTAAGAGTAGTTGAACAAATTGCAGAGAACAGGTGTTAGTTCGAGAGCACATTTCTTGAGAACAATCGGTGGGATTCCGTCGGAGCCACAAGCTTTGTTGGTGTTGAGACCCACTAAAATCTTCTTTATAGCATGTTGGTGAAAGGTGATCTAGGGCATATGACTGTCAATTGGCGTTATGCTTGGAGGTTGTTTTCCAGATGAATCCAGAGTGGAATTTCCAGCAAACAAATGCGCAAAAATGTTGGCTTTCTCCTGGCCAGTTGTGGCTAGTGTTCCATCTTCCTTGGTTAGAGGAGGAAACGAGCTGGAAGTGAAGTGTCTTCTTACAGCTTTGGCGAAGGACCAAAATGAACGGGATCCGTTACGACATTCAACAAGTTTTGATCTTATTTTGGCATTATGAGCATCCTTTGATGATCGAATTGTCTCATTGGATAAGCCTCGACATATTCTGCTCTATTCTCAGGGCCAGCGACAGCTCTAGAGCAGTTTCTACTGAACCAGGAATGGGGAATCTTCATACAACATGTCACTTGGTGAGTATGTGTGAGAGTTTCTTTAGTATTATCTTTAATCGAAGAAAAGTGGAATTTAATATTTTCAATATTATAGCTATACCTACACTCTTCTTCCTCAACAAATTTTCACTGACTATCGATTGAATTTCACTTGCATTGACAGTTTGAGGCGAATTATCTGATTTGTCCTTACTACAAGAGTCAGGGAGAGAAATTAAAAAAGTAATAATGCAAAATGGAGAACTCACCAATGACCTGGGCAATTCATAGGTTTCAGCCCAAACTTATCCTTCTCGATTTCAAATGAAAACATATTTTCCTAGAACAAAAACCAATATTTACACCAAACAGCATTTTTAAAACACTCCAAAACTAACCGCATAGTGAGTCCAATGACCAGAAGTCTGCCACAATTTAACATTGTATATATTAGGAGAAATCACTTCATGGAAACCACGTTTCCTATACTGTTTTTTGATGAACTCAAGCAAAGTATTGTAAATATGAGCCCCCCTCGGCTGGAAGAAGCAGGAGCCCGGAGAGTATTCATGGAAAAAGAACAATTCTTGTTCCTGCAAAGAAAATCACTCCAAATATGTAGCCACAAAAATCACATCCAAAATTACCCTTCCAATTTTTCTGTGATCCCTTTTGGCTGCCTCTTCTTGCAGTGTTTGCCATTCCTTCAACTGCTTTGTATCAGGAAAACTGATTCCATAAACTCGTTGGAGAGTTTCTGCTTCAGCTTTGCCCTCCCAATAAGTAGATGAGTTCTGAAAAATCAGAAACATACACGGTGTCTCCACCTCCAATAACATAACAATAATCAACTTCAACTCCTAGGAACTAGAATTCAACTTCAGCTCCTAGGAACTAAATATGTACCTATTTTTGTGTCAGTAATAGAAACGTCAATTTGAAAGCTAATTTTGGTATCAAAATGGACGACTTTTGTGTCGGTTGCAGAAAAAAATATATCTCATCAAATCTCACCTTGGTTACTTTGAGAGCCTTTATTTTTCCAGTATGTCGAATATGGGGCCCCCTGCACAAATCTATAAGTGGGCCACACCTGTAGACAGTGGTGGTAGGAGTGGTGACTTTTTCATTCAAAATGCGTACTTTGAACTCATTGTATTTGAACATTTCCAATAAATCGGCTTTGCTCATCTCAAGCCTTTCAAAAGACTGCTTTTCTTTGACGATGTTCTTCATGAGGCCTTCTACTACTGGGAAGTCAGTTTGGGAAATCTGAAAATTATGGATATATGTGTTGTCCAGATTTATTTTATTTTTATTTTTTTCAGATGCCTGTAAGTATTTCTTCCACTTTTTTTAGGAAAATGTTGGAGTAAATGAAAATCAATTATTGGTCTTAAGGTTAATAAAAACTCTTAAATTCATTTCACTCAACTTGACAAAAAAATTTCAAAATGTCCCATAATATTCATGCCATCTTCATGGCATAGATGTATGCTGTCAAAGTTGAAAAAATATAGTTTTTCTTCATTTGGGATCCTTTTGAAATTTCGAAATTTTGCAGATTAAGGTTACATCCTATAGCGATTTTATGTGGGGAACCTTATATTTTAAAAAAGTAGCTGAAGGACTATGTGCTAGTGAACAGTGTGATCTGAATTCAAATGGGGAACTTATATTGAGGTTTGTAAAAAATTAATATATACGTATTTTTTCTTTTTTTCGTAAGATCAAATTTCACTTCAGAAAAAAAAAATAAAAGATGAACGTGGCTCCTCCACCATTTCTATGCTTTCTGAAAATACACATTCACACAGAGTTAAAATACGATTCCCTGTGCCAGTACGACATTGCAGACATCATCAATATGTCTAGATTTCCGGAAATTGTTCTTTGAATGCATAATAACTATATCATAATGGGATATAATAGGTTCTTCAATCCCATAAATCTCTCATTGGCTGAATGAAGTTGATTACTAATAAAGATAAATTATGATATTTTGCGCTAAAATCTATAATCTTTCACTATCGTTATATTACAATATATTATTCATAACTTGTCATCAGTCATTTTTTTGCTAATGAATTCGTTCCTTAATAAAATGGATCTATTTTATAGGAAAGTTGTAGATTATATCTTGCAACAGCGCCTAATCTTCGAGTCCGTCAACCCCACTCAAAATTCTGACAGGCACAACAAGAGGAAGGAGCCATGGGTGTCAGCTTCATTCTGTTCTGACCGATGGCAGTAAATTAGGAAGGATAGTATCATTGAATGTAGCCGATAGTGATTCATTGATTCAATATTTTCGTTTAGGATCAAGCTCTATTCGAAATATTTCAATGCATGAATATCAAAACCATAACCTGTCAGAATGAAGCCAACTACCTTCGGCATTCCTTGTTTACCAGTTTTACTTCTTCTTCCATTCTTTTCGTTACTTTTTCATCCGTTAGATATTCGCTAGCTATATTCTTCACCATCAGCTATTTTCAGACTAGATTCAGAATGTACAGTTTGCTGCCCGGAAAATTAGAAATTGCTTCAATTTGAAAATGAAAACGACTTGGACTTAATTGGTCGCCATTCTGTACAGCGTGGACATGTAACTGGAGAGTTCCGAAGTTATATTATGAAAATTCATCTGAAGGAAACTTCCTCATTGTTCAAAGCAGAAAAAAAATTATTCATATTTCAATAGGAGCAACATTTTGGGGTGCGACGAATTTAGTGTTGCGTAGTTTAGAGCAGAAACATATATTACTGAGCAATTATGAACTAACCCCCTTTTCTCCAACGAAAATATCATAATAGAACCCGGATTCGATGGGGGGGCCGTAGCAAAGGCAGCCGCCGTAGATGCGTTCCAGGGCTTCTCCCAAAACGTGCGCAGAAGAGTGCCAGAAGACAGCTTGAGCTTCCGGATCGTCGAACTTGAGCAGCTGCAGTGCACAATCTTCTTCAAGGGGCCGGTCCAGATCCCACAGAACGCCGTTTACCTTGGCGATCACCGTGTTGTCCGCCAAACCGGAACTGAAATTATCCGTCTTTATCACAAAACTAGCAGACCTCGCAAACGTTGTTTTATACATATACAGTAATATATATAAAACCAATAAAACCATAGGTGGGCCGAATTTGGAAATTTGGTAGCTCACTATTGTTGATAAGTGCTATCCGGCTAAAATATTTTGAAAATTGTGGCACTTCCGGTTGTACCGGAAGTGGAGCCCAACTTCGGTATTTCAAATGGAACAACCCTGTATTTTATTGCATTTTTAGATTCTTCCTGAAGAGCTGATTTCATCAATGTATCACACTTGGGGTCTATCAGGAATGATTACAGAAATATAGGGTGTTCAAAATCGAGATTTTTTAATTTTAGGTTTTTTTTGTGTCGATCAAAACGGCTTATATGTTCCTATCTACTATCAACTGACATTATATCTCCCATTTCAGTTTGTGCCTTGAAACCTTAATTACCCTGTATAGCAGATCCTATTAAAACTTCCAGATTTCAAAATTATATTAGAAACGTCTCGTCCCAAGAGATCAGCCCAATCCATGGCCCAAACCATATGCTTCAAGTGTTCCCGCCCATCTTTGACAATAATGAAGTTAGATTAACGAACACAGTAAGGCATATTATAGTCGGTAAGGGCCATAGCAAAAATGGTCCTTTGGGTTTTGAAATGTGTGCACCATCAGCACCGAAAAACGTTACTACCTAGTATGATCTCTTCGGACAAGGCGACCCTAATATGATACATGAATTCTCTATCAATAACGTCAGGACGGGTATCAAAAATAGTTATTTATTATACAAGGGAAAAGAGTAGTAGATTTTAGCTCCAGGTTGTGTTGTCTCCCGACGCATAGCGGAGGGAGACAACAAACCGTGAGCTAAAATCTAATATTTTTCCCGTGTATAATACACTATTTTTTTCTGTGACACAAGAAAGGACGAATCAATATTGAGAAGATATTACATTATTTTGAAATCTGAAAATTATTGACGTGAAATTTTAAGTTTGTAACAGTAGGGTCACCGCGTTGTAGGCATCTTTATCATTCATTTGAAGTAATCAAATATCTGATGTCACTTCTGTCAGTCTAATTCTGTAATTTGATTTCAAAAAGTTGCGAATTTTGTGATTGTTTAGTAATATTCCTAACCGCGAAGTCGAATGGAAGATAAAAGGACTTGCAGTTCTTTCTCGGAGACGGTATTATTGACTCATTTTTCGGAACTATAGCACAACAAAAGCCATCAACAGTGTGTATATATATGTAATATATATCCGGGAAAAAAGTACTCACTTTTTTCCCACGGGAAAAAAGTAATTTATGGAAAGTGACATTTTATAACCCGCCAACAGGGATGAAATGCCAAACTTTTTTCCCGTCACAGAAAAATATATAAAACTATATGAATCAGTACCTATTTTGCTTGAGAATTTCATAGACAGTTCGATATATCCACTTGGCAACAGTGTGTAAAATAAAGGGCGTTGTCATAGCTGTCAAATGGGGTGCACTGCTGGGTTCTGTCTAAGATGCCTGTCAACTTATAAACATCTCAGTTCTGTCATATATTTACTATTTCTATATATAGCGCATTGCCTATATGTACAAAAGTGGGACTGAAATGAGAGTTACTTTTTGAATCTATAAGGATGGAAAGTGAAGGATGGAACAGCCATATTGGTTTGACAAGTTTCCTATTATTTTTTCCCTACATCGGCATCAACGCCTATTGGTCGATTTCATTACCTTCGTCCTTGAGGACAGCTATGCTTCATATATTAGTAGTAGATATATGGGTTCTGGTCACAGACACTTGTTCACAGGATTTGGGTAACATTTCATTTGATTTTCAACTGATTTATTCTGGGATTTATTTCATAAGTGATATTTCATATATATTATTGGAACTATGCATTTCTGTATGAATCCAAGAAAGAAAGAAATAAAAAGTCTGTATTTCAAAAGAAAAACGGCCACACATTATATAAAACAAAAACTTGTCTATTACATGTTACTGGTTATGGCACAACGGCCATCATCAGACATAAAAAGAACCTGTAAAATAATAAATATGACAATACACTTGAAGAAAATTGAAATACAAAACATTCCATATGAGGCACATATACCTTTATTATATAGGTAAGTCATGGTGGTATATTCCAGGGTATATTGTGCTGCTGTTCATCCTTACCTTGGGCACATTTTCAAAAAACTCATTTACACAATGAATAAAAATGCAAATATAATCATTTAGAAGAAATGAGGTATGTCTGATAACTGCCTATAAATATCCAAGATAATATTTGTCAATAGATAATATTGTGGGAAAGAAAGCTAGGGTAAACAAACAGATTCTGTACAAAAATGAGGGCTAACATTATTTGTTTCCCACCAGAAACTACTGAAACTTCAGGCAAGAGTTGGTAAAACTGATAAATATACTTCTTTTTATTTCATTTGGCCTCTTATTCCTATGATATATTCTCTGTCATTATGAGAATTGGTCACATTGAGAGTAAAAAAACACAATTCTGCTCAAGTCTTTTTATATCTACAGTTTTTCTAATTGTTCAAATGGGCCACATGAGTTTTTCTGAATATTTTTCAATAAAACAAAAAAATTTGAGATTGAAAATGTAAGCCCTTGTAGGTAAAAAGGTGTAAGTAGGTATAGGATAGTTTTTGAGGAAACATAAAATATGATGTTAATTATTTCAGACCATTCCAAGAATATGTGGTACTTTGAAATTTTCTAAATTCTCAATTATATAGAAACTCATACTGTTATATATTGAGATTCCTATGTAATATATCAGTAGATTTACAAGGTACCTTGAAAAGCTTATAATGTCATACCTGATCCCTTTTGCAACATCATAGGCAGTAGTCTTCCAAGCAGTAGCTTCTATAGGTTTACCATCTGGCAATGTAACTGTGATAGATTTTTCAGGTTTACTTGCTATATCAGCTTCATACTTGGCCTTTAGTTTGTCCCATAGGGTAAGCCTGTCTTGTATATAAGATGGCCAAGGGTTCATTTCTTTAGACATCGTGTTTTCGCCTCCACTTTGAGCTTGTTTGTTCTTTTTCAATTTGGCCTAATACAATGAATTATTAGATTTATAGAATGTCCATGGTTTGCTTAATCAATTTCATACTAAATTTCGGCTTTCAAGCACAACTGAGGTTATCAAATTGTACAAATTAAACACATTGCTGCATATTTTATCTGGATATCCACATTATTGCATCATGCAGATTTCCAGGTAACCTACAGCATAGGTAGAAAATGTTGAGCTACAAACCAAGGAAGGATATGAACGGTGTAAAGCCGGAACAGCGATTCTAACTGAACGTAAAATTCTTAACATATTGAAATAATTAGTATTTAACAATCATGCCTTTTCGTCTTTGTTCAAGTTCAAATTTTCGACTCCTTTTTCCATATTTTCACTCATTTCACCATTCACCAAAGAAAAATGTTCACTGCACAGTGCACTAGCTGACAAAAAAGTGAAACGTGACAACACTGACAAAGTGACAGAGATATATTTCAGTGTGGTGTACACGTGTTGATTTGGCAGTGGCTAAAAGCCTACAGCCGGGTTATATACATCTATGTTTTAAAGTCCAAATCTTAGATCATACAGGAATGATCTAAGGTCCAAATACATTTGTTTACTCATTTTACTACTAATTCATTATGGTTGGTAAAGTTGCAGCAGGATTTGTTATATTTAGAAGATTTTCTACGGACATAGAGTACCTCTTGCTACAAACCTCTTATGGTATCCATCATTGGACCCCTCCAAAAGGTATTATTTATAACTCATGCATGATTTTCTTCTAAAAGTAATAACTGTTTCAGGTCATGTTGATCCAGGTGAATCAGAAATGGAAACAGCTTTGAGGGAAACAGTTGAAGAATCTGGACTTCATAAAGAGGATCTCAAGATTTTTGAAGACTGTAAGAAAGTGTTGACCTATCAGGTCAAGGGAAAGCCTAAAACAGTTTACTATTGGCTAGCAGAGTTGGTGAATCAGAATGCCCAAGTGAAACTATCCCATGAACATCAAGATTTCAAGTGGTTGGGATTGGAAGATGCTTGCAAACTGGCAGAGTTCAAAGAAATGCAAGAAACTTTTCACCACTGTGAACAATATATTAACAGAGTAATAAAGGGAAATACATAAATATACTAATACTTAATTAGGCAATAGTCATTCCACTGAAATGAAACATTGAGCTAAACAAGTCCAAATCCTTTCTGAAGAGCTTTTGCCTCTGCAACTGAAATGGGCTTTAATGTGAATCCTTCCAGTCTAGGCTGATGTTCTAAATCTCTCAGATTTTGTGACTTTTCTCTGATTTTATTCTGCAGACTTCTCAAGTCATCATCAGCTTTACTTATTTCTGAAAAGGATATAAGGTATATCATTATTTGATTTTGTTTTCAATTATAAATTAATTTATACCTACCCTCTCGTAATATGTTTCGGCACTCATCCACCGGTCTCTCTACGAAAACCGCTCCCACTTGAATCCAATTATTCCTTTCTTCTGATTCTTTTAATGCATTCAGGGCTTCTCGGAATTTGTTCTGAGCATTGGCAAGAGCTAATTTTTCTTCTCTCAACGTTAGAATATCCTGGGCTACAGTTTCAACTTCCTGCAAATATTTGAAAGATTTTTGTGTTTCTATGTTCCCTAGAGTAGACATCACTTATTTTCTTCGATAAAAAATCCTGTCATACCACGTCATACACATACAGCTTGAAGTCGTGGAGACTCACCATAAGCATTAGAGAGTTTTCCGCAGTGCATAAGTTACCGGCTGGCGACTCTTAGCGTCATCAAGAGGAAGATATTTCTACAAGGCCTGTTCGTTTGTGCTTGCTCTACCTGCTGAACTGATTTTTTCCTGACTTTCTCTGTTCACATCATGCCATGAAGAGTTTCTATGTTCCCTAGAGTAGACATCACTTATTTTCTTTGATAAAAAATCCTGTCATACAGCTTGAAGTCGTGGAGACTCACCATAAGCATTAGACAGTTATCCGCAGTGCATAAGTTACCGGCTGCCCGGCTGGCGACTCTTAGCGTCATCAAGAGGAAGATATTTCTACAAGGCCTGTTCGTTTGTGCTAGTTCTACCTGCTGAACTGATTTTTTCCTGACCTCTGTTCACATCATGCCATGAAGAGACAACTATGGAAAAAAAATCAACTATTTCTTAATTTCTGATGATTTCTTGCAAATTCCGCAGTTATAACTCCATTTGCATAAAATCAGAAAATTTTGTAATGCAGTATGTAGTTACCATGAAAAGGGGGAAAGCAGGAGTAATAGATATTTCAAGAACGGAAGAACTTCGGGGATTCATTATTTAGAAACATTTTATTAAACTTGAACACATCATAAAAGCTGAAACATTTTCAAATATGTACAATATACAATCTGTTTTATCAAAAACTTATTGATACTTAAAACTAATTTTGACTAGGCTTTTTTGATACCAGGGCCATGAAGTTCAATGAAGGACTCCAAAGCTTGAGGCACCTGACCTTGGTAGGTCAATCTGTGGTGCCTGACTGCATTGGCTGCTATGCACTTCAAACTTAATTTCATTTGAGTTTTCAGAATGATTTCAGCAACACCTAAATCGGAAATAATCAATGTTAGGTTATTTTTCTCTTTGCATCTCTTCAGATTACCTGTAGCTGAAGATTCCAAGGGTGTTTCTCCTCGTTTATTCACGCAGTCGAGATGGGCCCCATTCTCAGTCAGATCCGTAATAATCGAGTGTAAAGTCATGAAATCAGACACAGCCTTATGGTAATTAACTATCACATGTAGGGGAGTATTTCTTTCATCGTCCATGGCGTTGACATTAGCTCCACACTGTATCAACAGCTTCGTTGTTTCAGCACATGGAAATCTAGAAATCGAATATTGCCAGATCCCAAAACAGAGGGCCCGAATGAAAATAATCTTACTTGCATATATCATTGGTATGAAAATCATCAACAGGTGTCTCTGAATTGCAAGAAAGATGCAAAAGCGACTGTCCATCTCTCAGAGTTACTTGCAACTGGTTCAGAGTGAAGATCATTCTATTCACATCAAACTTTTCTTCTTCGGAACACTGTTTCAGCAGTTTTGTGAGGATCGTTAAAAGGTACAGAGTGGTTGTCATGTTGCTTTCTATGTCATCCTGCAGAAGCAACAGAAAATATAGGTATAGGGACATGGACAGAACTCCAAGAAATCAAATATTCATAATGAAGAATGAAATGATACTTTTTGTCTTCAACAGCAGGAAAATAGATAAACGTTATTCATTGCATTTGGCAGAATTTTTCTGCATTCAGTGTAATTCTATCAACCAGTTTCTTGGTTTTGTTAATGAAATAACAAGAGGAAATGCCTCATAACTATTTAGAGTATAATGTCACTTTGCCTGCTCATTTAAAAAAAAATCTTTCGGAACCATGTATTTTTATCATATTTTGATAAAAAAATAGGTTTTTAATGTCATATCACCAATGTAGATTACTAATAGAATGTTAATTAATCAAATATACAAGAAAAACTATGAGATACAAAGGATCCGGATTCAGAATAACCGAATCACACCGAATACCCCATGTTCTGAAATGATTCTCAAGAGATGCAGCAGGAAGGCGCGGTGACGTCATCATCAAATGAATCAGCTTAATCTTGCAATAAAACCACTGAACTATGACAAAAAGAACGCGTTTTGACAGCATTTCACGTTCCGTGTTCCGTGTCATGTGAAAAATATGTCCATGTCCATGAAAAACGGCGGTATTTGTCATTCACATTCAACACCAAAACCAATTACCTATATTTTTCATAATTTTTTTATGCTGATGCTAAAGTGGAATGTCTATGAGGTATCACACCAGTACTAACCAATAAATGTAGAAATGAGTAAATTACCATTACAGTTTCAGGGTCGTCTTTGGGGCCGGGCATCACCAGCTTGTCTCTGTTCCTCTCCAGCTCCACAATGGCGGCGGACAATACGTCGAAGACGTGACTGTAAGTCACCTTGACCCCCACGTGGAGCATCTGTGAGAACACCTGAGCAAACCTCAGAAGGTCCTTCACAACAGACACATAGTTCCTCTGGCGCAATTTCAGAGCATGCAGCCACAATTCCAGACATCTGAGTGAGCAATCAAAGTTAGTTCTCTTCTCGATTATTGACACTAACAAGATGAACCATTCTTATGAGAGCAATGAAGCCAGACATTCTATTCAGTTGGTGACCCTATCTATGAGCAACAAGGTGAACTACTTTTTGTTTAGTAGCAAAGGATAGAGATGGTTAATGCAGAATATATTCTAAGTTTATTTTAAGATGTTTTTATGCAAGAGGAATGTCTCATTAGGGCTGGATTAAAATATTTTCATTATATAAAAGTCAGAATATCAAAGTTAGTGATTTTATTGCTTCAGAAAAATGATAGGTTTGTTTGCATTCTCTCAATAAAGGATCCGAACTCAGATCCGAAACTGTCACAAGCATGCGCAGTTTCACCTAAGTGTTCGCGTTTTCTCAGGACTGTTTAGTATTCCACAGGTCATGTGTTTTCGTTCTAGTGGATTTAGTTCGTGATGGTTCGGGACAGTTTGAAATCGGTTCAAATGAGTACGAGCCTCTAAGCAAGAACTGTTCTGACGTCTGTGTACTATTTTATATGCGCATGCGTACGTTATTCTTCCTAGGTTGATCGATTTATTAACCTCATAACCTCAATCTTTTTGTAAATTATTATTTTTATCAGTCTTCAATATTTATTACTTTAAACTACTGTGACCAAATTATCAAACAAAAAAAATGGAAATCAGCTTCAGCTCATCTTCTTCCTCGAGTTCAGGTGAAGAAGAAACTTTCCTAAGTATAATTTTGCCAGAAATCATCAAAAGCCACCCCAAAAACGTTGGATTTGTAGATGAAACCGTTGGATTTGTAGATGAAAACGTCTGGGATTTCAGGAAACGGACAAAATTTCAAACATAACCTAAATGAACTTGAACCTAATCTAATAAAATAGAAGAAGATCGGATCATAATCATGAAACGCGTTTTCGTTTTTGTGTTTTCCGGACTGTCATAGAACTATCTCGGATTGAATTTGACACGCATCTGGTTTTGCGCAATCCTAGGACTGTCTAGGACTGTTTCGAAAATGTTGAACACTAACAAACCTGATATATCCTAGATAGATGGACTAGAGCAGATTCCGAGAGTATAGGGGGTAGCGCCACCTATGAACCAGCCAAGAACTAAGGCCAAATTTGGTTTCAATCTTTTGCATGGAGGTGGATCATCTTGTTAGTGTAAATAATAGGGTTCCATGTACCTGAATACTGGCCACATTTATACCATATTATGGATAGTAGGTATGCTTATCAAGGAGATCTAACTAAATTCAGACCAAATGTCTTAGTTACCGCATGTTTACACCATTTCGCGAGATCCCGTTGATTTGCAGGGAACTGTTATTCAGTTCCCGTTGCATTTTCGCGTCATAACGGTAATAGGGGAGTATGATAATGACGTCATCGGTGACGTGACAATTTATAAAACAAGAACTGTTTTAGTTCCCGCATCTGAGAACATGGTTACTGGCGGTTATAGTAATTGACAAGTGACATTATCATAATTTTCAAAGTATTATGTAATTATTAGAACTAAAAATATTTATAATTACTACTTTTGAGATACCTACTACTAACTTTTTAAATCAAGAAATGAAAGAACGCCAACAAGAACACCAACTTGAACAGTCAATATCGTTGAAAATGTCGTTCTTTTCATTCAAAATAGCTGAAAAAATACCACATCATTATATTTATTTATCCAGTCCATATGATTCACTCTAGGATGATTGTACTTCGAAAAGTTGAGTGGGATGAGACAAGTACAATCAAAGTTGAATCAAAAAAATCATCAATCATTGACAATACTGTTGGGAACATTTTGAGATGATTTTTGTTGAGCCACCGGAGCGGCCGGAGCCAAGGGCCGGAGCCAACGATCATGCATCCATTTCATCCAAAATGTACCTGTCCATTTATTATGATCATATATCATGATCCAAAACAAACATCCCAGCTGACAGAAATCTGAACAGTTAACCGGTTCCGTTTATTTTTTGGTGGGTGTATAACCGCTCTATTACTGGTGGCGGATCAACGGGAACTGGCGAAAAAATACCTCATGTATCTTCAGTTGACTAACGTTACCAACTTTGTTTTGATTTGATTATTTTTTGAAGGTTAGGTTGTGGAACCACTTGAATTTGTAAAGAATAAAACCTTTAAGTGGGATATTTGATCAGCTGAAATTGAATGAAATCTTATTATGAGAACTCATGAAATAACTGCCACTTGCATTCAAGTCAAGGTTATACAAAATGTTTACACCGTCTTGGTCATCATACTATTTTAGTCTGGTTCTGGTACACAACAAAGTCAGCTCACCAAGACACAGTATTAACATGGTTATAATACATAGATGAAAAACCCAATAAAAGTTGTGGGGATGACTTTGGATTTTTCATCTATGAACTACACCACTCCACTTTGAGTTACCATGGACTTCTTCCAATGGTTATAATAGTTTCATCAATTGTAAACTTTTTTTCAACCCAATGTACCTGTCAAAGCGGGCGTTATCGGCAAAAACGGCTCCTCTATATATGATGGGATGAGGCACTTCTGGATTTTGAGTGCCCAGTATTCTCTCTCTGATAGTGAGTGCTTCCATATGAAGGCTATTGGTGTTTTCCTCTATTGCTTCCAGTTCATACAACGTTTGGCACTCTACCCAGTCCTCATAGGCAGCTATGGGGGGTAACAAAATCTTTCTAACAGGGTTGTTTGGGTCACTGTACCTATTTTTCAAAATTGAAGAGCCTTAAGTTTTTCCCTGACATTCAATGTCATTCAAAATTGAAATGAAAGCTGATGCTAATAATCAGTTTATTTTACCATGTCCAAACTAACCTCAACTCCATTGACATGTGCATATACTTGTAGCCCCTGGCAAGATCATAATTCTCCTTATCATTGGCATAAGAAGCCCCTAAGAGTTCTAAGGCCTCTATCCTCTCTTCCAAAGGGATCTCCAGCCTTTCAAGAAAGTACTCCACCACATCTCCCCTAGTTCTTTCAGCAGCAGCCTTAATGGGGGTCATCCCAGCATCATTGTTGGAGAATGTTGCATTATATTGAAGGAGCTCCTTCACAACATCAACATAACCACATTCTGCTGCAAAATGGAGGGCTGTTGCCCCACAGAGAGCTTTTTCATTGGGATTGGCCCCATTCTCCAAAAGGAAGCTGACCTAAACCAATGATCTTCAGAGGTTCATGGCCTAAACTAGAATAATAGTGCAAAAACTATACTTACAACATCGAGATGACCCTTGTATGATGCTATCATGAGACAGGTATTGTTGTATTTATTAGCTATGTGGAGATCAGCTTTGTGATATGTTAAATATTTCACTACATCCAATCTTCCATCAAAGCAAGCAGCCCTGAGGGGTGTAGAATTTGTCTTAGTAGCATGATTTACATCAGCACCAGCTTTTACTAAAGATTTACAAATATTGAGATTACCTGGAACAAAGAAAAAAATATCACCAAGGATATACTTGACAATACAGGCATCATATCATTGATCTTATTTTCATTCTGTGAATTATTTTTATAACACACCAAAATAGCCTGAAGGATTTGATTTCTACCAACTTGAAAGTAAAAATAGAAGGCATATTATTTATTGTAGTGAGTTAGTGACCTAACCATAATGGATGACAGAATTGGATCACTAGGCCTAGGCTATCCATATACCTTAGACTATATTTTTATAGATTCCATAAAATTACTAAAAAAAAGTCTGGTATCTTTTTATGAGTAAAAATTATCTAACTTTTGAAAGCTCAACATAAAACTTATCTACTAGGTGTCATGGGATTTTAACTAAGGGTTTTACCCAAGTCTAAATTCATATTTTCAAAGATGAAGTGGGTTGGCATTTGCAGACAGTTCAGTCACAGTAGAGAGCTTTCAGAGGAGCTCTCTACTGTGGTTCAGTGTATTATATTTTATACAAAATACAGATAACGAATCATTGAATTTTACCTGCACAAGCAGCACACCAGAGAGCACTAGCACCTTCTATCACATAACCATCAAATTTAACAGTTCCTTCTTGTTCAAGGTCTGGATTGAACTTTGTCAAGAGCATCCTCACCACTCTTTCATGTCCATTTCTTGCAGCAACTATTAGTGGAGTACATTCTTGTCCATCATCTTCAGAAAACTTCTAAAATGTACACAAGGGTTATCCATGTTAAAAATCTAATGTTAAGTTTGGGATATTTTGGGAACAAAGGGTTGACAATATGTTAAGGAACAAAGAATAGTTTTGTTAAGAATTTACCTCATTTATCACCTGGTTCACATCATTTTTCTCAATTTCGCTCATCAATGTGTACAATGCAATAGACATTCCATCCTTGGCAGCATAATAAACACGATTTTTCAGTATTTCTCGTAGCTCATACATTATCTTGCATTGAGACCAATTTCTTATAGCCAGATTCGAGGAAATCTATTTTCAAATGACGAAAAACGATTCAGAATTCGCGAAATTTCCTGACCCTGACGTAGGAAAATTCAAGAACTTCATTCCACACTTCCACTGATGACATTTGAATTTGCAATTCGAAGACAAAAAGGAAGAAGGAAGCAAAAAGCAAAAACTGGCAATGGTATTTTTTGGCGACTTGCGTTGCGATCAGCGTTGCCAGCGCAGCAACTCATAATGCACTAAAATCACCGAAAACCTAAACAGTACTACTACGAGAATATTATTTGGATTTTCATCCGAACATCCTAAGAACAGAAAAAGAAAAAGATAATTTACTATTTTAAGGTAACATTCTATTGGATACAATTTTCATTCATGTGCATTGAATTTCTTCTCATTTCGATTCATCTTGTGAAATGTGAGGACGTGAGGTTCATTTCAATTCAATTCAAAGAAGATGAAAGATGAATACTGGCTTGGAAGTTGGAACCTCTTGGAACTCTCTCAATTTGTAGCACATTTGAAGTATTAAGTAAACGGTTGTAAAGGAATCAATAGATGAGAGGAAGTGCTATTTGATATACTACTAGTCATGTGTCATGTATGATACCGTTCGGCATATAAAAAGGACTATTTTCAATCATATTGAAATGTCGGTAGATAGTTCATATCGGTAATGTAGATATTTCGGTATTTCACGTACGAATTTTGCGATCGGCGTACTAGACGAATGAAAAGGAACTAGATCTAGTACGAAAGTACTAGGTCTGGCAACGCTGGTTCAGATCACGCGGCCTTCAGGTGACCTTGATATTTTGGTGTTTGATTTTCATGACGTCAGCTGCTGTTTTTTTACAGGTTTGTGTTTCCTAAAGTTGGTATCTCTGACACTCAGTGAAGGTTAGGAAGGATGACAACAATGATTGACAGATTTCACACATGTCATTTATCATTTGTTCCGCCTTGTATATAAATTTGCTGATGAGTAATCCATCTGTTCTTTTCCTCTTTATTTTCCTTGAATAAATTTAGGGATTCTTGAAAAAAATGAGTTTCTTTGGTAAATTATTCGGTGGTAAAAAGGAAGACGAAGGCCCTACACCTGGCGAAGCTATCCAGAAGCTCCGGGATACAGAGGAAATGCTCATAAAAAAACAAGACTTTCTAGAAAAGAAGATAGCAGAATACACCTTAGTTGCAAAGAAAAATGCTGCTAAAAACAAGAGAGGTAAAGTAGTAAATATCATTTTCCATCTTCAATTACTAAATATATTTTTGCAGTGGCTCTGCAAGCTCTCAAGAAAAAGAAAAGGTTAGAAAAGAATCAACTACAAATTGATGGGACCCTCACAACTATTGAGATGCAAAGGGAGGCTTTGGAAGGGGCTAGCACAAACACAACTGTTTTGGAATCTATGAAAAATGCAGCTGAGGCACTCAAGAAAGCACACAAAAACCTGTGTGTACTTCAATTATCTCTTTGTTACCTTTGTATTATCAATTATTATTCATTACAGAGATGTTGATAATGTCCATGATATTATGGATGATATAGCAGAACAACATGATATTGCCAATGAAATTTCAAATGCAATCAGCAACCCTGTTGGGTTTGCAGAAGATCTGGATGATGAGGAGCTTGAAAAAGAGCTGGAAGAATTGGAACAAGAGGGTCTAGAGGAAGATCTCCTAAAGGTGCCTGGTCCAACTGAGTTGCCAGCTCTCCCAACACCAGCAACAGGGGCTATTGCTAAGCCAGTAAAACCACAAGCCAGTGAGTCCCTAATTCTTTATTTCAGTAGTACTAGAATGCCACTGAAACTGTTACTTACTTGATGCTCTTTTGGTGGGTTAAGATTGAAAAATTGATCTCACCATTTCACCTATAAGTTATTTTTCATACATTTATGAAAACATTATGGCACTAAAAAATATATACTATTGGTAATAACACCGAACATCAACTAAAGATAAGAAGGCTCACTTAGCTAAAACTGTTTGAAATAGCAAAAACAAAGGCGGCCCGCCACCCTTCTTCGGTGCCTCAGTTGAGCGGCAAGTCGCTTTGTGTATACGAGGACTGCGTTTATATAGGGATTGGTCAAAAAAGTAGGTAATCAGATAAATCATTACTTTATTCAACTCATTTATTATCACGGAACTGAATAAGCAAAAGGAAAAAAACGTGTTGTAGAAAGACAATGTTAAAATAAAAACGACTTCGACACTAAATAAATTAACTAACAAAATCTACCAATATAACAAAGGAAACAGGTGAACATTAAATATCCTATGGGTTGAAACCGATAGTTTTGGTGAATAAAGAGATGAATCATCATAGGTTCTGCAATATAGATAACTTTATATTTGGCTTTTCAATTTTTTTGTCTTTAATTTCACGATTTATAGATTTAATCGTAAAATAAATACGAACTCTAGTGTAGAGAGATACAAAATACTCGAATGGAAAATTTTCACACGGATGTGTGAATTGTATATTTTCAAACAAACCTTTGAGGGTTGCACCAATATTTTGTAGGTTAGCTATTTCATTGAAATTTTGAATGAAGATGTTCTCTAATCCTGTGACATATTCTACAATATCTGCATGAGGTACATTCAAGCCACCAATTCCTTTGTTATTATAAGCTTTTGCCTCAAAAAAGCGGGTCGCTTCCTTTTTTAAAGAATTTTGTTTGTTATATTCCAGACATATATCACATGAATGTTGCAACAAACATTTTTTCAATAAATAGCCTGTGACATACACCAATGCATTACCACCAGTACTGGACAAATTTCTGTAATCGCTCGTAAATACCTTCAAGGGATTGTGTGATACTGGGATGGATAATTTATTGCAGTTTTCTAGCAATTCGGGAGTAATGTTCATCAAAACTTCATTCATATCGTTAATGCAGTTTGCTCCGTCGACTTGATCAAAGAATTTTAAGGCAAATAATTTTCTGAAGGCTCTTGAAAACTGTATTGGTGTTGGATTTCTTGCATTGCCGCAACAGTTTCTAACTTGGCCAAAATAGTTCTCGATACAATCCTGATTGAGGTTTCTGGTTAATAGAAAATTATAACCCCTAGATTTCAAGGTCTCCCATAAAGCTTTAACCGACTTGATTGTTAACTTCCATCCATGAATGAAATGCAATTTGTTGTTCAAACAAATTTCTTGATTGTCAACAATCTTTATAACTTTCAAATTGCTTAACATAGTTTCAATTTCTTCTAGAAATTGGAATTGTTTCTCTGTGCCCATGAATGCGTTGAAATTATTTAAATGGCAGGAATTTAATAGATCGAATAAATCATTCATTATTTTTATGAATTTTGCAGTTACTTTTGCTTCTGGTGGTAAAACTTCAAAATCTACGTAGGTATAAAGAGCAGCTGCCACAGAATGACTGAAGACTTGCGAGGCATATTTCACCTTCATTTTCTGAAAATTACTGGGATTCAAATGTTCATTAGTTAATTTGGGACAAAGCTTGTATTGTTTTAGCTTGTCATAATTATAAAAAGTGTCCAGATAAGTTTTCTTTATCACTCCCTCTGGCAACCGATAATTGTAGGAGAATAAATTATTCCTGGTAGATTTTAATAGGTGAGGCACATCAAAAATATAAACGAGTTTCATACCATCTATGTCAAAGAAAATATTTTCTTCAGTTACTTTAAGGTGTGTTTTGACCAATTTTCGAAAATTAGACCCTTGATCTGAAACTACTCCTAACACATTGAATCCAATCGCATTCAACCTCCTGACACTCTCAAATAAAATATCTTTGATTTCGTTTGAAGGAGCCGTGGAGTTATAGAAAAAATAGGCAATGGATTGTTTCCAGTTGCTGGCTATTCCTCGCACCATCACTACAAGGGCAGTACTTGCTACTTTCATACTCTTTGTATTGTATGAATCATGAAAACTGACTATTCGGTCCTTAGATATGTCATAAAATAAATTAGATTTTATCGATATTTCATCTAAGCAAATTATACAATCTTTTTCTTTTTCTTTGAGAATTCGGGTCCTAAGTTCGAGTAAGCCAAAAATTAAGTCGTTGAAGCCAGTATTTATTACCCATCCTTTGGTGTAATGAGTTAGTGTACTTTTTGAGGGTAATCTGTATACTGTTGAAATTTTTTTGTACGCCTTAGGGCCCAGAAAATAAACGCTCAAAGCAAATTGCTTGAACTCCTCAGTGTATCGACAACCTTTCGGAGATTTGTTTAACAAATTCAATTGATATCTCAAATGTTTACATGATTGTTCAGAATAGTTTTCCTCAAAAAATCTGTTGATGTCTTCAATAGTAATTCCTACTTCAGTTTTCTTCTGACATTCAGTAGACCTAATAGTTTTTTTAAGAGCTTGTATGTCCTGCTTCAATTTTTTTTTTCGTGGAGTATCTGCGGACAGCGCCAAAGTTGTCTGAGTGGATTTACCTAAAGAAAAAATATACATTGTTCACTCATATATTTGCATACATCTATAAAAGGCTTAAATTACCTTCGAACGCTTTTTCTCCCGCATCATCCAAATCTGTTTGAATAGAAACATCCCTGTAGCTTTCTGAAATTATTTTCAATGTATACTCAAATAATAACATGTGATTTTATAATAACATGTGATTTCATTAAGCTCTAAAAGTGACTATTATATTTCAATTCAAGATAACAATCAACACATTAGATAAACATTTTGCAACATTGTAGAACGTAATGTTTATTACACATGTTGAATATATTGTATTATTTTTATTATTTTCACTTTTCGCATTTTGACTAAGCGAATGGAGGACGACTTCCTGCAGGTTCATAGAAAGAACTGATTCATCGAGATATACTCACTATTTTCACTGACGCCATTCTGAAGCAGATTAAGCGATGGAACCGCGCTTTCCAGAAGGTTAAGACTGTTTGTTGAAACATTCTTGAAGAAACTCTCTTCAGGAAAATGGATATTGCAAATTCGAATTCTGTTATAGCATTGCTCCGGGGTAAGATTTGCATATTTATGGGTGCCAACAAAACATAAGGCATTTTTCCACGTTTGACATCTGAAAAAGCGATCACGTGAGAAAATGCTACGATGGAATATAAAACAAAACAGTTTCCACAGTGAATTTCAAACTGTCGAAAATAAGCTTTTCGATATAATGCAAAAATCTACTGTCATGAGTGTTCTATTGGAATTACAAATCAAAAAAATATGAATTATATATTACCTTGGTTCCTTTTTCGGACAACGAAAAAAAGACATACCAATTCCTGGTTTACTGTCACAGCCATCAACAGAACAATGCGTCGGCATAATGAAAATTTGCACTCTAAAAGTTAAAACGAACTTCCGAAATCAATTCGTGAACCGATTCCCAATAGCTCACCAACAAGACACTCGGTATATCACGTCTACAACGACTCTCGCGCGCTCTCGACGGTCAATCGGTATATGCGTTGGTATTCGATCTTCCAGAATCGGTGGGAGGGAAAGGAGGGAGGTATTCGCGGCAGAACGGAGAGTGACTCTTCTTATCTTTAGTTGATGTTCGGTGGTAATAATTAGGAGCTAATCTTTTCAGATTTTACCAGTGAATTTTCTAAGGGTCATAAGGAAAAAAATATCTCCTATTATTGGAACCCTGAGAAGATGTCCCAAGCTGGATAAAAAAGTTGCAAATATAATTATATATTCTCATATACTCAGTCATATTTTTGAATGTTCAAAAAACAATTTCAATAAAATATCTGCATTATATAAAAATACATTGAAAGTACTGCATTGTGTACCATATAATACACCAACAAATCAATTATAACCAATTCTCATAAGAAGAAATGATCTAAATTGAAAATATGAAAATTACATACAATATCATGAATAAAAGATTGAAATCCAATTTTATTTTAACAGGAAACAATGAAATTCATGATTACCAAACTAGACAACATGGTTTATTTCATCTTGATATTCCTAATTCTTCTATGGGCCAAAAAAGATTCACTCAAATAAGGTTCCAATATAACAAATTACCAGATAAAAATTGCAGAAATACAATAAAATTTAAATATGAACTTGCAAAATTTATCATTTCTGAACAAAATAGATTAACTTTTGATTCATATTCAAATTGATTGTTGCTCACCAATATGAAATGATTTGTCAAAATTTAATACCTAATATATTCAAATATGTTATTAATGAATGTATTATAATTATTGTGTTAGTTTTAGGTATTATTGTCAACTATACTTCCTTATACTAGAACTTGATTCTGACTGGAAGTCACATTTTCAATAAATGAATAAAATAAATAAATCACCAGATTAATGTTGCTGAATTTCAAGAGCTTATCTTATTTTTTTTTTTTAGAAAAAGTGGAGGATGATGATGACATGAAGGAATTAGAAGCTTGGGCCTCATAAAAAATGGAGATCTAGTTCATCACATTGATATGTTGAAAAAAAGTAATATATGCACCAATGCTAACATAAACTTCAATATTATTATATAATAATTAATGCATCATCAGGTGAATATTTCATTGATAGGATATAGGATAGATCATCATATTATGCTTCAACTCTTGGAATTGTCTAATTTTTCATCATGCAGGCTTGAAGTTACTCCTCAGATATGTAAATATATAGTGATTATTGATAAATAATATTGTTCATACTGAAATTTTTGTCTTAGAAAATTTATATTGAATATGATCAAGATAAACTGACACTTAAAATTGCAGGATCAATGAACAAAAATGGAACTACCCTTCTTGCAACTTACTGTCTTATTGGAAATTGAGTTTTTATGACTGTTTGTCTTGATATCAGAAAAATTATGTTTTTTTTTTCAGATATTTAATGAAGTATCTATATTTACATACAATTGGCTTTCATTTCTCCATGCCCAACCAGTCTATTCTTTGAATTAATTTTAATTGAGAATATTGAGATTGTATTATTAGGTGTGCTACAGTGAAGATAGATAGAAAGGAAAGGTTCACTAAATCAGACCAACATTCACAGTTTATAGCTATGGAATAAAATATATTAAATAATTTGTGAATCTATATAAAATATGCAATTTCGAATTCAATCAGTCTTCTTCTAATATACAATGTTCTACCATTTCTTTTAAATTTGGATTTTCCATTGCTGCTGCTATTCTCTCTTTGTCATTTATTTGTTTATTTACTGTAAAATTAAAAGGATTATAATATTCAACTATTAATACATATAAATACTGACTTTCATGTTCTGTTGTGTGAGCTCCACTTTTGATGTAAATATCCAATTTTAGGGGACATGGCATATTTCTTTCTAATTTGATTCTTATACATAGGCCAATCAAGGTAGCCAGAGAGCAATGTGGTATGGTTGGATTGAATTCTACCCTAACTACATTGACATCACCTGAGGTTGGCTGACCGACCTGGAAAATTATATTCACTTTATACCTATTTTAGTCAATCAGGCAGGGTATTATTTATATTCACCATGACTCCATCTTCATAAACTACTTCAAGCTCTTCCAAAGTATTGGGTTTTTCTGGGTCCTTTATCGTTCTTATGAGGTCTTGGAATGAAAATATTTGTCAACTCATTATCAGGTCAATGAAATCAGGTAGGTACTTCAAGTGTGGTGATAAAAAATTAGCTCACCATAGATTGTGTCTTTCAGCTCTGTTTTGTCTTTCAGAGAATTTGCCGTATTTCTGGATTTCTCAGGGCTTCCTTTTTCTGTCGTTTTTTTTCGAAAAAATGATAAAAACATAATAATTATAATACTGTTTATGAAAATATTAATAATAGTTTCTAACCTTCAAACATCTCAAACTAGGTCATTCCACAGAACTGAAATTTCTAGAAAAAAGCATCAACATTCAGGAGTACCAACACCTCTAAACACTTTTCTGTGATGGAAATCCACTCAGTGTCAATTGTCAAAACTTCAGAATTTATAGGTTATGGTATCTCAGTTATGGTTATGTAAATATAAACAGCAGATACATGTATATATTCTTTCTGAAAAAGGTTTTTCGAGATTTCTAGCACCCTAAACTCCTATATAGATAATTTCTTTGTAAAATGGGAGTTAGTAATATGACCCTTGTCAGAATAGGAGCCATCGGTGGAGTAGCAACCGTTACTATGGGCATGCTTTTAAAGAATAAATTGAACCACAATATTAAACAGACAGAATATTACAAAGATGCCCTAAAAACGCTTAGGAGTCACCCAGGTGCCGTTTATCTACTTGGCGAACCCATAAAAGACTTGGGAATAGAAGTAGGGAATGAGAGAGACAATTTCACCAAAGGAAATTATGCACAATATAGGGTGCCCCTGAAGGGTATGAAACAAAGGGGAACATTGTATTTCTGGGCTGAGAGAGTAGACACTCAAAAAGAGTGGATAGTTAATAGAATGGAATTAGAAGTAGCTGAGTACACTGATAGGAGAATGTTAATCAAATCTGTAGAGGTCAATAAAACTTGAAATTTCTAATTCTTTTTCTGTTATGTGTGCTGCAAATGTCATTCTGCCATATATATTTCTACAAAATATTGTTCCAGTTGAATATTCATCAATACACTATTATTATTATTTATTTTCTACTTCTTTTTAGTTTGGCTATCTATAAAGCATGTGTTTCTTCAGTTTTTCAAACTACCATTTATTTTTCACTCCTTTTTATAATCTACTTGAATTATCCAATCATAATTTCTGACCCCGAAAACAAAATTCTTCCGCCATATTGGATCCACCATCTTGAATTTCCTAACTTTGACCAAGGAATCAAAATCTCCTACCCCGAAAACCCCCAGATACCAATTTTGAATGGAATCGAATCATATAATCACAAACCTCATCCGCCATCTTGAATTTCCAAATTTTGACGAAGGAATCATAATCCCCGATCACGAAAATCTCTAGATACCTACCAATTTTGAATAGAATCTGATCACAATATTACAAAACTCATCCGCCATATTGCATTTCCCAATTTTCACTAAGGATATAACATAAACTCAAGATCTCGAGAACCTCCAGATACCAATTTTGAATAGAATATCGGATCATAATCACAAAATCCGTCATATTGGATCCGCCATCTCGAATTTTTTAATATAGTACCGGGATAAAAAGTATTCTACTTATGTCCGTCTGTTTATTCTAATCTATGGTTTTAAAGGTAGGTACCTCCCCACCAATTATCAGCCAAATCGGTTCAGCGCCGTTCTTGAGTTATAAATAGAGTAATTAATTTTGGACTTTCTTTCATACAAGGTGATTCAAAATTCGATGTAAATATTTTAAGAACATATTGTTGGGATCGAAATAAAATTTCTCCTCATATTAATATGCACGTACGTTTCCAAAAATGCGCCTCTCCGAGGGTGGATCTCCCTCCAACTTCACCAAAACTGGGTTAACATATAATTTTAGAAGCAAAAAAGAAGAAAAGTGCCTAAACAAACAGGGATTTGCCAATTTTCAGACGATTATGATCACTTTTTTTTATCTCGGAGGGGGGTTCATTTTAGGACACATGTTTATATGAAAAAAAGTCTTATTATGATCCCAACAATACGTCCTTATTTACATCAAATTTTCAATCGCCCTGATGTAGTCGGCGTCAATTAGTTAAATCCGTCATTCCCTGAAATGCCTAGTCGATCATTTCACGTGTATTGTCGGCAAACAGCGCCTTCCTAGATAGTATATTTTTCAGAAAATTTCTTGAGAGAACCGAAAAGACTCCTGCTTCTAAACAACCTATAAGCTGACTGACTTCCGCCATTACAGGGAATCTGAAACTATTTGGTGTGCGAAATTTAGAGTTTACGCTGTTTGCCGGCAATACGTGAAATAACTATAGGCATTCCAGAGAATGACGGATTTCACTGTTTGACGCCGACATATACATACATATATAGATGTTTACACCTCATTAATCTCCTTTCAAAATACTTTAACCCCTACAATATTCATTGATTATAGACTTTGCTTCTATCATCAATAAAGTAATAATCACTTGAAAAAATAATTTTGAGATATATTACTAAAACAAGCAATAGTAAAACTGACCACTTGGTATATATACCTATAAAATAAAAAACTTCCATATTGACTTATTTCAATTGATTCCAGAATAATGGATCTTAACAAAATAATAAAAACCAGACAGAATAAAGACCAACCACTTTTTTGTATTAGTTTTTTGGTGGTCAAGCATTTCATTAGAAAACACTAATCTGAATTTTGACTAGGTACCTGACTGATGTGCTTTTGTCTTGAAATAAATGAAATAATAAATCAATTGTTGCCATCTTATACATTTCTGCATCTTTAGTTAGTATCATTAACAGGTAAATATGTTTAAATTACTTTTTCTACAAACGTCAAAAAAGGACGAGGTTCGCGTATTAATAACAAATTGCGAAGTGACACTTTTTTTCAGTTTCCTACGTTACCATGATATCTTGCACAAAACAATGCGCGAAGTAAAACAGTGCGCGAAATACCTCTACTACCTACTACGAGCCAATTCAAAATAGGTATGATTCCTCCAATTTATGTACAATTGTGTATTTCTGAATTTGGTGTAAACCAAACATCATGCGACCATTTTAGCGATGAAATCGTGTAGATTCTCTGGGGTGTGAAACCGAAACCGTAGTCGATAAATTTCATTGATCCATTGTGCTACATCATGCATACAGGCTTTTTATAGTTTAAGTTTATAGTAAGAGTTTCTCCATAGCGCTATTCATCCTTCCTCTTCCTCATTTGTTTGAACAGCTAGCGCAATTTTCTTGAAATTGATTTTTATATTTTGAGTTATTGATATATTTAGACAAAATTTGTTATTTGTGTATTTTTAAAGTGCAAATCATATAATGAAATTAAATATTATAAATATACCGGGTGTCAACGAATCTATGTTATTAGACAAGTCATAACTTCTAGAGCATTAGGTGTATCAAAATGAGATTTGGTATAGGTAAATTGTATGTGAAGAGGAGAGTTTTCGCATATTTTTCACTTTCCGGTCACTGCCGGTTTCACCGGAAATGGCTCCGGTTCTAAATTTTTAAATGGAACACCCTATATATTGTAACATTTTTGGATTTCTGAGACAATTCTAGATCAGAATGTGACATTTTCGAAAGTTTTTATGCCTACTTAATTTTTTGGGAGTCACTTTTGGAATTACATCTAGGTGGCCATGATCGGAAGTAATTATAGCTGGGAAAAATGTTGTTTTCCTTGAGTATTATCATCGAATGAAATATTTTAGTCAATTTTTCAATGCCGCTGGCAGATTTGAAAACTACCCCTCAAAATATAACCAATCATCAGAAAAAGTTGCCCATTTAATATAGATTCCGAAATGATATAACATATGGGGTTATTCAATAAAACAGCCTTTTTTTCAAATGAGTCGCATTTTTCAGAAAAATTGAATAACTTTTGAACCATATCAACAATTTGATAACAACATACCGTTAGTTTGATCACAAATGACTCCCCCTACCACCCCACTTCACTTCTTCTGATCCCTTACTTATGGGACACCCTGTATAGTGTTGCGTAGTTTAGATCGACAATGTCCAGTCTCTACAGGGTGTTTCAAAAAAACCTAACCCCCTTGCTAGGGTAGGTAGAACATTGCAAAATAAGATGGGTTGCTCAGTAAAAAAATGTCGTAACGCCATCCGTTTTCAAGACACAAGGTGTTGAAACAATATTTTTTTTACACATTTTTAAGGATTATGTTGAAACTACTGGCAACATTGTAATGAAATTTTGTATGGATGTGTTTTGAAAGCTGACACATCGCATGAATTTGTTTTCATATCTGACACTCATAGAGGGCGCTAGTTACACGGTTCGTACCGAGTACTTTTAAACATAACTTTATTGAGGTTAGTTTTTTCAGTCCAAATTTTATGTGAACTTGAACATCATGTAATTTTACACTGAAAAGGTGCTCTATTGTTCAAACTCGATACTATGTTCCGTTTTCGGAATATTTCGATTTGAAAATGATGAAGTGGTAACTGTTGCTGGTATAAAGCTATGTATTAGAGGGAGTATTATGAAATATTATCACCTATTTATTGAAAACCGAAAACAACAATACATTTCTGATGCAAAAGTCATTGATTTAACAATGAATCACAAGAATAACATCGAAACAGATGTGACTAAGAACATGGATTACACAGTTTTGTTGTATCTTGACCAGAAAGTCTATGCTACATAGGTAAATTCACGTCAAGAGTTGTGAGACATAATTGAACATCATACTTAAATGACCTAACAGCTGATCCTCGCAACTGTTTAGAAGAATAATACATTCTTAAAAAAAAAAAATAGAATCGTGTATTCCTCGAAACGTAGGACATTTTGAACACTTACTCTAACTGATTCAATATTTCATGTTTCTAGTCAAATATCTCTTAATTTTCTACTTATGATTCTTTGTTCCATCAATAACTTCAGCACAAGAATAATTTTATTGTTTTTGAACCTGAATAAATAGGTAATTGAACTCAATAAAATTCATTTTATACCAGCATCATTACTATTCCATTATTTTCAAATCGAAATATTCCGAAAACGGAACATAGTATCGAGTTTCACCAGGAGTACCTTTTTGGTGTAAAATTGAATGATGCATGTTCAAGTTCATATCATATGTGGATTGAAAAATCTAACCTCAAAAAAGTTATGTTCAAAACTACTCGGTACGAACCGTGTAACCAGCGCCCTCTATGAGAGTCAGATATAAAAACAAATTCATGCGATGTGTCTGATTTCAAGAAACATCCATATAAAATTTCATTACAATGTTGCCAGTAGTTTCGGAATAATCGTGAAAAATGTGTAAAAAAATAATTTTTTCAACACCTTGTATCATGGAAACGGATGCCGTTACGACATTTTTTCACTGAGCAAACCCAACTCATTTTTCAATGTTCTACCTACCCCAGCAAGGGGATTAGTTTTTTTTGAAACACCCTCTGATAATGTCCGACTCTTTCCAGATCATCTGCGATGGCGACGGTAGCCCTCCTCGAGAACGAAGTCAAATACATGCGCTGCACCCTCTGCGACCACTTCCTGTCGGTGCCACCCATCATGACCATATCCGACGACGGCAAGGAGAACCAGTGCGGCCGATGCAGGCACATCAAGTCCGCCGTCTCGAAGCGCAACTTCTGCTACGAGAACCTGGCGCGCTTCTTGAATTTCCCCTGCATCTACCGCAACTGCCCCGAGCAGGTCCAGTGGAACGAGGTGGAGCAGCACGAGAAGAACTGCGTGCACAAGGCCATACAAGTGAGTACTGTGTACAGGGTGGTTCATCGTGAATGTTCCCCCCCCTCTAGCTCACTTATTTTCGAACCGATTTGAAAAATCATTTCATAGTATACCGGGTGACACAGGTTATCGGGCCACCCCTGTAACTTCTGCATTCGTCAACGGATTTTTCTGAAATTCGGTACAGTTATATAAGCAACTATTTCGGATTCGATCACATTAAAATCCAATATGGCGGACTTCCGGTTTTTCTGGAAATGCCAACAATTTTGTTTTTTCAAATGGAACACCCTGTATATTTTGTCATATTGTCACGATATAGTGGATGGCTGTCTCCACCATGTCACAACAAAAAAAGTTGTGTTTCCACCATGTCACGATATAGTAGAGTGGTTAGCCCATCCATATCGATTTATAAAGGGGTAATGCTTGGCTTAATATTTTGCGAGAGGTAATATTCAAATAGGCACTAATAGTTTAGGGGTAACTGAAAGTACGAGATTACATTCAAACATAACAATATTTATTGCAGCATAAAACATTATGGGTGAAGTGATGACAAATATGAATAATCAACAATGAATATAAAGACCTAATAACAACTTACATTATAACGACCATTACGACGAGCTCTTGTCAAGTCAAGAGTAGCCCCAGACCAGACTAACTTCGGAACCCTCATATCCAATATTTATATACATCATTTTATTAGATTTGCACGTTTCTCATGAGAGTTCCTTGGTCAGTTTTCATAGTTCAATGTCGATTGATGATTTGAATAATTTTATGTTTATAAAACCCTCATGGTTACAAATTACTAATATACTGAATGTTCTACTCGTGACAATATTCAAGTTCAACAGGTCAAAACAAGTGCAATCTTGAAGTCAAATGTTATTTTTATTCCACTGCCTACCTAGTTGAAAAATTATTCTGACTGCAAGGAAATTCATAAACTAGTTGTTGATTTTTGAATGTATACAATTTGTTACTGCACCGAAAAACAAAAATGATGTGTCATTTTGTTCCTTAATGTATGTTCTAGAGAGACGGGTAGGTGGCCCATAGGGGTTCCATTTGAAAAAACATAAATTTTGATCAAAAAGTGATGTGTCTGAATCGATTCCTGGATAAGTGACACAAAAAATAATTTTTCAGAAAAAATTATGTTCTTCTGTTATGTGTGACTCATTGTGAATAGTCTTGACCACATCTCATTCATCCACGAGGTAAAATGAGAAAACAATTGTAATTTAAATTTTTTCGAAAAAATGACATTTGAAATAAAGATTGCACTTGTTTAGACCTGTTGCACTTGAATATGTAAAAATATACAGGGTGTTTCATTTGAAAAAACAAAGTTGCTGGCATTTCCAGAAATACCGGAAGTCCGCCATATTGGATTGTAATGTGATCGAATCCGAAATAATTGCTTATATAATTGTACCGAATTTCAGAAAAATCCGTTGACGAATGCGGAAGTTACAGGGGTGGCCCGATACCCTGTGTCACCCGGTATTGTGCAACAAGTGGGAATAGTTCAACTTTTCCCCACACTTTTTCTACAACTGCACTTATCCAAGAATCCAAGTAATGTATATTGGTATTCATTTCATAATGTGGCACTATGCCAGATTGAATATTGTGACCAAAGAGTAGACACCTTTCCTATAGTTCCTCAAAGTATTTCAGAAAAGCACACTTTCCGAAAAAGATTTTTTTTCCGTATTTTTTTAGGTTCCATAAATTTTTCGTTCATATGCCAATTCATACTTTTTTCTTGAAATTTCCGGAAACAAATCCAACTTTCGCAGCTTCTTCCATTATCTCTGTCTCTGATACATCATATTAATTATTATGAATTGTTGGAATGATATTTGATTAGAAGATAGAGAATATTTCACTATTGTTAGTTGTTCCTATTTGCAGAAATAATTGATTGAACAAATCAATCAATTTCCTACGCTTGTAGAGAAAATATTGCTCCTAACTCATGCGGAAATAAGTGTCTTTCCCGCACTCGACTGCTTGCCCGAAGTCCGCTTCGCGTCGTTCGGGTCTACGGCGTTCGCGTGCGGGAAAGAATCACTTTCCGCACTTGTTAGGAAAATTAGTATTTCAGAATTTTTTTCCCGATGCATCAGAAAATACAGGGTGCTCGGAACAAACGATCTACAGAGGGTAATTTTGCACTTATCATGCGATGTTTTTTTTTCGAAATTTTTTTTGGGTACTTACGTATTTTTGTCTGAAAAACACGAATTTGATAATGAAGATTTGAACAAACCATTATTTATATTTCACTATTAAGCTACAAATTTCACCTTCTTTTCCGCCTGTCTTCTGGATCGCATTTAGAACAATTTGCCCTTCTTTTTCCATCATTGGACAATTTTTATATATATATATATCACAATGTACGACACATTTTTTTCTATTATAGTCAACTAGAAATATGATTTTCTTGTGATGTATCCATGTTTAGTGAAAAGAAGGAAGAATATTATTCAAAATAATGGCGTGTGTAATGTCATTCAAAAGCAATCTGTTGACATTTGAGATCTCGTATTGGGATTGACTATTGATTAAACGGCCGTCATCTGGTATGCTTGTTCACTAAATATAAAAAACTCGAAAGTATGACTAGCCTATTCGATTCAGGCATAGCAGAAATACCCACATAGGTAATTTGAAAGCAAAATCTTATATAGGGTGTTAGTTATTCATTAGCAAATTTTGATATTTTTATTGATTTTTCGATTCCCCCTGTATAAAAAAATATAAGAAGTTGATATAACCTGAAGTAGTCATTAATGGAGGAACACATCGAATACTTGGATTAGGAATAACTTCTACAGGAAGATCTCTCTCTAGAGTCTGTATCTTGAAAACGGTTCGTTTCTCGGAGAAAATTGAAGTGCAGAAAAGCCTCTAAATTGAAGAATCCACCCAATTAAAGAAAATGTTTGGGGGGATAAAGAAGCTTTCACTCCCGAAAACGGATAACCCTCTGTAGATATTAAAAATCTTTGAAATGCTTAAAATGATGATCTTCTAGGAAATATTAACCACTTCAAATTTCATAATGATTCCAGGTGATTTTCATATAACTTTTATTATTGAAGGTAGTAAAACGAAATTTGGGGGTAGTGAATTATGGTTCAATTGACATTTTTTGACATATCTACTTGATTCGTCGTACTTACGGTTTGACCAGAAATTACCCCAACATTCAATGGGCTTATATCACAAAAAAATTTCATAATTCGATAGAATTCACCCAAACAAACCGTTTCTTACTGTGAGCTCCCTATGTTTTATAAAAAATTATTGAAATCCCCGATTTTTCGGACCTCTGAAAACGAGGCGATGATGTGACGTCAAAACCCTAATACTGAAACAAGACTATTCCAGACAGAGATGAATGATACATGATTTCAGACAGAGTGAATTAGTGCCAGATTATAGTTGAAAGAATTAATATATCAGTTGCCTCAGTCTCCGTCGGGCGTTTGGTATTTTCTTTTAACTATGGCGAGATGAGGTTTCTACGTCATAAAAGGGTCCGTTTTCAGAAGGTACTATTATTTATGTCCAAAAATGAAACATTCCAGTTAATTTTTCGATCGAATTATGTCGTCAATCATTATGTATGTATAAAAGGATCATTATAAACATGGTTTGAGTTAAAAGTTCTACTAAGGTGTACACGGCCATTTTGTTCATTTATGAACATTTGTGGAAATGACTTTGAGCTTTGCGTATTCATTTAAAGGATTTATTCTTATATTATACAGTGCCCGCTGTACTACCAGAAGAACTGCACCACGATCATCGAGATCAATGAGTTCGAGCTGCACATGAACAGGCTGCACAGGAACAACACCATCTACGGAGACACTGTCAGCAAGAAGATCGGGATCAACATGTCTTCGGTGTACTACCTGGTGCCGGAAGAAGGGCGGTTTTTGGTTTACATCACCCCCGAGGCTATATTCGTGGGGTCTTTGGGCGCTCCCAGTAAATACTTCACTTATTCCGTGAAGATGACGGCGATGAATAACTGCGAAGACAAATGTTTGTTCTTCGATAATGTGAGGATCGTTGAGTACGAGGAGAGGTTGCACTGTTTCAGGTGCCTCAAAGAGAAGTGCAACTTGATACACCACCAGTACTCCAAGCATAACAACGAAAATACTACGAAAAACGCCGATTATCTCTATATAGACAAGGACTTGGTAACCAAGTTCTTGCAGGACACCTCAAACATCACCATTTCGTTGACCCTCATCAGGGAGAGCGAGAATGCCGAGAGGAATGAGGAGACTTTTGCGTCGGCTGTCGCTAGCAACACTTCCTTGCTGAGGCGCTACTTGAGATGCGCTGTTTGTGGGGAATATATGATGTCGAAGGTGTTCAGATGTGAGGTTGGGCACATGTTTTGCGGGAGCTGCGAGTCTAGGGTCGGAGATTGCAATGTTTGTGGGCGGCAGTCCCGGAGTACCAGATATCAGAGATGCCAAATGGCTGAAGAGCTTGCCAGTTGTGTTTTGCTTTGTTGTTTGGGTAGAGGATGCGATTTTATTGGGGGATTGAAGGAGTTTGATATACATGAACAAAACTGCTGTTTGAAGAGAGAAGACTAGGAAAATATGATATTTTAGACTAATTAACCTAGGAAATTGTACTAGTATATTTTAATATTCGTTCTATTTTCATGAATTTTAACTAATTTTCTATTGAATTGTACCAACCTATTTTTAATATATTCAATTTTTAAAAATTATTGCATTTTCATTCTTCAACTCTAGAGACAATTTTAATATTCATTCTTATTAATTCTGTTTATATAATATTCAAAACTCTTTCACCATCATACATCATTGAAATTGAATTTCCAATTCATTTCAAACAAAAAATCAGTTATTCAATGTATCAGTTTTATGCTAATGCAATACTGAATAAATAAATTTCTTCATCTACCCTCTCCTGTTTTAGAATTTTTGCTTCAATATCCAATACAATGCCATAATGGGAATAATGAAAAAAATAATATCATTATTCACATTTATTCTTCTTTTCCTTTCATGTAAATTATCCACAATATAAATATAGATACTCAATTGTGTTCTTGAATGAGCATTTCTTAAAAATTTGTGACTTTTACAGGTACAAAAATTGTCAAAAATCAATAGTTATTTTCTTCTTTGAAATCAAAATATCAATAAATAGGGCATATGAGACAAAATGACGAATTACTTACAATCACTAATATTTTTACCAATAACTATACTCCAGATATCCAGTGGGTGTTTGAAATCTCCTGTTCTGGAAATAATCTTTCAATAAAAGTTCTAGCCTAGTAACAGCTCCTCCAGTACATTTTTCTCTCAGGCCAGGAAGATAACTGTTTATGATAATAGTTATCAACTTCTGGAAAATCCTACCATACCTGGAAAAAAATAACACACATTCATAAAACATTGGAATTTCAATTTGCAAATCAAATATCTTGGTATACTTGTCATAACATTTATGAAATGGAAATAATGTCTTATTCAAATAAGAGAGTATGTACACCTCTAATATGTAGGTATACATTAGGCCTGTTCATTTGTGTTTGCTCTACCTACTAAACTTGTTTTTTTTATGACTTTCTCTGTTTACATTATGAACAGAGAGAACTATGGGAACAAAATCAACTTTAGCAACTTCAGCAACACCAACAAAGAGACCTAATATCAACAAGAAAGTTAAAAAAAGGCATTTTTTATTCAATACCTGGCATCCATTTCAAAACCAGCCATTTCCAAAAATGCATGCAAAACAGTTGCAGTTATGTCCACTTGGGGTTCTAATTTCAGAAGAGATGACATCCATCTCCATCCATGTTGTATATTATGAGGTGATCCTGACTGAGTTCTTTTAGGTTTCACTATAAGAATTGCTGCATACAATCTCATAATACCTAAATATAAAATATAATTATAAACTTTACTTTTGCTGGATGTTTTTGTGCTCAAAATATTCATCTGTGTGATAGAAGTGAGAATTTCAAGGAAAACATATTTTACCTGTCATTCTTTTCAAGAACTTATCTTGTTTCTCAATTTGTCCTTCATTATACTGATAGCCTTGTCTCAAGTAAAAGTCCTCATCAGTCTCATGCTCCTGCTGAGGAATGTACTGTGGAACCAAAAAGGGACAGGACTTGTAGAAATAAGCCAACAAAAGCTTTCCAAAAGTGGGAAAATCATTCCATAAGGATATTATCACTGTTGCATAACAGAATGCTGACTCAGGATTGCTGGACACTATGAGATCACCTTGCAAAACAAACTTCTTTGCTAACAGGTCTATACAAAATGCAATACCTTGAGGGTGTTTGCTGGCATTTATTCTTTTGTCACTCACTAAAACATCTTTACCTCTGAGAAGGTTGTGTAAACGATTGTATTTGTCCAAAATATGTTCAGAGTTCACACCAGACAAGGAATTCACAGGTATATTGATAGCCTTCTTACAATCAAACCTGAATTGTTTAAGACTGGCATCACTTTCTAGAGATTTAAAACTAGCAGTATGAGTATCATGAAACTGTAAAATGTCTGCATACATTCTCAAATTTTCTGAGCTAACATATTGACTCAAACTTGAAATTACTTTTTGGGGCTGTGGAGGTTTAGGTACATTCATAATATTTACATTTTGACTCATGGCAGGAACATTCACAACAGGTGGAGGTTCAGTTTTAGTAGGAACATTAGAATTATTTTGTTGTTCAATGGATGTATTTATTTCATCAACTTTACTTTCTATCCTAGTTTTGAAGGCAGTCAGTTGTGTCAATAGGTGTGCTGCTTTATTTATATCTTCCTCATTTATTTTACCAGTCTTACATTGAGCTAATAACTCATCAAAGCTTTCAGGTAATGATTTGAACAACTTTGAATCATCTCCAATTAAAGATCTAAGTTCATCATTTTTAGAACATTTTTTTATCACAGGCAATATTTGTTGATAACACTTGTTGAACTCTTCTTGATACTTCTGTATCTGGTCTAAATATCCATGTATGATTTGTGTCTGTTTTTCTTTCATTTTCAGTTTTTGTTCTTGCTTTTGCCTATGCAACTCTATATTTTGGTAATACTGTGCAAGTTTGGCTTGATCATTTGAACTATTTTTGTCAAACTCATGTAATGCTTTGAATATTTTGATCTCTTTTTGTTGCATGTCATCTACAAAGTTCTTCTGAATGCTCAACCATTGCTTCTGCTTGTTTAGTTCTTGTTTTCTACTGAAGTCTTCCATTGTTTTAATGTGCTTATGCACACTTTTTTGCACCTCCTGTAATCTATGCATTTCTAAGTTATTTACCATATTTTCTATTCTATTGTTTGACTCTGATAAAACCTGATTGCTCAACCATTGGTTCTGCTTGTTTAATTCTTGTTTTCTACTGAATTCTTCCAGTGTTTCAATATGATCATGATGAACACTCTTTCTCACCTCTAAGTTATTTACCAAATCTTCTATTCTCTTGTTTGAATCTGGTGAATCCTGTTTGGTGGAGATTTTATCATTATCATTTTTACTTCTTTTACTAGGGCTTCTTCTATCAACTTTAATCCTTGATGTATCAGCGTTAGGGCCTATGGTTACATTGTTTATGCTACTTGGATCAAATTGCTGCAGTTTTTGAAATGCCGATAATTTCAAATTCTCAAATTCTATTACAATATCATCCATTATGTATTTCTCAATACATGCAAACTAGTCAATTCAAAGATTCAGATACTTTTCCTTTCACAAGTAGAAGTTTATTAGAATAAGCACCGACCCATGGACTCAATTCACTCAATGGAGTTGGAGGTAAAACATTGAAAATTGAAACATGCTAACCTTACTTTTGCTAGTAATGTCATTGTCTTCTACTTCTTTTTTTTCGGAATTGTAGAGTGTGAACATCGAGCAATTAATTGAACGTAAACTAGTGGCTATAGGCTACGTTGTAACGTGGCAGAGATGAATAGTAGCAAGAATTCAAACAACCCTGACTTTGGACACATTTTTAGTTCAAAACCAATCGGAGCGATTCTTGCTATGGTGGAGAATTCTCATCTGTATCCTATTACGGGTCGCCTCGTCCTCGAGATCATACTAAGTAGTATTAGTAGTACCGTTTTTCGGTGCTAACGGTGCACACATTCCAAAAGCCAACGGACCATTTTTGCTATGGCCCTTACTGACTATAGGACTTACTGGGCTTCCTCTCCTATCTTCATTACTTAAAGCCCCCATTAGGGAGGGAAAATTTAAAATACGGATTGAACTGATCTCTTCGGACGAGGCGCCCCTAATATAATTCCGATCGAACTTCACAAGTTCGTTTGATCGAATAAGTTCAAATATCAACAAATTTTGTGGTGTACCAATTTAGAGGAAAAAAGATCGTTGAATGTGACAGGTCAACCCTTTTACTATCGGCCTCCACAAAGTATGTATGAAATCACAGTATTTTTTCAAAAAAATTCCTCAATAATACAAATTAAAAGTCATCCTGATTTTATCTGAAATGTTTACCTATCCATATTAGCAGATATAATAAGTTAAAATCCACCTTGAGCCACTTATCTTTTCTCTGTGTCTATAAACACATTATCTTCAACTTTAATTGATAACATGATAGGAGCAGTGATAAGACGAAATAATCGGATTTAACGGGTATTTCCTTGTGTGTACGCAGTGTAAACGTAGAAGCGTATACAGTATACATATTTCAAATTTATATAAAATATATTTATTTCAACCTTATTTCAAAATGTGACATTATTTTTTTGTTAAAATTAGTGAAGTGACGACTCAGTGACGACAATGAGTCCAGTAGTGAGTGGATATAGTGATCCTGATACCCGAAATAATGCTCGGCCAAAGTCTAATCACAGGAACATTCCTAAAAATCCATCAAACCAATCTACTTACATTTCGAGAGTGCGAAGCAACACATTGGACAATGGGAGAGTGGGATCTCCTACAGCATCTTCTAGTATGGCAGCTGAAGTTCAGCAACTGGCTAGAAGTCCAAGGAGATCTGTATGGAATTTCGTAAGTATCTATCATGATGTGATTTTCCGATTATCTTCACTGATCAAAAAATCTCCTCATATTTTTTATTAGTTCATAAATACAGTAGGTATGCAGGTTACGATCCTTATTAGACCATATGACAGGGAAAATCATAGGAAAGAGGGATAACTGGGATACGGACTACGGACATTATGAACATTGTACCAGTAGGTCAGTGACCATTACAACTGGAACTGTCTTTGACGGTAATCAAATCAATTGACAGTCCTTCATCTGTCAAATTGGTAAATTAAAAATTTTCAATGTTGGTCTTGTCTTTAATTATTATATTGTTTTCGTGGCTGTGAAGTAATTTTCGCATTTGATGTGATTCAAGATTAGGTGTACTGTATTTTTTCAAGAAATGGCTTCAGATAATATATTCGGATATATGCCACAAATAGGGAGTGACGACTTTGTGAGTTTATTTTTTTATGTATAAAATGTTTACTTCATATCATTTCGTTTTTAATTTTATTATATTGTGTAAGGTCATCGCGTATTGTTAATTCTTAAATAATAAATTATTGTTATTTAAATTTTCAAGACCCATCAACTAGAAGTAATTTTTGCTGAAATGTTGATTTAAAAATTGAGATGCCATATATAGCATCCTCTATAATGGCTCTAATCAATACTTTCATAATTGAAACACTAATAAATTTCATACATATTGAATCAAGCAGAACATAATGAGTTTGGTTTTCAGAGTGAAGAGCCCACTAGCAAGTTACGTCTCAAAATCGTGTGTGCTAAAAATCTCATGAAAAAGGACATATTTGGAGCAAGGTAAAAGTTGATTTGATATATACAATTCACATTATCCACATTATTTGCACAATCATTGAATTCTTGATTTTCACTCTTTTTATTTACCAATATAACAACTCCCATTTAAACAGAATATCTTAATTATGTATAATCACATCAGAATCACACTAAGCAATTCCTCCCTAAAAATGATGAAAATTCCTTGTGGCCTTTTCTGTATGTATTATGCTGGGTTTATAGATTTAATTAAGCTAACAATTATTAGGAAATAACAATTAACAATCAACAATTAATAATCATGAGGGTGTTTATATATATCTGATATTAATTAAGAATTAAATGTGAAATGTCTTTTGATTGAAGATTAAAATGATGTTAAAACGTGATTTTGGTCTCCACAACTCTTGAATCCATGAAAAATATTCCAATTGAATATCACCAAACTCCACTCTTGAACAATAACAAATCCAATCTTCATGTTCTGTCTCCAGAATTTCCTAATTCTGAGCAGTTAAGTTGAAAGTTGACCAACTGTGTAATTCTTAATTTAAATGACAGATGTAAATGTATAAATCCCCATAGATATTTCCTTGTATTCAACTTTTGAAGTTGTTCATAGTTGTTAGTTTAATTCTTAGTTTAGTTGAATCTATAAGCCCAGTATAAAGTATTATATAGTCAAATCAATTATGTAGCAGGCATGCCTTCCTCCCACCAGTTAGCAACTGTGACTAATTAGTGATATTTCTATGAAATTTCAGTGATCCCTATGTGAAAATTGATTTGAATAAAATTGATGGTGATGAAACAATTGATTCAGTCTTAACAAAAACCAAGAGAAAGGTATGTTTATCAAAAGCCATTGAATTTTCTATAATTTATTAATTTGGTTAATGTTTCAGACACTCAGTCCAGAATGGAATGAAGAGTTCATATTCAGGGTAAGATTTTTCTACTGCTCTATTTTCAGTTTTTCAGCACCAAATTTTCTATAGGTTAAACCTGCAGAACACAAATTGGTGGTTCAAGTATTTGATGAAAATAGGCTAACTAGGGATGATTTTCTGGGCATGGTGGAACTTCCTCTATTAACTTTACCTAGAGAACAAGTTGATAGGGTTTTGCCAACTGTAAAATATTTGTTACAGCCAAGAAGGTAAGCATCAAAAAATATTATATGTGAAGTCAACTTTTCTGCAATGAGAAATTTTCTGATTTTGTATAACAATTGTTTTTGTTGGTTTTTACATACTAACTAATTATTTAGGGCTGTATCTATTGCATCCACAGAATATATTGCCATGATTCACATTCATGAGTACTCTATTTAGTCACTATATCAGATTGAATTCATCAAAACATTCACAGAATCATGAAGGAAGTCTAAAGAATATGTTCTATGGAATTGAAACAACATGTTTTTCTGGTATTGTATTTAACAGGGGGGAGATTAGATAGTGTTATTAAAATATTCAGTTTAGATGCTTTCATAACAACAATATTCTGTGAGGTTTCTCTGAATAATTTGAATTGCTGATTCATTGTCTGAGTTGACACTGCCTAATCAAATAATTCTAAGGTAAGGGAATTTCATTAGGTATGTTATTTCCAAATGTCAACCTAATAATATTGTCTTTAGGTGATTGGATTTTTTTTATGTCTTGAATAGAATCATCACTCAAATACCTCTCAATTATATATTTTTTTAGAGTTTTTCGGTTGATTTTAAGTTGCTAAAATCATCAATAATTCTACAGGAATATTCAAAGAGTTATAAATTCACCATGAATAAAAACTGACATCATGACATCACGATTTCAAGTAAGGGCAGAGCACAGTTGCCATATCTTGAAATATGATTGGGAACTTCAGAAATGTTAGTTTTCCAATAATTCATAAATTCTCAATCATGTATTGGTAATATTCCTAATTAGCAATGAAAAATCAATTGTCTCAAAATGTATCCTCATATGTTGTGGCTTATTGCTTAATACATTTGTGTAAATGATAATTATATTAATTCACATTAGATGACATTCCAACTGGTAAACCTAACAACAAGGCCCACAAATTGTGGTCTTGTCAATTCTAAGCATTCAGCACAATATTGCCAAGTCTCCAACATTTACATGATATTTTGTGATGGAGTATTTAGAAAAAATCAGACGGCGGAATAGCGCAGCGGTTGAGGCGGTCAACTAGTAATCAGAACATCGAAAGGTTGCTAGGTTCGAATCCCCGGCAGAGCAGAGAATTTTTATTTATAAAAGGAGTTATGAATTCTAATTCTCGTAGCCTCAGCCGGAGATGATTCCGCACGATTCGCTGTTGCATTGCAATTAAAGTGCTGCTACTAAGGTGGCGAATGGAGTCAGTAACAAACCCTACACAGAACACACATGGCTGAAGGACAACAAAGTACATATATAGGCATACTACTAGTAGAGATAATCTCGATAAAAATAAGAAATAAACCGTAGGGCTTGGGGTGTTTTTTGTCACAGATACTACAAAATAACAAGTACTTATAACAAAATATATGTATGTATCACATACACATACTAAAAAATGGGCTCAAAGCTTCATATTCATCCGGAAAGTCTGATGAATCTCCTTTTCTTATTATTTGACTGAATCCCGCTATATTTCATATGTAATACCTAATTATTCAACACAATATTCAATATAGTTTTCAAAATATCAAAAAACGTTAATACGGGGAAATTAGGTAGGTATAATACCAGAAAAATTTTTACGCGCTCTTTATTTCTAATTTATTTCAGACTCATTGTAGGTAGCTCAATAATTTTCCCACTATTTAATTGATGCATTATCCTAGTTTGACATACTCAGTCAGTTTCATCTTAAACCAATTCCAAGTTTGCAAAAAATAGTATTCCGTAGTACAACGTCCTGATTTTCATCAAAATTGAATTTCTTTACAACATCATAAATCGGTACTGGTTCATCCTAATGAATCTAGTTCATCAGGGATCAATTCGTCTGGATTGAGTGTGCTTCTAATTTTCAAAGTAAATGAGCTATAACCTTTCTACCTACTAGTGTAACGTCAGCATCGAGGTATAGAGAATATATTACGGCCCGGTGAGATAGAGTAGGCCCTGGTAAAATTCATCTAAAAAGTAGAAAGCATTCGTCAGTAGAAGATTTTTACGGAATGTTTGAATTGACTTTTACTACATATGATTTTAATCTCGTTGGGTAGGTGATTAAATAATTTTGTACCACTATAAATTATGGAATTTTTTATTTGTGTTAGTGTTTGTCTAATGTTATATTGACTTATCTTATGGTTTTCGTTTTTGAATTCAATCAATGAAGCAATTTTAGCGCCAGATCTCGCGTTAGAGGATACTTGGAGATCTACCATGCTTTTCTCTTTGACACCAATTTGCCTCCGATCGCTGTACCTGAAGATGCACCGGTCGACGACCGAGAATGGGAAATTGTCAGCGAGGCTAGAGAGGAAAGTGCTGCTCAGGTGGGACAATTCATTCATCTGTTTTCATGCAATTTATAACAACGCCAAAATAAGACAGGATTTCAACAAAATTTTCGAAAACTCTTTATGTTTTGCTAACACAGTAGCTGCTTCAAGTGAAATATTTGTACAATGAACTAACCTAACATTGACTTGCTTAACTTATTTACTTAAAAGATTAGAATTAACTGTGAGCAGGATGATAGTACCCTCCATACCACCTTCTCTTCCAGGGCTCCAATACCAGCCAGGCAAATCAGAAACGAACGAGGGAGAAATGTTGACAACATAAATATGGACTTGGCAACAATTCTCCAATGGGGATCCAATAACTTGGTAGATTTCAATGCAAACAAAACACAAGCATGCCTTTGCTCTAGAAAAGCCGATCTCACTGTGCCCAACATAAGACATCCATTTCAATGCTTGGTATTACTATCAGCAATAACTTTTCTCGGGAAAATCATGTGAGATCAATTGCTAAAAGTGCATCCCAAAAACTTGGTTTCCTGTTTCGGGCCAGGAGCTATTTCACTTCCAGTCAGCTGCTTATGCTCTATAAGGCACAGATCCGACATGTCCTGGAATACTGTTCCCATATTTGGAGTGCAGCATCCAAACATACCATGAAACTGTTGGATTCTGTCTAAAAAAGGGCAATTCGTCTCGTGGGTGATGCCTCGCTCACAAACTCACTCACTTCTCTGGAACACCGTAGAAAAGTTGGCGATCTGGCTCTATTTTATAAATATTTTCATGGACGATGCTCTCCTGAAATATCAACAATTGTTCCCCCCTTGGCAGTCCCCGCGAGATTAACTCGTCGAGTTGAGGCTTCTCACCCCTTTGTGGTCACTTTGGAGACCTGCAGAACATCTCTTTCCGAAGACTCGTTCATCCAACCAACAGCGAGGCTCTGGAACACATTGCCAAGGGGGATGTTCCCCGAGGCATATAACCTCCAGAAATTTAAGAAGAACACCAATTCCTGCCTTATTTCCCTTGGTTCTCACGATGTTCTCTGAACATTAAAGGATATCCCTTTTCGTGGGAACCAGAACATAAAAAAACAAAAAGAAAAAAGCTAGTCAATCCTTCCTTTTTGAAAGTATGCCCAACAATCTATATCCAAATTTGGTGTGACAGGAAGCATTGTTTTTATTTCCTATAGAAGAATGCAAGCGGATTTTTCGATTTTCCTTTTTTATAAATGAGGTGATTTTGTATTTCAGCCTGTCTTTGTGAATTCAACTACAGAATCACAGACTCCTTTGCCCCAAGGTTGGGAGGAACGGCAAGATGCGAATGGAAGGACTTACTTTGTCAATCACATAGCAAGAACTACTCAGTGGGAGAGACCTACATTAACGAAGTATGAATAGTTCAGTAAACGAACAAAAAGTAGAAGAAAAAAATCGTGTAGTCGCAAATTTTTTTAGAGTGGTAGGGGAAATGCCATGAACAACATACTGAGAGTCCTGACCCGCATAGGTCGCGTGCTCGATGACCGACTCTGGGGGTAAAACATTGAAACAGAACCTCACATTTTATTTGTTTACAGAGGAATCAAAGGATTGCAATAGTTTTTCACAATATTTTGGCATACGAATCGTGTTTTTTGCGCTATTCATTAATTCAAGCATGCCTTCTCATTGTGCTGTTGTACAGTGCACAAAAAATGCAGCGAGAGACGAAGGAATATGATTTTTCAAGTAGATAGTCTTCTCATATAGTTTTCATTATGAAATTTCGTATTTTCTTATTAAAATTCCTTCTGCCACTTCTGCAATAGAAGCTAATACTGCTAATAGATTGAAAATGTCTACAACACACACGATCATATTTCTCCAGCATGTCAGACCAGTCCTCCCGTTTGATTGCATGAATCCAATCTTCTTGCATTCTTTTAGAAATTTCACTAGTATTTCTATTAGCTCCTATTGCAGAAGGGATTCCGATGAGGAATCATAGAAATTACCAATTTTCAAAATGAAAACTATATGTGAGTGACTATAGTAGGTACTTACTTTCAAATCATTATGTACCAACCGGATTCTTTCGTCTCACGCTGCATTTTTTGTGCATTGTACAACAGCACAATGTGATGGCATGCGCGAATTAATGAATAGCCGGAAAACACGATTCGTATGCCAAAATAATTCTGAAAAACAGTCCAACATTTGTAAACAAATAAGAAAAGTGAGGTGGTGTTTCAATGTTTCACTTCCAGGGTCGGTCATCTGACAGTTCTTGCACGCAGTCGATGGGATGAGCGAAGCGTTTGAAGGTCATTTTTTCAAGTTATTCTTGAAAATCGCGGCCTCTAGCAATAACATTCAGGGATACAAATATGAACTTCATGAAATTTCCTATGAAAAAGTTTCTATTCATTTTTCGTCTACAGTGAACAGTTTCTGAGATACAGGGGATGAAAAAATCGAGAATTATCAAAAATAGAGTTTAATGATATTAAAATGGTTGTTAAACGTGAAAATATCAGCAAAAATAGATTACTCATTGAAAAATGAACGCATTCTCGTGCCACATGCGATAAAACCGTAAGTGCTGATATCTTGGAAAATATTTGTGTTTCAAATCACGTCTACATCTGAATTTGACATTAAAAATTCCCCACTTTCTTGCCTACATTTTTCTCAAACTTTAATCATATTATTCGCTCTAAAACTCATTATAGAAACTTTTAACCACATAGGAAGGTTATATTTCTAGTGAATAATAAAATTCACCACAAGCCAGTTTCACATAGGGCTAATTCCATTATTACCCTCTGAACATTTATTGTTGTTGGAAATAGTGGACAGCTCGAATTATTTGTGCAAAAGTTGACAATGCTAATTTTAATAGGAAACATATTTTATATTTTAAAACAATGCCCCGAATATTTAAAAAACACATGTAGGAAGTTTGAATATTGTGAGAGGAATACATACCTTCAGAAGAATAGACTAAGATCAAAATATTCAACAATGGATTGTTTCGCTCTAAAATACTCCTTACTAAGATGACGTTTATAACACTCTTTAAAAATTTGCAACTACACAATTTTTCTCCTCAGTTTGACCTTTTTTGGCGTTCGTTGATCGAACTAGAAGTTGAATGGTATTTTTTGCTATCGGTTCTTCATTCATTTTTCGTTTTTGTAGTGGCGGCACTTCGGAAACTAGAGCAGTTGAGAGGGAAGAGCAGAGGGAGGTATTTGAGAGGAGATTTCACATAAGTGCTGATGAAGAATCAAACGATGGCGGGGACCATTCAAACAACACCAGCCAGGTAGGCAATTTCAATTGAATTCAGTTCCTTTGATTCTCCAGAAAAGTTTATTCCTTCAATTGAAACTTTTTTTATATGAAAAATCCATAGGCCTCTATTAATTTTCAATGATTTAGTGATTTTTGAGCATTTTTGAGAATTTTATATCTATACAACATATATTATTTTGAAGGGAAAATGATAAGAAATTTAATGAGCTTATAAAATACAGGGTGTTCCATTTAAAAAATCATAAGTTTGAGGAGTATCTGCAAAACCGTACCCCGAAAAAAAATTTGAGTGTGCCACTGTATTCCGCGTAAAATTCTCTATGGGATCAGATTTTAATTTGACATTTTTGCTAAGAAACTTCGTAGATATAGAGGGGGATCAAAAAGTATAAACTTTCAAAATCGCTCTGTATCTCATAAACGGAAACAGTTATGCAAAATCTGATAAAGCCATCTTGAGTTTCACAAAAAAGTGGCACAGGACCGCAGAAACCGCAAGGTTCTAACTCCAAAGATAGCTGACATATTACGCAAAAGCATCGAAAACTGGACACACTGTACACGAATAAACAGTCCGAAGTGAAAGCTTTCTTTGCTTAAATCTCTCCAAAAAATCGAACTAATAAACACAAGCAAATGAAGCATTTCAAAACTATGTACTTTCATATATATATATCCACAACCGGTCAGTTTGGCGCTCGATTCAGTCGCCTATTGATAACACTGATTCATTGTCCATTAACGTCTATCTGCAGGAGCTTTACAAAAACGAATTGTTATTTTTTCTTCTCTCTGCTTCATTTATATACACTCACCAGCAAAAAAACCGGCCACCAAAAAATTTTGCCAAATTGTTCGCCCTGTAACTTTTTCAATTCTTGTCCGATTTTTGTGAAATTTTGACCAAATCGTATATTCATGTTTCGGAATGTTAGCCTGAATATCAGGTTCTGAGAAAAGCTGATGAGTTGATCATTATACAGGGAAAAACAAAAGTTACTCTTTCACCCTCAACTTCATAACGCCCTGTGGAAAGGGTGAGTGGTTAAACTTGACTTTATTATGATTTGGATTGAAGTGTGATCCATTCTCAACATAATGGTTTCTGATTCACACCGATAACCACTTTTTAATAACCACTAATAGAGTACTGGTTCTTCAGAAGTATGCAATTCGAATTCTTGCTAGTGTCGATATGAGAACAAGTTGCAGAGCATATTTCAGAACTGCCAACATCCTAACCCTAGTTAGTTTATACATACTAGAAGTTATACGTTTATAAAAATAAAAACATGTTTTTGAATACTCTTGAGAAGCACGATCATAATACACGCTTCAAAAGCCACCTCCAACCTGAGAGACACCGGGCTACGTTGTACCAGAAAAGTTTTTATTATACTGGTTGTAATAGTTATTTATGTATTAAGGGAATTATGAGGGCCTTAATTACCGATGGCAAAGTTTGCGTCCCGAGAGCCTCTGGCCCGAGGGACAGCAATTGCCAGAGGTTATTAAGGCTCTATAATTCCCGTGATACATAGATAATTTTATTTCTGACTGATTTCATTCATTAGATACCTTCCCGATTGGAAGTTAGACATGTTTTTCCGTATAGTTTCAATGTCATCAGAACGTCAGATGATGATCTTGACTACCGCGAATAGGAGATTCCTTATTGCTACGTTATTGCGTGGTTGTTGCTATGCATTTCTTATTTAATTTTAGCTAGAGGGAATTATAGCATCTATAACATCCCAAGGGAGTTATGACCCTCATTATAGATATCGTAACTATGAAGATATAAGCTTATAATGTCACTGTCAGAAATAAACTATATAACTCTCTTGATGAACAACTTAAGAGCTCCAAAAACTTGAATATATTTAAAAAGAGGCTTAAACAACAGCTAATTCAAAAGGCCTGCTATACGCTGGATGAGTATTTTATGTAATTCTATGTAATGTTAGTAACGTGATGAATATATTGTATTTAATTGTGAAGCTGTCGCATTGTTTGTTTGTTATATTTTTTCTTTTTTTTGACGTACTTTACTGTTTCATGTTATACATTTAACAGAAAATAAAAATTATTATTATTATTATTATTATTTAAGAGAAGATACAAGTGTTTTAACAAAGTATGGATATTTAAATTTTTATTAACAATAATTCAGAACCATTCTCCAACCGTCTGCTTCATCATCTTTTGAATTGAAGTAATCCTTTTTCGTCCCTTCTTAACTCAATGGTTTTTGATTTTCATCAATATTGTCTTTTTGAGAGAAGATACGAGTGTTTTAGGAAAGTAAGGAAAAAACAATAATTCATAACCTATAGAGCATCCAAAGGGTAATTTCTTCAAGACTACTTGGGTCGAATGTTTTAATTCAAACTTGAGGAAGTTACGATGTTATTGACTAAGGGTGTGCTTTTTGTTTGGTTGGTTTTTTCCGGTAAGTGCTAAGAAAATGATGTAGAAATAAGTCATATTGATTTTTTGACTTGTTAATCTATAAGTTTATCTAAGCTCTGAATATTTTTTGATGAACATTGGAACATGCCATACTTTCTAAAAACACTCGTATCTTCTCTTAAAAATAAGATATTGACGTGAATGAGAAACTATTGTGTTGAGAAGGGATGACACTTCAATTCAAAGCATAATGAAGCCAAGTTCAACCACTCAATTACGCCATAGGGTGTTAAGAAGTAAAGGGTGAAATAGCAACTTTGGTTTTTCCCTGTATAATGATCAAGTCATCAGCTTTTCACGAAAACTAATATTTAGGCTAATATTTCGGAACATGTATCTACAAATTGATCGAAATTTCACTCAAATCGGACAAGGATTAAACAAGTTACAAGGTGAACAATTTAGGCAATTTTTTTGTTGGCCGGTTTTTTTTGCCGGTGGGTGTATATAATTATATTATGTAGTATAAATGTGTACTATTAGTTATTTATGTATCAAGGGCGTAAAGTAGGCGTTTATGGCCTGTGGCGTGAAGGCCATAAACGCATTTCACACACGAGATACATACAAAATATAATGCACTAGTGGTTTATTTTCTGACTCATAAGTAATGACCATAGATTTCGATAAACTAATATTCTCCAGAATTTAATTTGTTACGTATAAATTCAGTAATCAAGAGAAGCGTAACGTTCATGGATGATTCACATATGAAAATTATCGTACGAATATTGCAATTATCGTAATAGTAAAACTCTTTCAGCTCTAGAAGAGATTCATTCTTCAGAATTTCACAATATGCATACCCAGTATATATATATATATAAACCTAACTTATTTTGACGTTGTCAATCAATCTGATGGTTGTTGTCTATAGCAATACATCCAATAAACGAGCTGAATTGGCTTTCTTTGATTCAAAAGTAAAATTAGTGATAATAATAATAATAGCGAGACTATGGAATCGGATGGAGAAGAAGTTTATGATATACCGCTGGATATATCAGAATCTAGGAATATGATCATAGGTTTTTCATAAATTGATATGTGGATATGAGGTGACTGAGAACAGCGGGCGGTAAAGTGCGACTTAACGCCCGCAAAACCGGGCGGTAAAGTGCACTTTACGGCCCGCTAGTGCATAAAATATTATTACATACACCTGGAATTGGGTCTTATGCCCTGTTGGATGTATTTACAAATAAATAAATAAATAAACACTGATGGATGGTCGTAGGCGGGGTTACCCGATTCGGTAGTGCGCATCGACCGTCTGTCCGACGATGTTGACCTTGAAAATCGGCTGAGCTTGCGCTCTGACTCTGACACCCTCGACACCGACTACCACGCTTCGGCGGAGAGCAACGACAGTAGCCGAAGGAGCTCGGTGGAGGTGCCGCTGTACCAGCTGGGTGCTCGAGCTCGAAGTAGTCGCAGTCGGTCGGAGGAGGGCGAAAGCGGTTCGGAGGTTGGTAGGGTTCAGGGTGGATTCGCGCAGCATCAAGTGACAAGTATCGAGAAACAATGGAGGACTTTCCTTCGGACCATTTCAGGCTAGAGTGTCTGGCCGGTATTAAACTACTCAACACTAATTTCGTCGCACACCAAAATGTCGCCCCTGTTATAATGTGAATAACTTTTTTCAGTTCAGAACAATTTCATTGAAACATGACGGTAATCACATAAAATCTCTACATGGTGTTTTCCGACACTGTGCAAAATTTCGGAATATTCAAAAGGCTCTCAAATGGTGAAAAATTTTTTTTCTCGACTTCGACAACAGAGGCAATAAGATGATCTCATTACCTCGAGATGTTTCGCGAATCAACTTCCTATCTCTCTTATTTACAGAGTGATCTCAAAAAATCAACTTTTTGGTTTTGCAGCCATAACTTTTTTCTACGTCAAGCGATTTTAGAAATCTTAGGCTCATTTTGAAGATAACACTTCAGATGAGGAGATCTGAATATCAGAATTGACTCAAGATGGCTATCAGAGATCTAGAGTTTTCTTGAAAGTGACCCAAATCTGGAACGCCCTCCGAATCTCAGTTGGGAGGAGAATTGAATGAAAATCAACTTGTTCTCGGAAGGACAATTCATTCTGGATGCGTCCATTTTTTCCTCGCTCTCAGTAGTCAAGAAAGTGCGTGAGAAAACACAATTGAAACATGTTCTTGCAGAAACATCAGATAATTTCTCCTCTGTAATGCATGGCCCGTAACCAACGTTACAAGAATCATAGTAAGTGACTGACAAGTCAGGTTAGACGTCGTTTTCGAATCATAAACAGATTTCGATAGTTTCGATGTCGCATCTAACACGAATGTGGGTGACAACTTTGTTCTCGTTGATGACAATGCGAGACCGCATAGGGTTGTTGGTACATCATTTATGATGAGCCTTGGCTGGTCGGGTTTGTCAGTCCATTGTGATTCTTGTAACGTTGGTTACGGGCCATGCATTACAGATGAGAAATGGTCTGATGTTTTTGCAAGAACATGTTTCAATTGTGTTTTCTCACGCCCAATTCTTGACTACTGAGAGCGAGGAAAATATGGACGCATCCAGAATGAATTGTTTTTCCAAGAACAAGTTGATTTTCATTCAATTCTCCTCCCAACCGAGATTCGGAGGGCGTTCCAGATTTGGCTCACTTTCAAGAAAACTCTAGATCTCTGATAGCCATATTGAGTCAATTATGATATCCAGATCTCTTCATCTGAAGTTTCATCTTCAAAATGAGCCTAAGATTTCTAAAATCGGTTGACGTAGAAAAAAGTTATGGCTGCAAAACCAAAAAGTTGATTTTTTGAGATCACTCTGTAAATAAGAGAGATAGGAAGTTGATTCGCGAAACATCTCGAGGTAATGAGATCATCTTCATGCCTCTGTTGTCGAAGTTGAGAAAAACATTTTTTTCACCATTTGAGAGCCTTTTGAATATTCCGAAATTTTGCACAGTGTCGGAAAACACCATGTAGAGATTTTATGTGATTACCGTCATGTTTCAATGAAATACGAGATTATAGCTGAAGGACTGGGCTATCGAACAGTGTGAACCAAATTCAAATTGTTCTAAACTGAGAAAAGTTATTCACATTATAACAGGGGCGACATTTCGGTGCGCGACGAAATTAGTGTTGAGTAGTTTAGTAAGATAATAAAAAATCTTCTGAAGTAGTCCATGTTCGAAGTGGAGGGAGGGGATGATCAAAGAGAGAAAATTCAAAGTTGTCTTCACAAGTTTAATGGCGATGTGTGCAGGCAAATGTGCTTTCTACTTTTGAGACATGTTTCGACCATTCAAATGGTCATCATCAGTCAAAGTACAGAATAAAGGTGATGTGGAAATGGCTATGACATCATGCAGACGAAAAATTCTTTTTATTGTAGAACATATTTAAATTTCAATTTGAAAAATAAGTTGTATTTTATGGAGGAAGGTAGGGCCAATCCACCCAAAACTTGGGGCCCATCGGCATCTGAATCGACATGTTTTCCCTCATTAAAATCAAATCTGAATTTGGAAAGAGATCTATATATTACAATGGATGATTACTTTACAATGAATTGCCAACAAGACTCAAAAAATATATCATTACCAAAAAATTCAAGAAAGAACTCAAAAAATATTTATTTGTCTGAATTTTGTCATGTCATCCATATTGAGAACATATAACATATCTATTAATTTAATCAATCATTCACTCAAACAAGGATCAGCTCAAACTCTGAGAATTACTAGAATAATTATTATACCTATAAATACTATATTTTGAATGTAATGTAATACATTATGGTTTATTTTTTAATGTTCCCTGTTATAAACATATACGTCAATTGTTTCTTGGGAATAATAAAGATGATGATGATGATGATGATGATCTGAATCGGCTCATTGTGACAAGAGCACCATAGTCGAATTTGACAATGAATATGAACGTCAGAATTGATATAATTTCCAACTTGACACAAAAAAGTTGAAATATATTTCTACTAACTACGAGGGAAATAAAATGCCCATTAAATCATCATTTTCAAAAAACATAAAGTCATTACTAACGTTAGTAAAACCTCCCAAACAGGAAAGCCAGGAAAAGGAATCATAACCAAAAAATTTGTCGGTTGTCTGGCTCACATCTGGCTCGAAGAATGTGCTGTTGTCAGACGTTAGAAAACCATCAATGGGAATTTTATTTTACAGTAACTGCCATTGCACACCTACATGTTTTGTCTTTTCGTTATCATTTCATCTGACATTATTGATGAAAAATGAAGGGATTAGTCAGTTCACTACACTAAAAAACCTTGAACTTTCTCGTGTTTTGTGTTCAATGCCGATTTCCTGATAATTAGAACGGCAAAATCATATTTGCCCCTGGTAAATTCGCATATTTGCCCTGTGTGAACATGGTTTTCGGTACGTCATCCGAACGGTGATGGAGCCGAAACTATTTTTTCAAAAATCGAATTCAAACGGAAAACTAATGAAACATAGTACGTATATGAGCCGATTGGGACACGGTTAAAAAAAAACTAGATTGGTGCTTCGGATCTTTGGCTTTGACTTGTGCGCTTGCTACTGTTTCTCCCTGATTTGTTGATAGTTTGCATAGTGTTCCATTTTCGTAAGTTCGTACTTGATAATTGTTTCTCATACTTGTTAATATTGCTGCATGAATCCACACTTGGGATTGAGAGTGCGCTCGTTGTCTGTCCTGTGGCTTCGGATGTTTTTGATCCGTTTTCTGTGGTGTTTCTGTCTCGTTTTATGTGATGTTCCCGTCTCGTCTTCTGTGATGTTTGTTTTCAATGGAAATATCTCAAATATCGTGTTTCTCTATATGAGTCTGAAATCCATCGTAAATTGAACTGAATTGACCTCACTTTCAACAGATAAACATTTCATATTGTAGGGTTGGATACAGAGGAGCCAAATATCACATGCGGTTAGAATAAGCGCCACTGTTGAACTGTTAATAATTGGAAATAAGAGAAAGAAAACTTTCTTAGACACTTTGTTTTTCATACTAATTATCATTCATATTGACAAATAGTTCATTTTTTTCAAATAGCTCATTTACATTAATGCTGAGTTTTAATCTTCTCCTGAAGATGCTAACATAGATGGCGAAACACGTGTCGAGGCGGTTAAAAATCGGTTTGGTTAGTGGTAAAACAGTGTAGTGTATTATCGTGCCAAAGGTTCCAATCTTCAATATATAATTTAAAGTTGTCAAAGTCTATCGTGTTGTCATAGTGATTGATACTTGCACTGCATGCAGTTATCAAAATTTATTTTCATTATAAAATTCGTGTCTCAGACAAACATACGAAAGTAAAAAAAATAAAAAAAAACATCGCATGATGAGTGCCTATTTACCAAATATTTTTTATGAAAATTCCACACCAGTGATTTCCATACATTTAAATTGGGTTTTTATGACAAATACCATAGCAACGTATGTATTTTAGTGGGCATATTTTTCTCGTGGGCTACCCACCAGCGTATAAAATCGTTTTTTATGACGTTTTAATGACATAATGATATTTTCCGTCGACCTCGTATTAACGACTAAGTTTAATGTATATGAAATCGTTCATTAATGACCCCTATTAATAAACGATTTGTCTATTAATGCACGATTGTTTTATAGGCAACCAAACATACACCGCGTGCATTCATTGTTTATGCTATAACTTACGGAATCTGCATTTAAATCGAAAATATGGATTTCATCGAAGATTTTCTGTTAACGGGTTCGCCTTTCCAAGTTTCTGACACGATTTTTTCCCTGTTTTCTAACACAAGGAATTTATTTTCTATGTTGATCATTTCGACAAATGTCAAATATCACTAATGTCAGTGACAAGGCTACTGGGTGATTCTTAGCAGTTTCCGGATGAATGATGAATTCGCGACCCAAGTTTTCTTCATTGCAGGAGAAATGAGAAATATAGTCGACGGAAAAATTTTGTAACCAACTTGTATATTAAAAGGCGATTAATGATCTCAAACATTAACGCGCTCGCTTCGCTCGCACGTTAAAATATCTCGATCATTAATCGCCCTCATTAATACACTAGTTGGTTAATAAATAACTATTTGACATCCTAAAATAGTGATTTTGTGTCACTTCAATTGGGTAGAAATCAACAATTAATAGGCTAAGAATCCATTGATGCCCTAACTGCATCTATTATATAAAATGTCATACCACTACCTGGGCCAGTGTAAGCCGTTATGGAAGGTTAAAATTCGAAATCTCTGGTACTGATACGCTTCAACAGGAAGATCAAATTACTAAGGTGGACGGAGATACTGACCTTCACCCTAAATCCACGGAGGTTCGAAAAGGAGAATTAGGAGAAGATATAGTAGATATTATGTGCATGACGTGTGCAGCAGGGGTCGGCAAAAAAGGCTCACTGGGGCCTACTTGCTAGGCGACCGCCTCCCCTTTCTCTACTACTACTAGTATGTACCTATACCTATGAAAAATTAATTGACAAAATTATAATTTCTTATCACTTGTAGTATCCCGAAGTTAATATAAAATGGAAGAATATAATAACATTTTACAGGAAGGAAGGAATGCTCGAAGTCATTTTAAACTAGTATTCATGCAAATATAATAGGTAGAAATCAGGGATCTATTATTGGTGCCGAAACTGCGACCCAAAGTAAATTTATTCATGAACCTGTATGCACATCAAATGAACAAATAAATTCTAAAATTATTTAATTTCCAAAGTGTGAAATTTTCTTACCGAACACCACACGAGATCAAATTACTTTCCGGAAATTTTTTCTCGCTCATGAATATTTCCATGACCTCAAAAACATTCCGGAAATGATTTGACTGTTATTTCGGAATCGCCCTCCCCTCAGAAAAATGCTAGATCCGCTTCTGGTGGTGACAAATAAGTGTATCCTCACTCTCTTAAAAGGTACCCTTGTTCAAATGAAACTATAGTACCTTAGAAATTGTGTACTATTGCGGTAGTCATGCACCAACCTGCCTAATGCTTCCTTTGCTTCTCCCATTACTCCCGAGGCGTATTTCAAGTTTTATTTTCACGTTTTCGAAAACTAACCCTGTCTTTAATTTGGTCACAAAACCGAACTTTCGTTAATCGAATACCTACATTTTTTTAACATGCGCGCCGGTAAGCGTCTTATCCAAAAGCTAGCTCGGTTCACGTCTCGTTCGTATCTCTATTTGTTTTTCGATTCAACCGCTACCAGTAAATGCCTTTCTCAAAACGCTGAACTTGCATATTCAGCATATAATACTGATATCTAAATTGATAACGTACGATACATACAGTGCGCATCATGATTCATAAGTGTTACACCCCCTATCTAACTCGTTACGGGACTCTTGTTAGTAAAATCGCCGAGACCCGTCGATTTTTGATTTTTACAGTGTATTTTCGTAAGCATATTTCACTCCTAATTTCATCCCTTACTAGAGGGCAGCAACCCTGTCAAAAAACTTAAATAGCATGAGGTGGTGAGTGATAGCTCATCGAATCTATGGCAATTCTGCAGTCTCTTTCATATTTCCTTGTATAAACCTCATGAAGAGTTACTGTATTTATACATTTCACTATTTTCGACAATGACCGACACTATATTTCTTTTTCGGAACATAGCGATTTTCATCACGTTTAAACATATTCTTCTTCATCCCGGGACAATCTGAACATATTTTTTATCGCACCTTGTATGTCCATCGTCAAGAATAAATATAAATTTCATACTTCTGAAACCACCATCGTAATGTTTTGAATTTTATAATTTATCTTACCGAAAATGCATCATTTTGATTAAAAATGCGTACCTTCATTATATAACCTTCGATCCGAGAAATTACAAAACCATTTCGATGTCAGACATCAGACATCCTCATGACGAAGTAACACTCCATTATTTCACTAGTTACACAGAGAAAATTGTGTTTCATCAGCCTACTTTTCGTCCTAGACGAAGTTTTATATATAGTGTGATATTAGTCACTCCATAAATTCTCCGAGTTGGATTTACGAAAATATTTTTAGCACACATGACATGAGTACAGTAGTAGTTTAGATACCCACATCGAGGTTTTCCCCATTTCTCAATTATAAGGCTTAGCTCATTCAGCTCATAGATAAACTACTGCTCAGCTTGAAATCAGAATTCATTCAGTCAATTCAGACAACCCTGGTAAACAGTCTAAAAACAGTCTCTTTTGGTGAAATATATTAAGCTTTTAGTACAATTTATATGTTCCCTACCTTGCAAAGATTATGCTGGAGTAGTAAACTCTAAAACTAGAGGATTATTCATCTATATCTTGGTATAGTTGAATCAGGAATTCCATATGGAAATTACGTATGATACGCCAATGACCTCAATATGACCTAAAACATCTAGTGTTTATCTCCAGAATTGAATAAGGATGGAACTATGTAACTATTTCACAAACACTTTAGAGTGAGAGGAGACAAGGATCTGTCCGTACCCTGTTAAGATGACAAATACGTCAGTTTGCATCAAGGGACCCTATTTCGTTCTAGCGAGACGACGACGACACCGACAGCCCGTCCTCGCGTCGCGCCTCCTCCGCCTCACAGGCCGCCCTGCCGCCCGCCCCCGCCGACCCGTCGCAGGAGGGGCTGCCCGCCGGCTGGACGGCCCAGCGCGCCCCCAACGGCCGGCTCTTCTTCATCGACCACAACGAGCGGGCGACGTCGTGGGTGGACCCGCGCACGGGCAGGGCTAGCGCGATGCCCGAGGCGCAGGGGCAGCGGCGGTCGGGCAGCGGGGCGGGGCGGCCCGAGGACGATCTGGGCGCGCTGCCCGAAGGGTGGGAGGAGCGGGTGCATTCGGACGGCAGGATATTCTTCATCGATCACAGTGAGTACCTCCTAGTGATTACACAGAAAGGGTCAACTGTATTTCAGAATAGTCAATTGAATTTCAGAAAACGTCATTTGTATTTCAAATGAAGCTTTCTGAAAGTGTAATTTGTATTTAAGAAAATACCATTTGAAATACAAATGCCGCGTTCTGAAATTTAATTGACTATTTTGAAATACAGTTGGAGTTTTCAGAAATGATAATAATATTTATTTATAATACATAATACATATTAACAAAATATGACTATATCAGAGACGGCACATGATTTACGATCATAAATAAATATGACTGTGATTCCCTTTAAGCATAAGAGCTTGTCTACGAATATTCATGGATGGTGGAACAACTCGCCAGAAATGAGACAGGCAAAAGAGTTTATTAAAAAACCATCGCCAACATTCACAGAATATCTACTGGGACTTCTCACAGGGCATTGTAGGCTCAACAAACACATGAGTACAATAGGTCTGACTAAAGAACTGCTGTGCGGGTTCTGTCAGGAAGAGGAGAAAACAGCAGTATACATACTCTGCCACTGTGAGGGCTTGTCTTGACTAAGGTTCCTTACGCTGGGTGAGGAAAAACCAGAAGCCCAAAGATACACAGGGGATCTGAAAGCTAGCCTATGGAGTCTCATAGAGAAGGCAGGGCTAGCCGAAGAACTCTAATCGATTTTGAGGGCAGACACAATAGATCTGAAAAGGTCGCGGTGTGGAGGCAGATAGCCCGAAGACCCCATTCTAAATCTAATCTAAATCTAACATAATAATAAAATCATAACAACATACTTGTCAGAAAGTTATTGTAAGGTACATAACAATGTAAAACATATGAATTATTCAAAGATGAACGTGGCGACAACGCAAAGTTTCATAGTAAACGAGCAAAATAATCGTTGTTAGAAATCTTATTTGTCGTTTTTGTTGTTAATAATGGTTTTCCGGCTATTGTGTGATCAGTTTTCGGTGTTTCAATACTTCTAAACTTCTAAACGGCTGAACCGATTGGGTTGAAATTCTATATGGGTATTTCTATGGTTTCCTGGATCATTCAAAAATACAATTGGACGCGGTAGGTGGCGCTGCTGTCGGTATGTCAACTACTAAACGGCTTGACCAATTGGGTTGACACTTTTAATACGTAAAACAACAAAAAAACAAAAGATACTGAGATAATGAAAATAGGTGTGAGTTTATACTAGTTTCTATAAGTGAGCACAACAAATTTAAAAGAATAACAAAAAAATATGTGCCGCAGATATGCGCATAGCTCAGAACGGCTGCAACAAATATATATTTTTTTTCAAATGGCCGGACAGCTAGTTTAATATTGAAAAATCTAAAGCAGACTATACTGTGAATAAATATGGTTCGGTAGGTTTATTTTTACCTCTTGGAGCACACGAAAAGAAAATCCTATGATGTTCGAGGTTCATTCTGCATACATGCATGCAGAGGATACGGAGAGGAGGTAGGTATTGAAATTTTTTTGAACTTTTGGAGTTTATGAGTTATTCGGAATACTCCCATTGTCAAAGAATTCCAAAGCTTTGGTCTAATACTTTTCAATACTTTTCAATACTATCCCCTGAATCATTACAATTCGTACGACTACAATATTGTAGAATATAATATGTTTAAACTATCTTCTAGAAGAACTGTTAGCTTCATAAATTTCTTGCAAAAACTGGTGTCTGGTTTCATTAACTGTCCAAGTATCTTGGGTAAATTGAATTTCAATGTTGGAAGACGTTCCTTACGATCTCCGAATCTGTTTTATCCTCAAAGATATAGAACGAATGCGTCAGAGAACTCTCCAATAACTGCTGTACAGAGGTTGTATGATCTGTTTTTTTGTCATATTGATATATTTCATGGATCACTTTCAGTAGTTAAACATGCTGCTTATTCAGTATTCAGGTGATATTCATATCCACATATCATGACTCAAATTATAAGCATGTCATTAGTATTATTAATGTTATTATCATTATTATTATTATTATTATTATTTTTATTATTATTATTAATCATTATTATTATTATTATTATTATTATTATTATTATTAATCATTATTATTATTATTATTATTATTATCATTATTGTTGTTATTGTTATGATTATTTTTGTTACTATTATCATTATCACGTTATTATTATTATTATTTATTTCAGAATGCTTTTTCTGAACATTGATATCTATTAAGTTTATTACTCTACGATATATCGTACCGATATTTCATGAATTTATGGAAAAATGTAATATGCGGTTTTCTGTTATTGGGTTGTTAGTTCAACCTGTTGAAAACCCGAATTGGTAAATAAAATAAAGTATCAAATAAAATAAATAAAGTAAAGTATCGAAACAAAGAACCTCATGACTTTGGACATTTCCTAAAAGAAAATACCGAGACGGTATTTTATTGTACTAATTAATATTGTACCTAGTAGGTTCTGGCATCGATTTTCTTGCCTGTTTTAGATACAAGGACAACTCAGTGGGAAGACCCACGCCTCTACAATCCTCAGATAGCAGGACCGGCTATACCATATTCCAGAGATTATAAACGAAAATACGAATACTTGAAGGCGCAACTAAAGAAACCGGTAAGTAACAAATCTATTGAACGATAATATGAAATATTGAAATGTCCATCGATCGATCCTACAATCGTAATAAAAACCTAGTAGGCGTGTAGGTGGTGAGGTACAATAATGCTCATCGCTCATCGACCTCAATTTCGGACTAAGTTATCCATTTTTTATCCTAACCTTAGAAATATTTCTTATTCCAGTCAAGATTCACCATTTTTGTTATGTATCTAAATAACGCCGAAAAAATTCGAGGGGTGATTCCTTGTCCTAGCAACTTAAGTTTATATAAACATGTGTCCTAACTTGCTCCGTTTTTGATATACAGGATGTTGAAGTTGGAAATATTAATTGTTTTCATTTATAACCCCCTTGTATAAGCTTTCATGGTGCCAAAATTCAGTATGGTCGGAGACTGAGGAAGCTTCAAAATTGGGGTTATTGAGTCATCTCAATGGAAGTCTTGAAAACACCTACATTAAATTTGGAGTCAAATCGAATTTTTATTGTTTCCTCAAATACTAAGCTAAATACAAAAATGACACAGACGATAAACACGTTGTTATTTCAATAGTTCAATCTAATCATAATATGAAACTCAGAAAAACTGTTTAAACGAATTGATTTTTAGACGAATGTACCGAACAAGTTTGAAATAAAAGTGAGAAGACGCAGCATTTTGGAAGACTCGTATAGGGTTATAACGTCCGTTTCCAGAGTGGATTTGTTGAAAACGAAGTTGTGGATCGAATTTGAAGGGGAAGTGGGCTTAGATTATGGAGGGCTAGCTAGAGAGTGGTTCTATCTTCTCTCCAAAGAAATGTTCAATCCTTATTATGGCCTTTTCGAATATTCAGCCATGTAAGTTACTCAAAGATATGAAGCGATATTTACTATATTTTGCTCTCCAAGAATCAGTTTTTGTTTATTTAAATCCTTGGTTTTGTTTTTCATTCTTCAAAATATTATTTAATCAGGTATACATGCATAGTTCTTTTATACAAGAGTTGATTGGGGGCAAAATATAGTACATTCTGTTGGTACATTTCCTAATTATTCATTTTCACCTTAGGGATAATTATACCCTGCAAATAAATCCATTCTCAGGAGTGTGTAACGAGGAACATCTTAGCTACTTCAAATTCATTGGTCGGGTAGCTGGAATGGCTGTGTATCATGGAAAACTGTTAGACGGTAATTAAACAATTTCTTCATTACATTCCAATAATTGTTTTTTCGATTTAGTGTTATTAGAAAAATAAACACAATATGAAATGTCTAGCCCTTGAAAAAATAGGTCGCGTGCATATTTGACAGATGACCGACCGTGGAGGCGAAACAACCTCACTTTTCTTATTTGTTTACAATAGATTGCAATAGGTCCCGTGCACGATGATCGACCCTGGAGGTGAAATATTGAAACACAACCTCGCTTTTCTGTGAAACATTGAAACACAACCTCACTTTTTTCATTTGTTTACAGAGGAATCAAAGGATTGAAATAGTTTTTCACCATATTTTGGCATACGAATCGTTTTTCTAGCGCTATTCATTAATTCAAACATGCCTTTTCATTGTGCTGTTGTACAATGCACAAAAAATGCAGCGAGAGACGAAGGAATGTGATTTTTCAAGTATTTAGTAATCTCACATAGTTTTCATTATGAAATTTTGTAATTTTTTCTTAAAATTCCTTCTGCCACTTCTGCAATAGAAGCTAACACTGCAAATAGATTGAAAATGTCTACAACACACACGATCATATTTCGTCAGCATGCCAGACCAGTCCTTCCGTTTGATTGCATGAATCCAATCTTCTTGCATTATTTAGAAATTTCACGAGTAGATATTTCTATTAGCTCCTATTGCAGCAGGAATTCCGATGAGAAATCACAGAAATTACCAAATTTCAAAAATGAAAACTATATGTGAGTGACTATAGTAGGTACTTACTTTTGAATCATAATGTACCAACCGGATTCCTTCGTCTCCCGCTGCATTTTTTGTTCATTGTACAACAGTACAATGTGATGGCATGAGCGAATTAATAAATAACCGAAAAACACGATTCGTATGCCAAAATAATTGTGAAAAACTATTTCAATCAGTTGTAAACAAAAAAGAAAAGTGAGGTTTTGTTTTAATGTTTCACCTTCAGGGTCGGTCATCTGACAGTTCTTGCACGCGACCCATAGTTTTTTACAATTGTTTTGACATACAAATTTCGTGGGCCATTTTTTTATTCATGCATTTCATCACATTGTGCTGTTGCATACACTGCACAAAAAATGCAGCGATAGACTGCAACGATAGACGAAGGAATAAGATTTTTCAGGTGAATTGTGATCTAGTACTGTAGTAACTCACGATCATATTTCGTCAGCATTTCAGACCGGTCCTCCCGATGATTGCACGAATCCAAGCTTCTTGCCTTCTTTTGAAAACTGCTCGACTCATTTTATCAGCTCCTTTTGCAGAAGGAATTTTAAAGAGGAATTACAACAATTCAAAATGTGTAATTTTAGATCACAATTTACCCCAATCCGTCGTCTCTAGCTGCATTTTTTGTGCGTTGTACTTGAATAAATAAATACCCCCAAGAAACAGGATTCCTATGCCAAAATAATTGTGAAACACTTTCACAATCCTATGTAAAGTAATAAGAAATGTGAAATTGTTTTACTTTCAGGATCGGTTATCTGTCATATGTGCACGTAACCTATAGGTTCAAATACTAAGGAAATATGCCTTACGTTAATTGATAAAAATTTTAGATTGGTAACATTGAAGATGAGAACAAATGGAGTAGAAGACCATTCAAACTTCTTTTCTTATTTTGAACTTGAGCAAACAAAACTTCTCTATTGATATATTTTTCATTCGTTTGAATATCGTTGGTGAAATCAGCTGATTCGAACCGTAGTGCATTTAACACGACACTGAAACAACGTCATCATGTACCCGATTGCTATTTCATACGGTCAATTTTCAGCATTTTTCATCAGACCGTTCTACAAGATGATGTTGTCGAAAACGATCGACCTCAAAGACATGGAATCGGTCGATTCGGAGTACTACAAGTCCTTGCTGTGGATAAAAGAGAACGACCCGAAAGACTTGGAACTGACCTTTTCCGTCGATGAGGAATCTTTCGGGCACACCTCTTTGCACGAACTCATACCGGGCGGTGCCGATGTGCCTTTGGACAATTCCAACAAAGATGAATACATCAAGTAAGTGCATGAAAACATGTTTTTGGTTTCCTTGAAACTTGCTCTCTGCTCAAACGATATATTGTACAAGAAAAAATTGAACTTGTTTGATATGATGTTCATCAAAATAACTTCCGCAACAATCGATGAACAACCGCCGGTGCCCACCTATCTTTAACGAACCATTGCAAGTGCAGGGGGAAGGGAAATATCCTTTGGCTTGCCTCCCTAGCTATGTTCTCTGCTAGCTAGTTTTCTCTCAAACAGGTCTCTCCATGTAGTGGTCGACGGAGTTTCATCTGACTCTCTTATCATAAATGCTGGTGTTCCGTAAGGATCAATTCTAGCACCAACACTATTTCTACTCCATATCAACGATTTTTTGGAAGTAACTTCATGTCCAGTACACAGCTTCGCGGATGATAGTACTCTCCATGCCGTCTTCTCTTCCAGGGCTCCAATACCAGCCAGGCAAATCAGAAACGAACGAGGGAGAAATGCTGACAACATGGACTTGGCAACAATTCTCGAATGGGGATCCAATAACTTGGTAGATTTCAATGCAAACAAAACACAAGCATGCCTTTTCTCTAGAAAAGCAGATCTCACTGTGCCCAACATAAGCTTGTCAGGAGTAACCATACCTTTGAAGGCATCCATTTCAATGCTTGGTATTACTATCAGCAATAACCTTTCTTGAGAAAATCACGTGAGATCAATTGCTAAAAGTGCATCCCAAAAACTTGGTTTCCTGTTTCGGGCCAGGAGCTATTTCACTTCCAGTCAGCTGCTTATGATCTATAAGGCACAGATCCGACCTGTCCTGGAATACTTTTCCCATATTTGGAGTGCAGCACCCAAACATTCCCTGAAACTGTTGGATTCAGTCCAAAAAAGGGCAATTCGTCTCGTGGCTTATGCCTTGCTCACAAACTCACTCACTTCTCTGGAACACCGTAGAAAAGTTGGCGATCTGGCTCTATTTTATAGATATTTTCATTGACGATCCTCTTCTGAAATATCAACAATTTTTCCTCCCTTGGCAATCCCCGCGAGATTAACGCGTCGAGTTGAGGCTTCTCACCCCTTTGTGGTCACTTTGGAGACCTGCAGAACATCTCTTTCCAACGAACAGCGAGGCTCTTTGACACATTGCCAAGGGAGGTGTTCCCCGAGGCATATAACCTCCAGAAATTTAAGAAGAATACCAATTCCTACCTTATTTCCCTTGGTTCTCACGATGTTCTCTGAACATTACAGGATAACCCTTTTTGTAGGAACCAGAACATACAAAAAAATAATAATACCCATAATCACTATGGCTGATTGGTCTGGTAGCCAAAGGTTGGCCAGAAATCGGCTGCAATCAAACTCTCAGTTGTGCAGTGGCATGGGAGCAGAATAAGCAGCACTCCAACTGCAGCCATGGTCCTACTGAAACTTGCCTAGGATGAAATGCAACGGAAATAGCATATCCATTAGCAAAAGGGGGCACATCATGCATACTGAATGAACCAGAGCTGGACATGGACGAAAACTTTCCTTGGACACACTTTTTTAGATTCTAAAAGACTGGGAAGAGTGGTTTTGGAAAGAGGAACATGATCTGTCTGTAGACATCACCTGGTGTACAATATGACAGTAGTAGAATTGGAGCTGGAATTCACAGTCAATGTCTATGATATAACATTCAAATGTGTCTATGACATGATATTCCGAAATGAGGTTCATATAATAGGAGTCTGCGTATGAATACTCGGCTTGGAATTTCCATAGGAATTTCCTTTCGTGCGCTTCAAGCGATGAAAAAAACCTAGTGCTCCTGGCGAAACACAGCAAGGTCATACTTGTGTGGATGTCAACGTCACAAAGGTTCTAAAACAGTATTTGGCATGACAACTGAGTTAACCAAAACATTCAACAGCTTTATCTCTGCTGCATTACAATTATTTTTTCACAGAGATGTTCTAGTCAGAGATATGACATAAATGAATGTCTGCCTATACTTGAGCACATACTTACTCTAAACTTATGAAATGTCCACTTTAAATGAAATCACATACCTTTTCTCCTGTATCTCAGTGATCACTATTTCTCTACACATTGCTTATAAAAAAATGGTTGATTGACATTCGGTCTGTTGAATGTGAGTGAACATGTTTTGAAAGAATTTAAACACTCCAGAATTCAGCATAATTATCCTTTTTCAACAGAAAATGGAGCGATTGATAAAAAGTTAGGTTAGACCATGGTGGAAATATATTATGGTGTGCTACTCAGGTATCTTGAATTCGTCTTTTCTGCGCATAACGTCATTGCGAGTCTATACTCGCACCAAAATGTGAGCTCAGACTACGAGCAATTGTTTAACTCGCAGTGTCGTCGCTAGAAGCGTTTCAACAAACATATATTTCATTACTTCAATTCAATATTCGTTCACGATTTCATGTATGGAGATCTCCAATTACTGACCTCAACATTTCTTTTGGAATGTGTCATAGAAGATATTCATTAGGCTCAATAAAACACTGTTTAGTAACGAGCAGTGATAGCGATTTTATGATTGCTATGAAATTTTGTGATGATACTTGGTTGGAACACAAACTTCTCTCTATCATCTCATCTATCAAATGTGATTAAACTATGACTTCTGACTGATCTCTCTGGTAAGAGAACTGACACTAGCGTGAAAGGCACAACACATGGTATCACTGAGTGGGTCAAGCAAGAACACCAGTCATTTGGAATGGAGTGGGAACTCGATTTTAACTTGACATTCTGAAACTAAACAGACCATTACCTCCTGCCTAGTTTGGTTACTTCAAGGAATAATGAGGAAGAGGAAAAGCTTCTTTTTGGAAACTATCCTGGGAATGGTAGACCAGAAGAAAATTCGGGTGCTTCCTTTACAGGTAATTCAAGCAAACGACAGTTCCTGGACTCTTCTTCTCGTGTTTCAGGTGCATCATACAGTGGCGGTTCGTGGGTCGCGTCCAAGAGCAGATGAACGCCTTCCTCGACGGCTTCAGCGATCTGATACCGCTCAACCTCGTCAAGATATTCGACGAGCACGAGCTGGAGCTGCTCATGTGCGGCATCCAGCACATCGACGTCAAAGATTGGAAGATCAACACCCTGTACAAGGGCGACTTCCACTCCAACCACATCGTGATCCAGTGGTTCTGGCGAGTGGTGTTGTCCTTTAGCAACGAGATGCGGGCGCGGCTGCTGCAATTCGTCACCGGCACGTCTCGGGTGCCTATGAACGGCTTCAAGGAGTTGTATGGCAGCAACGGACCGCAGCTGTTCACTATCGAGAAGTGGGGGAGTCCCGAGAATTTCCCCAGAGCGCATACTTGGTAAGTGATTTGAGTTGGGATAGGAAAGGGGGAGGAAAGAGCTTTCGTTTCGGGCTTGAAAGGACATGACTTGAGAAATTTCACATTAATTAAATTTTCATTGATTATTTACACAATTATCTGACATTTACTGGACCAAATAGTATGATGCAGAATTTCCAGGGACGTACCCGTCGAGCAGGTCGGCTTATTTTTGTATTTTTTTGCTAGCGTTGAGAGAGAAAAAGTATGTCTTCCTATTCTGAATTGATGAAAATTTCATGTTGGCAACACTAGAAATGGGAAAAAATAGAGAATAAGACCATTATAACCTTTTTTTATTGAGGTTAATATGAACTTCTCCTCCATTACTTCTCATTTTCAGTGTAGCCTACATACAACTTACATTATTTTATGTTGAAACACTGAAGACTAGGACAGATGGGAAAGACATCATTTGTCTCTCTTGAAGCTGTCTGAACATCCCTATTTTTTCGGCCATGATAGGGTCAGAACGGGATATGTGAGTTTACATTCTCTTTGTGAGGGAGGGGGGAGTTATGATTCTACTCCAGATTAAAAATAAAAGGTATAATTATGTGGACATTTCGAAATTAATAACTTTACAATTGATTGGTCATTTGATAATTGAAAAAGTAAGGTTATGTAGGTATTTATTACTCGTCAGTTTAAAAAAAAATCCTTGGCAATGTAACTGAAATGTCCATTAAAACTATCAAGGCACTAACTATTAATTTTAACGATATAATAAGGTGTGTTTGTACCTATTAGGTATTGGTTAATTTCATGTTGTATTCGGTGTATTTCAAGGTTAATGTTAGAAGGTTCAAGATGGTTCAAGGTTTTTTTTGAGAACCTTCCTAAAATAGATAGTGAAACGGTGAACAATTCCTCTTGATTGTAAATTTTGTAACAGAAATATAGTCGCTCAATTTGAAATTATGAATCATCTATCTTACAGGGATGAAGAATATAGGTAGTAAATCATGCTGATTTCTTACTTCACGTTTTTCAATCGTTTGTAATGATTTGAATTATTACGTCGACTTTCGATAATTATTTATAAAATTCAGAATACTCTCAGGAAAAACCAGTGCCTATAGCCAGTTTTTTTTAGCTACTCAGGTAGTAGTTAGTCGATAGTAAAGCCTTTTTTCCTCTACAGATTGTTTAGCAAATTTTTACATATTATAGTAGTAGCAAGAAAGGATCGCATTTGGCAACATTGCCAGTCTCTTGCGATGTTGCCACCCAAATGCCCTATATGTAGCGATTCGATAAACGACTTGTATATATTTTAGGTAATGAATAACGACCTGTTAGGTATTGACCTATTTTGTGTTTTAGCTTTAATCGTTTGGATCTGCCTCCATACGAGAGTTATACTCATCTGAAGGATAAGCTGATAAAGGCTATTGAGGGTTCGCAAGGTTTTGCGGGGGTTGACTAGTACACGTTCCATCTGAGATAAAGTTGAAAACATTCTGTCCATTTTGGTATTTTAAGCTTCATTATAGTCTCTGAATCATTATACATTTATAATAAATTGAATTATATATTTTATAGTTATATTTTTAAGTTGTTGTTTTTATTCTGTAAACTTTGTAAATAATGTCAAAAAAATATATTTACTTGTAGATAACAACTTTTTTTATAAAAAGACCTATTATTTTCCTTCTCTTTCAGACGTAGACATTACTTTATTGGTATTTAATCATTGAAAAAAAAAGACTTGAAAAATAATATGGTAATTAGGGTTACCATTTCTAAAATTTGAAAACCAGGACAAGGCTACTTGTGTGAGGCGAAATATCGAAACTTCTTTCTCTGTCACACTCATTGAGCTTATGGAAACTTCGAACGCGAATATCTCGGTAATCGTTTGAAATAACCCTATCAAACTCGGTGTTGTTGAATTCGTTATGATAATCCCTAACCGATTATGGAATTAAATACAGGACTTGAAAGTGAAAAGGAGGTACCATAGGGCTGTCAAATATAATTCGTTTTTTTTAATCATTATAGGAAGGTGCTTCGATGCCATTCAAAGCAGTTTTTTAATTTTCTGATTTTCTTGTCAAAGAAGCGAGATATTTTGCCTGTATACGATAACTAGGGACACCCGCGGCATGGGCCTGAACATTATTTCCAAATGTACAGTAGTTACCCAAACATCGTTTTCTGAAATCTTTGAACAAAAACTTATTCAAAAACTGGTCAGGAATTGGACTCCTCAGATGGTGCTGTCCTTAGACTCCAGTCGTAGCTTCAGCTTCTACAACAATGTCTCTCCTATAGCGGTGTGCTTAACCGAAATAGACGTGCTGTTGTGAGTTCCACTGATTTTACTATATTGGTATGTGAAATAGAACATTAGAAATTTTGAATTTCACACATAGTATATTATAAGTCATCACCCGAGTATGTGATAACAGAAAATATTAGAATTGTAAAAAATAAACTGTTCCTGCCGACAAAACTCAACATAAACATAATAAATAATACCTTGAGATTTATCCGATTGCCTGATAAGAACACATTAGCATTGCTCGAGCTAAAGTAAACCATATACGTTCGCATCCGATCGAGGAATTCACAGAATGGCAAGTGAATGGGAAAAAGTAATAAAAGTACTGAAGGAAGAAATAATAACTAATCGCAAAGATATTAAATCTGCCATTGAGGCATCTGAAGCTAAACTTTTATTGAAAATAGAAGAACTCAACCATCGAGTAAATAACATTGAAATTGAAAATACAATCCTCCAAAACAAAATTGAAGCCTTAGAAATAACTACTAAGAAGAATAATATTATCATATTTGGGTTAGAAGACTCTCAGGAAGTAACCGCGCCTGCTATTTGCAGAGAACTCAAAAAATTATTGGACGTGGATGTTCAAGTATCGGACTTGAATAATTTGTATAGACTGGGAAATAAGGATAAAAACCCAGTTAAAGTTGAGTTCACCTCATATTTGAAAAAACTTGAGATTGTCAAACAGCGGAAAAAGTTACAAGGATCGAATATTGGAATTTCAAACGATCTAACATATAAGCAAAGGTGCGAAAACAAAACTTTCAGACACCACTTGAATAAAGCGAGACAAAATTCTTCTGATATATCGTATATAAAAGGAAATAAGCTATATATCAACAACAAATCCTACACTGTCGAGGAACTTGAGGAAAACGAGAACACCGACTCTGCAAGAAGAAAACCAAACAGTGCTCCGCCGACCCCAAATTCTCGAAATACCCCTCCTCTTATTCAGTCAGAAGAAAGTATTATTCTAACAGAAGAAAAGATCAATCATGATATAACACCGAAATATACGTCTCAAGGAAAAGACGTTAAAATTACCCCATCGGAATCTGGAAGTGATAAGAAGATAACGAAGACATCCATCCCTCCACAAATGAAGGATAGAATAAAGAGTTTGAGATCAGGTTCAACAAGCACTCGCTAACTAGGAATAGAAAATAATTAGTACTTAGATTAAAAAAAATATATATATATTTTCCCAGTTTCCACCACTATTCATCTACAATAACCATTTATTTTTTGTCAACTACAAGTCTCTTTCATTAAATACTTATATTATATACTTATATTATATTACTTATATCATATATACTTATATTATATACATGATACAGTGTGATGGATCAATACTTACGTGATTTTGAAACTGAACATATAGAAACATTTGGACTAGACACAGTAAATGAATGCTCTGAAATATTACAGGTCAATCAAAATAACTACAACTTCAAAATACTTCATATGAATATCCGAAGCATCAACAAAAACCTGGACGAGTTCAAAACTCTATTACAGGATCTTGATTGTGATATAGATTGTTTAATACTCAGTGAAACTCATGAAATACATGATATAGGTCTATTCAACATTAATGGATATAATATGATTTATAACGAGAGTCATTATAACCAAAATGACGGGGTCGTCGTTTACGTCAAAATTTGCATTAAATTCGAATATTATATCGAAGAGATTTTGACTGGTCTAAACTCTCTCAATATAAAATTATATTTGGCAAACAATAAAAAAATTGATATCATTGCACTTTACAGATCACCAAATACGAATGAGAATGAATTTATTGAAGGATTAGAACGATTACTTAATGAACATCGAACTAAGACAAAAGATATCGGTATATGTATAGGTGATATTAACATCAATCTACTAGAACCCAATGAAAAATCAACTTCAGAATATCTGAACACTTTAAGCGAATATGGTTACACATCCACAATAAACAATATACCCACCAGAGTTTCTGGACGATCTAAATCATGCATAGACCACATCTTTCTCAATTCAAATGCTGACATAAGTAATAATATTATTCCTATTGTCCTAAAAACTCATATCACAGATCATTACACAACGATTCTCCAAATTGTTTTCGAATGCAATAAACCCATCAATGATAATCGTGATAAAATTAGTAAAATAATTAACAGATCAAAAATCAATGATACATTTCAGGAAATTACTTGGGATCCGGTAATTGCTATCGAAGACCCAGATAAAGCAATGACCAAATTCATTGATATTATCTTGGAAAATTTAGAAAAATGCACAGAACATCGCAAACTAAGAAGGAAGTACGACAAGATAGCGCCATGGATGACAAAAGGCTTATTAAAATCAATAACTGAAAAAAATAAATTGAGTGCCCAATTGCGAAAAACCCCAAATAATTTAGAATCATACAATGAATACAAAAGATATAGAAACAAAACAAATACGTTAATACAAAAATGCAAATTTAAATATTATAACAATCAAATACCCAGACAGCACTGGATATACATAGAATATTCTCTAAATATGCTAAAAAGGAGGAGTATATTCCGAATATTCATCGATTATTCCTAGAATATATACATGCCTCTGGAACATCTAAAAGGAATATTCCAAAGTGAATGTTCAGGGAATATTCAGGTATGAATCTTCCAGGAATATTCCCAACTGAATATTCTCTGTTGTATATTCATGAAATATACCCAACTGAATATTCTGTGGAGTATATTCATGAAATATACCCAACTGAATATTCTGTGCGGTATATTCATGAAATATTCTCAACTGAATATTCCGTGGTGTATATTGATGAAATATTCCATGAATATTCATATGTTTCTCAACACATAAATACCATTTATTATTTCAGAGATGTGAGTATCGAACATCAATTAGATGTAAGGGGATTTTGAAACAAAAAGTGTTTATGATCCGATTTCGAACAATGCTCTCACAAGAACTTGATATGTATAACATTATTCAATTCGATTACTGGCCTAGTGGTCAAGGCGTTGCTCTGGTAGTCTTGAGGTCACGAGTTCGATCCCTACTTGGGTCACTTTTTTTTATTTTAGAATATGTTTATTGGAATATTCCAGGAACATTCAACATAGAATATTCTTTTGGGTATATTCTATGATTATCTGAGGAATTCCCATTCGCATATTTAGAGAATATTCCACAGATATTCCGGAATATTCCAGATTATTTATAGAATATTCCAATATTCCAAAAGGAATATGATAGGGAGATTCATGGAATATCTGGTGCTGTCTGGGTAGAAGCTAACAAGAACAGTTCAAAAAAACTCTGGAACATAATAAATGAGGTGAGTGCAACAAACTCAACCAAAAAAAGTATAAAAAAAATTAAAAATGACTTAGGTGAAATACTAGTTGATGAAACAGAAATAGCCAATGAACTCAATAACTCCTTCTCAAAATTAGGAAAAACACTTGCGGAGTCGATCAAAAAAGACCCTAACTATATTCTGCCCAGACAATCTATATTGAACTCATTTGTGTTTGAACAAATTGATGTTAAGGAAATAAAAACCATAATTAACAATCTCAAAAATAAAAAGAGTGTTGGTATAGATAACTTGAAGGCTGAAACCATCAAAATGATAGAACCGTTTATCTTAGAACCACTAACATACCTACTGAACAAATGCGTAAATAAAGGAATTTACCCTTCAGCTTTCAAGCAGTCTATTATCACACCCTTGTATAAAAAGGGAGATGCCACTATACCTACCAACTATAGACCGATATCTTTAGTTACACATATCTCTAAGATATTCGAAAAAATAATAAAACTACGGCTAGATTCATATCTACAAAAATACAAAATTCTATCCGACAATCAGTTTGGATTTAGGGCAAATACATCTACGGAAGACGCAATCTTAGCCCTAACACAAAAAATCACAAATTCCTTAAACAAATCGAAGCCATGTATTTGCATCTTTATAGATCTTTCTAAGGCTTTTGACAGTGTTAGTCACAATCTTCTTCTGCAGACACTTGGTGATATAGGAATTAGAGGTGGCTGCTTGAATCTCTTCCAGAGTTACCTGCAAGGTAGAACTCAAGTTGTAAAAATCGGCAATGTAACTAGTGCTGTGCGAGAAATTGAATATGGTGTTCCACAGGGCTCGGTTCTTGGACCTACTCTATTTAATATATATGTGAATGGATTGTTTTCATTAGAGTGTAGCGGGAGTATTATTGGTTTTGCTGATGATACAGCCATCTTCTATGAGTCTGATAACTGGCTTTCACTGAAAGAGATCATCGAAAAAGACTTCAATTTAATAATAAATTGGCTGAAACACAAGTTATTAACCCTTAATATAGAAAAAACCAATTACCTACCATTCAGTTGCAACACACACAGTGCTCCTCCCTTTGATAGAATTGACGTCAATGTTGGTACAGAAGTTTTCAGCATAATGCCTGAAACAGAAATTAAATACTTGGGAGTAGTAATGGACCCACATTTGAGATGGGACCTACATGTACAGTATGTAATAAAAAAATTGAGAACAATTTTGTATAAATTTAAAGTAATGAAAAATATATTACCTTTGCAACACCTTAGAACCATCTATTATTCGCTTGTTGAAAGCCATCTTCGTTACTCAATAACAGTCTGGGGAGGGGCATCAAAAACACATATTCACCCCTTGGAAGTCATACAACGTAGGTTCCTGAAATTAATATTTGAAAAAAAAGCCCGATACCCCACAAAAGCACTATATTCCGAAACGAAAATTTTTGATATTTCGCAATTGTTCTTCATGCAGTCTTGTACCAAGTACCACATGTCTAAAGATAAAGCTCAACTACCATCTCACAACTATGACACCCGTCAGAGAGACTTATATATTGCTCCATTAATGTTGAAAACCACCACCCAGAAAACATATACGTACTTGGCACCAAAGTTTTATAATAGAATTCCTGAGTCAATCAAAGTTATGCAGCCATTAAACCGCTTCAAGAAATCACTAAGAAAATTTATTTCAAATGATTCAGTAATCTGATCATGCAAAGTTTCCTCCATTAATACCAAAGTGTCCATGCAAGTAAAACTATGTCTTGTTCTTTTTTTTGTTCTTTGTATGTCAACGTCATTAAAAAAAAATATATATTTATAATGATTACAATTTAAGATATTCAACAATAATTTAAGAATGAAAAAAAAAAAAAAAAAAAAAAAAAAAAATCGAATTATTAGTAGTTCCATTATTAAATTATTTATTATTATCATTACTGTACAAGTGTTTTTTTCAATTTTTCTCGAAACAAGTGTTATTCACTTATCGAGTATCTGTCATTTATTCATGTGTATTATTTGTTAGCTCATGTATATTTTTATATTTAAATTATGAGAATAAATGATATTATTATTATTATTATTATTATTATATAAATTATATGGTTTATGGTGTATATATAATTTCAAGGTTATCAGAATGTTATAAGGAAGACATCGTTTCTGCGTGAAAAAGGAGACTACTTTTAATCTAAGCGTAATATATCAATCAACGCTATAAGGACGGAAAGTGTAGGATGGAAACAGCCATATTGGTTTGACAAATTTCGTATTATTTTTTCCCTACGTCGGCATCAACGCCTATTGGTCGATTTCGTAACCTACAGAAGTTGGTTCCGCTTTGAGGACAGCTATGCTTCATATATTAGTAGTAGGCATCAGGAAGGAAAATATCGTTTCTGGAGGAAACTCGTTTTTTGCGAAAAATCACAGGTACTTGAACGCGAGCCACCGCCGCGGAGGACAGATACACAGTTTCAATTACTATGAACGCTGAAGAAGCAGCACAGCAGCATGCTACTAGTTTCATGACTGGCGAGAGACTCCACAGCTACAAACAAGCAAAGCGACCTGACAGGTGACATTATTGACATTAATTTTATTTCTGTTTTCGAGCGGGAAATCTAACGTTCTATGAGCGGGAAAAATAAAAAGTTGTAAGTAGACTAGGTTAGAAGGTTGGGTTGTTAACGCAGATTCGCACAGGCAAATAGTTGCGAATGTTGTGATACGAGTATTATAACGACAAATACTTTCTCTTCTCGTTCTACTAATCTGTGGTATTGACTATTGAGAGCAAAAATATTTGCTAATATAACCGTATATATATACCATACAATGGAGAATCTCAATCCCGACGATGTACTGAAATTCCTGGAACTAGTGAACAATCTGAAACATCTCAGTCGTAGAGGATGGGATTTATGCGAGGTAAAAGATCATGAACAAATAGCAGGGCATATGTATGCCATGGGAATGATGACATTCCTGTTGGGCAACCAATCCCAACTAGATAGATTCAAGTGCCTGCAGCTGGCTCTTGTCCATGACCTTGCCGAGTCCATAGTTGGAGACATAATCCCTGCTGATAACATTCCCGAAGACAAGAAACACCAGATGGAAGATGAAGCAATGAAGGAATTGACTAGTTATCTGGGTAGTGAAGTAGGATCCTTGATTTACAATTTGTACAAAGAGTATGAGGCCAAAGAAACTGCAGAAGCCAAGTTCATTAAAGATCTGGATCGATTTGACTTGGTATTCACTGCTGCTCAATATGAAAAGAGAGATAAGGTGAAGCTACAAGTGTTTTTTGATAATACTAGGGGTCAATTTAAGAACCCCTTCATTCAAAGACTGGTTAGCAGAATTGAACAGAGGAGGTCTACTGAGAATGCAATTGGAAATGGTGAAGACAATGCTGATACTGCCTAGTTACCTTTTTTTATTTCAATTATAGTTCATCAACACATGATGGACTGCTTAGTAAGATTAACTTGTACCTGGTAATCTCTGGTTTGACTAGCCATACTTCATACACTATAATTCAAATATGGTAGGTACAAATAATCATATCTTTTTAAGAAAAGTACCTATCTAATGTTTTTAAAATATGAACATTTTAGTTTTGTTTAAAACTGTATGAGTCCTGTTTAATTACCAAATGAAATATGATTTCAATGGTGCACAAAAATAAGCCTGGCAGTCAATGTGGAGTGTTGAACAGTTGTTTCTCTATTATTTTTTATTACAAGACAACATCTTGTTATGTTATATCAAGTTATAAGTATGTATTTTATTTTTTTGTTTTAATCTTATTCTTTTTATTTGTTTGGTATAGCCACTATTTCACCTATTACATAATAGAGCATTGAGTTGAACATTATTGTGTTGATTTCAAAACAATATTCAGTTTTACTCAGTTCAGTCAGTTGAGAAAAAAAATATATCTGAGAACCAGAATGGTCTGTTTTTTCTCTCTAAATAAATATCTTGTTGGACTTGTTATCAACTCCACATGTCTCCTTAAGAAACATACTGTTGATTCAAAGGCAACAGTAAACTAGAAAATTCATAGTTAATCATGAAAAAATCCTCCACTGGAGATTGATTGGTTCCTAGATCATCAGACCTACTCCAAAAAAAACTAATTTTGACCTAAAAAGAGTGTATTTTGCACCATGGATGATAGATGTGTAAATAATATCAGTATATAGATGAGTATAAGTTCCTTAAGAGTCATAAAATAAGCCCCTACAATTTCAACAGCTCTTCTCCTTCTGGACACAGGGCATATCATCTTCAGCAGTAACATATGGATCATTGTCTGTCCTTAGTCCAAACGAGTACCCGGGCTTCTGGGGCAGTTTTGGCATGTAAATGGGGCCCGGGCTCTTAGCTTTCGGGTCCGGGGGGAATACTCGAGGGGACATTGTATAATTAGGTGGTTTGTTCTTGAAGACCTTTGTATCTGTGCCATTGTATTTCGCCGGACCAGGTGATCGGTCCAGGACTTTCAAGTCATGTTTGAAAGACCTAAAAATTGGCGGACACATTTCAAAATTTGTCCACAAAAATTTGTAAAATCGGGAAGGAATAGGAACTCATTCACAAATTTTTAATATGGTTTGTGATATTTCCAATTCTTTGACATAGCATTGAACATAGGCAAATTTTGTCTAATTCATTAAATTTTTTTGATACTATTATGCCAGATGCAAATAATAATAATAATACACTCTTACTATGTAGGCAGCTTGTCAGATAATTTTATTGTTTTGAGATTACTGCAAACTATCTGATGTCTACAGCATCATTTAGATAGGTACATTATGAATAGAAAAGCTCCAACTATACAGGATGATTCACGGTGGATGGCACATTAGACGTTTCTAGAGAACGCAACATAGGGGTTCTATCCGCCTACACTGCGACGTTGCCGCTTATATTGAAAAGTAGCAACATCTTTGATTTTTTGAATGGGACATAGATACAGGGTGGTTGAAAATCTTAATTATGAACCACCCTGTACCCATTTCAATCAAATATCAATGGATAGTAAATAAACAGTTGAGATAGAGACATGGAAACCGTTTTGACCAATTATGAATAGTTTGGACACAAAAAAATCTTAAAGCTGAAAACTCTGAAATGGTCACTGCTAGACCCCAAGTGTTATAGGTCAATGAAATCAGCTCTTCAGGGAGAATCTGAAAATGGAATAATATACAGGGTGTTCCATTCAAAAAATCAAAGTTGTTTGTTACTTTTCAATATAAGCGGCAACGTCGCAGCGCTGAGAATATTCTAGGTCCATAGAGCACAACTAATTATCCAAGGCATCAAATTTTCAGAATAATCTCAAGTGTATATACACTGTGTCCGTAAAGTATGGAACAAATTCGATATTTCCTAAACTGAAAGCCTTTTCAAAAATATCTGAAACACGTCAACTACATTTTCGAGGGGGACATCGTTCTAAAATATTTTCAGCCCTGCGGCGTTGCCGCTTCTAACGAAAAGAAGCAACAACTTTGTTATTTCAAATGGAACACCTTGTATTTTATTGCATTTTTAGATTCTTCCCGAAGAGCTGATTTCATCAATGCATCACACTTGGGGTCTAGCTGTAATGGTTTCAGGGATATAAAGTCTTCAAAATCGAGATTTTTCAACTTTAGGATTTTTTTGTGTCGAAACTATTCATTATCGGTCAAAACGGCTCACATGTCCTAATCTCAACTTTTGATTCACTATTTACTGATATTTGATCGGAACAGATACAGGGTGGTTCAAGATTCAGAATTCTGATCACCCTGTATCTGTTCCAATTAAATGTCAGTAGATAGTAAATCAAAAGTTGAGATAGGGACATGAAAGTCGTTTTGACCAATAATGAATAGTTTCGACACAAAAAAATGCTAAAGTTGAAAAATCTCGATTTTGAAGACTTTATATCCCTGAAACCATTACAGCTAGACCTCAACTGTGATGCATTGATGAAATCAGCTCTTCGGGGAGAATCTAAAAATGCAATAAAATACAAGGTGTTCCATTTGAAATAACAAAGTTGTTGCTTCTTTTCGTTAGAAGCGGCAACGCCGCAGGGCTGAAAATATTTTAGAACGATGTCCCCCTCGAAAATGTAGTTGACGTGTTTCAGATATTTTTGAAAAGGCTTTTAGTTTAGGAAATATCGAATTTGCTCCATACTTTACGGACACAGTGTATACACTCCCCTGAGAAATTCCCATTTCAATAAAAGATTATTTTGAGAATCCTCTTTTGAGTCTTTTGTCTCCTTGATTCAAAATGATTTTTTGTTTCCAATTTGTTGAGTAACATTTGAACCATTCAGTTTTCAAATAAGTGTTATTTGTGAATTAGACAGTCAAATGCTTTTGATAAGTCTAAAGAATGTCCTATGAAGAGTTGATTTTCTTCTGAAGACTGGAATATCAAGCATGACATAAAAAATTGCTGTTTTCTAGTAGATCTGCATTTATTATGCAATTTTTCAAGAATGATCTAACTCTGTCCTTATACATTGTAACCTCAAACATTTTTGAAAATGGGAATATTAGACTAATATTTCGAAAAATTTCCAGTTCTGAGGGGGTTTCCTTTTTTTGATGGAAATAAGATTCAATAATTCAAGGAGTTCTATACCTAAATTCGAAAAGAAAGATTATTGGTAGTCTGAAGTCTGATGATGCAACAAAACCAAACCATTTTAGTTGTTGCTGTTGAGTTTTCCTGTTCCTAAAAGTTATTGGATTGACTATACTTACATGCTGAATGCCGCATTGGCGTTCTTGTCGGGTACTTTGGGGCCCAACGTGGAAGGCATTTCGTACTTGTCTGGACCGGGGGTCTGGAATCTTTTGAGAGGGGGGTATCTGTAGGACATAGAATACATTGGTGGCCTAGGCTCCTTCATCCTAGGAACTGTTTCCGGTTTGTATGTACCTGGCCCAGGAGCTTGGAATGCAGCTTGAAAATACGAATGATGATCAAATTTTGTTTGATAGATATGATACAGGGTGTTGCGAAGTTCGACCGACTACGCTTGACAGGTGATAACCCTCGTGATTTCATAATCACTGAGATAGAGATATACGGTTTTCAAGTGTTCAGTTCTCGAGATACAGGGCGTTAAAGTTCAGAAATAAAAATAGTTGTGATACAAAAAATATCTACGATCATTGGAGCTTTGCGAAGATGTCCTAAACTTGACAAAAAAGTCATAAACATAGTACTTCATTCTCATATACTCAGTCGTATTACCTATATGATAAACGTTTGGGGATCTTGTTCAAAAAATTATTTCAGTAAAATATCTGCACTTTATAAGAAAGCACTGAAAGTATTGTATCGCCTCTCATTTGATATCCCAACAAATGATCTGTATGCCTTAACAGAAAAATTTTCATTGGATGAATTATATAAAATAGATTCTCTTAAAGTTTCATATAATATAATAAACAATAATCTGAAATCCAATTTTATTTTGATAAGGAACTCAGAAATTCACGGTCATCACACGAGACAATCAAACTTATTCATCTTCATTCTGCTACTTCTATAATTGGTCCAAAAAAAATTACTCACGCTGCTCTAGCAGAATTTAATAAATTACCACATAATATAAAAAATTGCAGACATATTTCAAAATTTAAAATTGAATTAAAAAAACACATGATTTCATTACGAAATAGATAAAATTTATACTTTGCCATCTACTGATTAGTCCCTGTGGCTATTTTTATGACTTGATCGATTAAGCATTTTTAGATTTTTTTCATTTTGTTGTTGTTGTCACCTTATATTATTTTATTATTGTTGTTTGTAATCAACTTCCTCATACCAGAATTTTATTTCTGACTGGAATAAGCTAGTTTTTGAATAAACAATAAATCTTTGAATGGGTCATTTTTTGACCAGGGACCATTCCGGACATTTTATCCAGTGGTGCCCTAGAGAGGGGTGTGGCAACTTATTTTCCTCCCATATTTTCTACGCCACTGATTAAATTTCAATTATTTCCAATTACTCGAATTCATTGTTCAATTTTGTTCAAAAAATGCATCACCTTCAACTGAGCTGAAATGAACAGTTTTCGAGATATTCGACCCAAAATAGAGAAGATTGCATAGTAATATTTCATCATTTTCAGTAGTAGAAAATTGCAAAAAATATTTTTCTGGTGTTGAGTAGATTAGATACTCTTTATATCTCATTCTGTTGCTGAACAGAAATAGTTATTCCACGCATAAAGAGAAAAACAAATTTTTTGTAATCTTATTCTACTACTGAAGAAGATGAAAAATTACTATGCAAACTTCTATTTTGAGTCAAATATCTCGATAACTGTTCATTTTAGCTCAGTTGAAAATGATGCAGTTTTTCAACATAATTGAACAATCAATTCGAAAGTGGAAATAATTGAAATTTCATCAGTGGCGTAGAAAATATGGGAGGAAAAGTTATCACAACCCTCTGTAGCGCACCTCTGGGAAAAATTCTCGGAATATCTGTCTGGTCAAAAAATTAACAATTGAAAGATGGAACCATATACCGAATTTGAATGCATTATATTCAATGTTTCTTGAGATATTGCGAAAAACCTAAATTAAATTTCTCAACTTCAACGTCCTGTATCTCGAGAACCGAACACTTTAAGAACGTATGTCCCTATCTCAGTGATTATGAAATCACAAGGGCTATCACCTGTCAAGCTTTGTCGATCGAATTTCGCAACACCCTGTAGATGGATTATACTTCTCATTTGTATGATCATTAAGTTCAGATTGTTATGAATCAATTGTTAATAGAATATAAACATTGATTCGGTAAATATATTGTTCAATTTTTGATTTCTTGGTTTTATAATTTGAAAATAATCTCTGGAGAAAAAAATTGCAGTTTCAATAGATTTCTAGAAAGAAAATTCGATAAGATTGAAGCACAATATTTGAAATTATTATAGGTATTATTTTTTCATAGCTGTGTTGCTTTAAATAATTGTCACCAGTGAACTATTTTATACTTAGTGGTTTTGGTCTGGATTTCATGGAATATGCAGGGGGGCTTGCTTTCCCATAACTGGTCATTTTCTGAACGTCGTATCTGGGACCTGGTCCGAATGGTTTTTTGCCGAATGTAAGCTTGAGCCCCATTGAATACTGGGGGTTTCGGTATCTTGAAACATCGTGTTGTTGAAACCCAACAACGGGAGGTAACATATATTTACCCGGACCCGGTCCTACAAAATGCCAATCATGAAAGTATAATATATTGATTGATTGTCTTTATTACCCCAAGAAACATAGTTGCTTATAATAGGGATACATAAACAATATACATATAAATGTTATACATACAATAATTTTGAAATAATGATAAGATATAACAAGTTACCAAAAAAAAGTGCAAATAATCATGCAATATCAACCTTGTCCTTCATATGTAGGTAGGTATCCAAAAAAGAAATGGAATTATCAAAGTCTCAGAAGCAGATATTTTTTCAAGTTAATTTTGAATCTATAGTTGCTTCCTGTATATTCCTCAATTAACTTGGTAATGAGTTGTATAGAACGATTCCTGTATGAAAAATCGATTGTTTGCCGATATTTGACTTTGCTGTATATACAGGGTGTTTCATTACTAATTGGAAATATTTCAACCATAGAATCCCGAATTCAGAATATGAATAAGATTTCACCCAAATCACCTAGATGAAATATATGTCTCCTGTCTGAGTTACAGGGTGTTTTATTCAAAAATTTTGAAATGTTTTTTGCCCAGTTCTTCAAAACTATTCGACGTATCACACATATTTTGAGGGGAGTGAAGGTATTATACTTCCAACTGAATTATGTGAAATTTACTTTTCTAGCTATTACCAGTGGCGTACGACAGGGGCAATAAGTGACTGGTTGATCGTTCCCAAATTCTACGCCACTGGCGGAATTGCAATTCTATCACAAATTTTCGATTCTCCAACAATTTTGACGTAGATATTGTACTCTTTTCCTATGGCGATAAAGTCATTATTTTTCGAGATATTTCAAGTTAAACATAAATCTGCACCATCATTTTGATTTTAATGTGCATTAATTTTGTCAATATTTTGGATCAATGGCTTGTGTTCATCAATAAAATCAATATATATGAATAGTTGCATTTAAAGCATTCAATAATATGAAAGGGAATATATTTACCATATTAGGTACCTACCAAGGTAATATCCATAGATACTCACCCTCAAAGTACATATATAGTTATTTAAATATTCTAAAAATAAGATATTTGTCCTACTTTTTGAAATAGCAGGTAGATTTACGAATCTCCTGAATAAAGGATGTTTGAATATTTATTTTGAACTATATGTCACACTTCTCATTACATACCTATCTATTCAATAGCTAATTTAATTATCTCATTTTTCCCTTCTACACTTGGAAAGTTCCCAAATCATAATTAAAACTATTTAAGAATCTTTTACTGCTATTCCTGAAATGGGGCATGGGCTATACATGTAGCACTATAGCCCTTCTATTTCACACAAATGGATGAAAGAAAATACAAGCACATATAAGACTTACCTAAGTTTTTTCTTGGCATTTTGATTGTTTTATAGTAAACTGGTTAAACAAAAATAATGTTTGAATTTATAATGTGGATGAAATGAAATTTTTAGGTCAAACAGGTCAAACAAACATTCCGAAATTTGATGACAGTTTTATTTGACATGAATTCATGAAAGGTACAAACTAGATTTTTTTATAAATAAGGATAGAGTGCACATCTTGGGTAACATTTTATTAAAAGCAATATCTGGGATGCAATAACAATAAAAGCTATTATAAAAGTGTAAAAATGTCAGTTCAGATGCTCATTAATTAATATAAAGCAAGTTATCAGGAAGCCACAACACCTTCAAATAAAAAAAAATCTTCAAGAGATATAGGTTGTTGAATTCATTATTTACAAAAATAGAATATTAATTTTTTTATCTGCACCCTGCACCTATGTATATATGTCATTTGGAATTTGGTGACTACTCAGATTCAATAACAAAAAGTACACCTCACTTTTATGAATACCTATATCATTATTTCTGTATAAATTAGTTGCAAATTCCTTCAATGCTCAATATATGAAATCATTAAAAATCATATTCTAATATTTATTTCCACACCAAATATCTCGGAAATAAAGGATGAAAAGAACATTTGAGTACATGATTTAAAGGGAGAATAGGCTGCCATAGGTTCCTCATGTAAAAAAATTATTCCCTGCTCAGTCCTGTAGTTAAAGCCCCCCCCTTGCCAGTCCATTCTTCTCTGAGATTGACCTTACAGTCAAGATCACGTAGGGCAGCCTTGATATCATATTCAATGTCTTTGAATTTCTTCAGGTCCTTGTGAAGAAGTTCTTCAATTCCAAGCTCAATGAATGTCCCTGATTGATATTTGCTTCTGCAGACCATATTCCTAATAGCCCAACTAGCAGTTTTCTAAAATTCATTTCATTTTCAGACTGTATATATTTTTTGTGATTCAAATAGGTAGGTGCCAGATTCTTATTCATAATTTGTTTAGATTTATTTCATGATGTAAGTACTTCTAAATTTTTTTGACCAACCTGTATCTGCTTTTCATCTGGATACATCTTCATAACTTCAACTATAACTGCTGGTGACCCAGAATCAAAAAAGGCTCTACTATTTTCTGGACTTCTCAGTGTCAAAGATGAAATGCAAGCTAAACCTGCCACAGCTGTCCCTACATTTCCCTAAAATGATCACATAACTAGTTTGACAAAGTTTACATGCATATTATTACTACAATGGAATTTTACTTTATTTTCATTGAGAGCTGTTACTATGATTGGAGCCAAATTTTTTTGGATGACATGACCCCTAACATCATCATTGCCACCTAGAGATTTCAGTAGTTTAAAACATTGTCTGTTGATTTTCTAAAAAAAATTAAGGTATGTTCTGTATTGAAATATCCATTTGAAACCCATTTTACTTACTTCATTATTAGGGAAAGCTTTCATCACATCTCTTATCAAGTCCAGTCCACCAGCATCTTCAACTTTCTTGCAAAACTCAGTTCTGACCATGAGGGAAGTAACAGTCAACATCAGGTCAAATATCAAAAGTTCATCTGATCTAAATCCTGAAAAATGTTTGTCAAACCCAATACATCACCAGATACAAACATAACAATACTTGTAAGCAGGCCAGTAAGGGGACACAAAATCTCACTAGCAATTATTCTAGCATGATCATGAGCTTTCCCAAATTCTACCCTGACATCATCATCAAGCACCAAGCCTCTGAAGACACTCAGAACATCTCTTAGTATGTCTGATGTCCCATCATTCAAAAGTTCTTTGAGATTTTCTAAGATGTGGGAGTCAAAGATTTTTTGCCTGAAAATAAATTGGGTAAATCTGGATGGATCACATGAGTGACATGACTATACCTATTCATTTCATGCATTATACAACATTCTTTTGCCCATCTCAGTGATAATTTCTTCAAATCATAATCTGCTTCTTTTTTCAAATTAGAAAGAATAATTTCTATGCCCTTTTCATCTAACAGATCAGGCTGTTTTGTCATGAGAGATATCATGGCTTTGAGACAATGTCTTTCAATGTTCACATCATTTTTGTTGTTTATTAAGGTGTCCAATATTGCATTGTATGCACCAGCTTTTCCTAAAATTTAAATCATTAGGCAAAAAATAAATTCATTGTTAAGTATTGTAGAGTTAATGATATTACAAGTACCTGCAATCACTCTCTCTTGAATCCCCTTATCACATTCAGTTTTCAATATTTCTAGTTGGTTTGTAATTTCATTAGCAGATGCTTTCTTCTTGTTTAAATTCAATAATTTTACAACTACTTCCTCAATATTTGCTGAGGATGCAGAAGAAATCATGAGTTCTTTTATTATTGAGCTCAAATCAACACCCTACAAATTTGTCACTGTCAGTATATTCCTGGTCCACTATCTACTGGGTGTTATTATTACCTGTGACTCGAATTGTGTGACGGCTTCTTCAAGGGCTTCCTCAGGAGATAATCCCAGATCTGTGATATTTTCTTGGACGGCATTGTTGAAGGTTTCTTGACTAATAGACAATACCATAATTGGAGTCTGTGGTAATCAAACCTGGCAAAACACAATACAACTATTCATTCAGTTTCAGCAGTTGATTCGAAAGATACAAGTAATACAACGTTGTCCCGAATTATACATCCATGAAAAATCTGTCTTCTGAGTGGGGAGTGAAGAATAAAAATAAAATGAATATGATTTCAATTTCAATGATTCTTGTTTATAATCTCCAAGTCTGATGAATGCTAATGACATGGAACGACACAAGACAGAAGATTTGCCAGTTTCGCCAACAGGTTAGGTCGTATGTGACAGGTGACAATCCTGCTAAGATGGTGAATGTTCTCCAAGGTCTATTCCGGAGGTCTATTCACTCAATCCCAGTGTTGTTTACATACAGTTCATTGATCCCAGTGCCATTAGCTTGTGTACTGTGTATTGATAAGAGTGATAATACTTTATGTCATTGACAAGTTTGACAGCTACAGCAAGATGTATGCAAGTTCGTTTTATGAAACCTAGATGTCGCCCACTTCGTCTCGCGAATGGACCAGTCGGTAAGGAAGAGTGCTGTATGAATTGAGAAAAACTGTGTGATGTGATGAATGGATGTATGTGGTACAATATTGAACAGCTGATATTGTTTATCAAAAACATTGAAAATTAGAATAAAATTGAAGATAAATAGATCCAATAACAGACATAAGCCATAAGAAAGTTACTTTTTTTATTTAATGCAGTGATAAACCTGCTTGTAATTAGAGTATTGAAAAATAGAAAGTTGTTCAAGTCTACTGTCCTTAAATATTTATAAAAAATGGCACAGTGGATTGGATATATGGTTTCAATTAGATGTATAGACGATGTGGGTACTTTCCAAGGAGAAATAATATCAGCCACAAATACTCTGATAACTTTGACAAAGGCTTTCAATAATGGTTTTCCCTGTCCAGAAAACGAGGTGAAAATAAGGTGAGCTGATGAAAAATGTTACCTAGAAAATTGCTAATTTTGTCTCTCCACAGAGCTGATCATATTGTTGACCTGAAGTTGATTGACAAACAAACTGATAGTACTGTGGAACGCAGTACTGTTACAATAGCAAAGCCAGTTGCTAAGAGAGCTGGGAGAACTCACAGCACCTCTGAGAGTCACAATATCAGTTTAAACAACAGATTTTCTATGCCCAATTTGGGTCAACCTAAATCCAAACCTATTGATATTGAAGTGAAACACACTGCTGATACTGCATCAAATTCCTTCAAAAACAATACACCCAATAAGAAAGAAAAAAGTAAAGGGAAATGGGTGAAAGGTTGGAAAGATGAGGAATGCTTTGGATCACCTATGGATCAGAATAATATAAGCAAGGACTTTGATTTTGAGAAGAATTTAGCTTTGTTCAATAAACAGGCTATCTGGGATGAACTCAATGCTCAAAAACCTGATGTAGTGAGGCATACTGATAACAAAAGGACAACAAAGTACAGGTAACAGTAATCATATGATCAATTCATAGTTTTTTTTTAAATCAATAGAAATTTGAAATGAACATTCAGGTTTTTATGATTTGTTTAAGGCATGATGAGAATGTGATAGCCACCCTTCCAACCTCCTATCGTCAAATAACTGTCCCCAAACAAGATTTCTGTGAATATGTCACAGATGATGGACTCATAATTCCCAGTGTGTCACGGGTCCTCAGAAAAAAACTGTGGGAGGTGGCTGAAAGAGTGGGACTAACATGGGAGAAGAGGATTGAATTGATAGGAAGGGCTGCCACAGAGATTTCCATCCAATTGCTGGGTGGTGGGCACAGATTGAATCCACACAATACACATCAATGGCCCACTGTTGTGGTGTTGTGTGGGCCTCACAAGTAGGTGAACAAATATTTATATAATCACTACTCCATTGGGAAACTGATAACCAGCTATGGTGTCCAATTTTCTACTGGCCATAAAATGACAGAAAACATAACTTCTGAAATTGAGTATATGAATCCCCTGAAATAAAATCGGGTACGCCCCTGAAGTAGAACTTTTGGTTTTTTTTCAAGTACTATAGGTGAAATAAACCTCTGGTGCACACACTCTTTGTTTGTTTTGTCAGAATGGTTCTTGATATAAACAATTGAATTCCAGAGGATGACGTGGGGTTCACATATTGAATGTTAGATGGCGTGATTCCTAGAACGTGATCAACATCAGTTCTATCAACCTTGATGCCGCTAAATCGCAAAATGTATTGGCAAGGTGATGATTCCAATACGTCATCTGGTGGGCACATTTGAACCAGTTTATCAGGGCATTCAAGGTCATTTTTGTTATTGTTTGTTATTCTGTTCATTTATTTGATATTTCATGTAATTCATTCTACAAATTACTTTGATTTTGTTTTCATGATTTTCTTGAGTACAGGACAAGAACTTCATATTAATTACCAACACAATTCTACATTATTTTATAAATCATGAATCAACATATCACTCAAAAACCAAGAAATCAACTGTGTTATGTTGATGGTTGCACTAGTAAACTCAAGAAGTCTTTTCTGAAGATGAAAAATCAGTTCAGTTGGATGGAAAAATGGATAATCGTGGAGCATCGAATGTGAATTTGAAAACTGGATGTATAAATATGTACCTAGTACAAAAAGTTGAAAAAACTTCCTATATCATTTACCTTTTTCCACTTTCATTGCTCCAATTAATGAAAACAAGGTAAAGTTGTGATTCATAGATATATATTATTACTGAATATTAACTAACATGATTGAAATGATCAACAGTTCATATTTTGCACGGTAAGTTTCTGATGAAGTCTCCAGAAACTAGGACTAGGAAAAATAAGTATGTTCCTTTCTCTTTCAAATACCTATTGTGATATTGGACTTTTGAATTGCAATTCACAAGAGTGGGCAAGAAAGATTACATTGGAAAAATGTGCAGGTCAGTATTTTATGGTTCTATATGAAATGCTTGCCTTCTCTGAATCATATTAGGATAATATTCATGATATCCTGCATAGGATTTTATAGATTCCCATCATTGTAGTATTATTTCTATAGTAATGATAGCCAATTTAGATTGCATGTACAGTCGTCTTCAGAGATCATGTCGCACATGGACGGTGTCAGCTCTCTTAATCACCGCTACAATAAGAGCGCTTATACCGTCCAACCGCGATATGTTAACTGAAGACGAGTGTACTTCCAATACTATCAAGTTAAAATACATACATGAGCAGAATAGAAGCATTTTACCTTGACTCAAACAATTCTGTACAATCAACAAATCAAATATCTAGGTATTTATAAATGTTTATTTAGGACCATACTAACACCTTTTTCAGCAAGGAAGAAGAGTTGTCATTCAGATTCCAGGGTATCTTGCAAATGAGTGCAAAAAGCTACAAAATGTTTAATCAAAACCCAGATTCATAATAAGTACATAATCAGTTTTTTCTTGTTTCTGTTCATTCCTTGAATTCTATTCAAGTTTAAGGAGATATCAATGACATATCCTTTGTATTTCAAATTGTATCTTGGAAATATGGATTCATAATTTTGCTGCTTCTATGTTTTCATCAAACTGTATTTTATTAGTAAGTACCTGATATAGTTCTAATTTTTTGTGTTTTTGTATTGATTTGCCTGTTGGATTTTAAAGTTCATATGTTCACCTCAATCAACAAGAGGTATATCTACCTATTAGCTACCATGTAAATAACTAATTTATTCCTACATAAATAAAAGTCCTGGATTCCAAATTCATTGATAATTCTACATGTTCATGAAGGTATCTTCACTTGTAATGTAAGGGGAGGAGAGAAAACACTATACATGAGAACTGAGGGGAGAAGAAAACTGGTAGATCCTTCTCTTAGTACTTCTTTGGAGACACAAGTAGGTCTTTGAACAAGTATCAAACACTCTGCTTCTCGGACCTGCAACTGAACATCACATCAGAAAGTAGATGAGAATTAAAACTGATGTTGAATCTGAAACATACCTGAATAATATTTCCAACAACCGTAACTGGATTGCTACATATTCGCTCTCATTCCGAAAGTGGTTTTCCCAGTAAACATCTTCCACATTTTCAATTTTGTGGGTTATAATAAGGCCCATGAATGCCAAACAGTGTGCTGCTCGGATCTAAAACTAAGCATCAATTTGAAATTTGAATCGTGAGACGTACATAGAATATAAATCTATAAAGTCTGAATATTGTTTTCAACATTCGTAACTAAAACGCGATATATTTTTATGATTATTCATCAATTCATCAACTCTCTCAATGCAGACGAGGTAGACAGATAAACAACGATTTTCTCTGCAATGAAAAACACTGTATATACCTAACCCACCATGCGCCGACCTCCTTTGCAGAGAGGGTTTATAAACGCCGAGTTGATACTCTCCCCTCGTAAGGGTACCTGTCGTGTTTCCATAGAGACATAAAGGTGAATATCTGTCTATCTGTTTGCTTGAGAATCTGGAAAGGAATTCAATATATCGCCTTCCGTACGAATATAAGGATCAGAATTCTGAAAAGTATACTCTGGTCAGTTCTTTTTGCGGATTTTCTATTCGGTCCGTCTTGACTGGATGGTTTTCTCCAATTTATTGACAAGTATCAATCACTTTGCTTCTCGGACCTGCAACTGAACATCACATATCAGAAAGTCCATGAAAAACAAAACTGATGTTGAATCTGAAACATACCTGAATAATATTTCCAAGAACCGTAACTGGATTGCTACATATTCGCTTTCATTCCGAAAAGTGGTTTTCCCAGTAAACATCTTCCACATTTTCAATTTTGTGGGTTATAATAAGGAACAGGAATGCCAAACAATGTGCTGCTAGGATCTAAAACTAAGCATCAATTTGAAATTTGAATCGTGAGACGTACATAGAATATAAATCTAAAAAGTCTGAATATTGTTTTCAGCATTCGTAACTGAAATGCGATATATTTTTGTAATTATGCATCAACTATCTCAATGAAGACGAGGCAGGCAGATAAACAACAATTTTCTCTGCAATGAAAAACACTGTATATACCTAACCCACCATGCGTCTACCTCCTTTGCAGAGAGGGTTTATAAACGCCGAGTTGATACTCTCCCCTCGTAAGGGTACCTGTCGTGTTTTCATAGAGACATAAAGGTGAATATCTGTCTATCTGTTTACTTGAGAATGAATCTGAACAGGAAATCAATATATCGCCTTCCGTACGAATATAAGGATCTGAATTTTGAAAAATTCACTCTGGTCAGTTCTCTTTGCGGATCTTTTGTTCGGTTCGTCTTGACTGGATGGTTTTCTCCGACTTAGTGGCAAGTATCAAACACTTCGCTTTCTATCTGTTTGCTTGTTAATCTGGAAGAGAAATCCGATTTAGACTAAATTCTTGCTGCATTACCGAAGTTTCCGCAATATTTTCATAATATAAAAATTATACTATTTCGTATTTTTCCACTGCTGAATAACTCATTTTAATTCAAAGACCGAGAGAGATGTCAAAAAATGCCTGTTTTGTTTCCATGGCATTTCTGTTGTGTCTACAGCTATCTAAATGTTATTGGCAACTTTGATTCAATCCGAAATGAGTGAAAAATGGTATTAGGAAAAATTTGCAAACTATACAGGATGTCCGGGAAGGTAATGTTGTAAATGATAGGACTGATAGAGTGAGCCAAAATAATGTTGGTACTTCATATAAAAAAAATTATCGCGCTTCGTTTCGTAGGATTAAAAAAAGATTTTCATGTATAACTTTCCCACTATCATTATTTTTTGAAATACTGAAAATGTAACGAGCACTTGAAAATATCTAATTAACAATTATTCTATGGAATGAAAACTATCGATAGTTCACCTAATTTGACTCTAATGAAGTTGAACTTTGAGGACTGATGGTTTTTTTGTGATAAAATTGGACTTTGAATTAGGAGTTCACCAAAAATTCTATTTCGACAAATAATGAAAAAAAAAAAGTCAAATTGGATGCACCCTGTTGAAAAGTAGTAATATAAACTGAATAAACCTATCGAGTATGAATCGATTATACGCCATGGTTCAAAAGTTATGAGCTTACCAAAGAAAGATTTTGCCAAAATCAAGATTACGTTCTGTACATTCATATCTGAAACACCCTGTATAGCCAAAAAATATGTTTTAATGAAATAATCTCGAATCGTCTCATTTTCTTCTGGTTTGCTCTTTTCGTATTATTTTCTTCTGAAAAAATACCGTTCTGAACGGAAAGTACGAAAATCAGAAGAAAGTATATCTTCATCGTAAAATATTCAACAAACGGTACCTTTGTGATTGTGAAAACATATAAGGTAATGAAGTTGAAAGTAAAGATGGAAATATGAGGAAAACTTGAGAGAATTTCTCTTTACTCACCAGCGTGAAAAATGCTTTGATCAAACAACACGAAACACCAGAACAGCACACGATCGCGATAATGTAATCACTGAATTGAATGAGGAACACAAAAACACAATACTTGCACTTATTTTCAAATGAAAACTCCGTTTGGAACGACACATAATTCCTTTCGCGTATTTTTCAATTGCTAACACAAAATTCGACTGTACGTGATGACATCTAATATAAGACTGTCTTGCTTCACCACCTGGTCTCGAATGAATGACTAATGGGTTGAATCATATGCTGATAACCGATTAATCTCCGAACAAATGAGTTATCTATGACTAATGACGATAATGAAATTATACAGGGGGAACAGATATATAGTATACAAGATATAAGATGAAGAATTGAACACGGATATACTGGCACTATTATTTTCGGAAGTCTAACGATTTGAAAAAATTAAACACAGGCTGAAAATATAATTTTCACAAAAATCTCTAGTGAATTGAAGGAATTTTACAGTCAGAAGTAGTGATAAACTCTAGCAAATTTCTCGAAGAGTGTAAAATGCACAAGGAGGCATACAGGGTGTTTCAGATTTAAATGTACATTTTGGCTTAGACTGCCAGGCTTCTCTACGAAGTTATTAGAAATAAGGTTGTGCTGAGTTATTACGAATACTACGTCTAACATTTTGCGAAGAATTCAGTGGCGTACTCTATTTCTTTAGGGGTTATGCTTTTGGAGATACGACATGTATTTTATTATGACATAGTTGAATCCGAGGTTGAATCCGTTATTTGTTTCCATTCAAAATGACGCATAAAACTAGAAATCCTAAAAAACACTAAAACATCAGACTCTGATGGATTTTTGCTAGTGGGCCATGGAGTTTCCAAGTTTTACTTTAACGATTATGTCTGATTTACTATACAGGGTATGTCCATAGAAATCATATTATATATATACGGTACGTCACGACGAGCTTTCACTATCTGTATATCGAGAATCATTCGGGAGAAATTCATGAAAATATGCATACTCATATTTTAGAATACGCTCTCTTCATTTAAAATATTTCCAGCAATGCATTGTTGCCGCTTCTATCAAAGAGTATCAACAACTTTGTTATTCCAAAGAGAATACCCTGTATTTTTATTCTCCCTGAAGAGCTGATTTCATCGATGCATCACACTTGGGGTCTATCGGAAATGATTACAGAGATATAGGGTGTTCAAAATCGAGATTTTTCAACTTTAAGTTTTGTTTGTGTCGAAACTATTTACTATTTACTGGAACATATACAGAATGATCAGAAATCTGAATCTTGAACCACCCTGTATCTGTTCCGATTGAATATCAGGAAAATGTGAATCAAAAGTTGAGATAGGGACATGTGAGCCGTTTTGACCGATAATAAATAGTTAGTAAATTATATATTGATTATAAAAGATCGAGTAAAAGATGGAAGACACATCCATAGTGATTGGAACCACCAAAGTTTCCTTTATCTACAGGTTTAGTATATACATTCAAATCTGAAACACCCTGTATAGGAAAAAGGTATTTTTCCATGAACAAATTTCGAATCGTCTTATTTTCTTCTGGTTTGCTCGTTTCGAATTATTATCTTGAAAGTATTCAACGAACAGACGTTTCTTATTTTGAAAACATATTAGGTACCTAATTAAGTGAAATATAAACAGGGAAATATGAGGAAAAACAGAATCTCTATTCACTCACCAACGTGAAAAATGCGAAGCTTTGATGAAACAACACGAAACACCAGAACAGCACACGATCGCGATAATGTAATTATGTGATCACTGAATTGAATGAGGGATACAAAAACACTACACTTGCACTCATTTTCAAGTGAACACTCCGTTTGGAACGATAAATAATTCCTTTCGCGTATTTTTCAATTGCGAACACAAAATTCGACTGTACGTGATGACATCTAATATAAGACTGTCTTGATTCACCACCTGGTCTCGAATGAATGACTAATAGGTTGAATCATGCTGCTAACCGATCAATTTCCGAACAAATGATTTATCTATGACCATGATGATGATTCCACCTTTGATCTACCCCTCCGTGCTCTTGTATACTGTTTTTCCCTGAATTATTTCACAAGATGCCTTCATAAAAATTAACAATTATGAATGAATTTGAAATCCAGGACTTTCATTCACCTAGAAACAAATTAACAATAAGGAAAAGTAGGTATATCTACCTGCTAGGTAAGAGGTAGGTCATACTTGTACCTATTTTAAAAGGAATCAATGAAGATTATAAAGTGAAACTTCAAAATTGCATCAATAAAGAATGAGGTGTTGATTGAGGTAGTTGTGGAATTGAAATATGAATTTTGAAAACCTACAAGAAAATCATTACAAAAACACAAAAAAAAACTAGAACTGTTACTTATGAATAAAATACAGTTTAATAATGACATACAAGCAGCAAAATTATAAATAAATATTTCCAAGATACAATTTGAAATGTCATGGATATGTTCAAGTACCTAAATAATCAGTGATATATCCTTAAAAATTTTAATTCAACTTCAAGGAATTAACACGATTAAATAGCAGGAATAAAATGTATGCAAAACACACAAAATATGTAAACAAAGTGCCCTGATAACGCCGCCATCTTGTTTTTGATACAGCGCCCTCAACGGTCGATCACCTTGCCAATTCCCTATCTTCATTGGTCACAAATCGGTCACAATTGTCACATCAATGCCTGTGATTTTGGTACGGCACCAGACTAAATTTAGCGAGATTCACCCACGCCATGTTATGTTTATGGAAGTAGGTGCAAATCAAGGAATTGCAAAACAGGAAAGGATTGAAGTGCATACACCAGAGGTTTATTTCATCAATATTTTTTATTTTTCACTTTGGTATCATTGTATATAATTTCAAGATTTTTGTAAGTTATGAGCAAGGTGAAAAGAAAATGGTGTAATCACACACAGTATTTTGTTTCTCCCAAAAAGCTTGACCGCAAATTCCGCAATAATGGCATATTAGTTCTCAGTTGTCTGCAAGATGCCGACACTTTACAGATTTCTTTCATGACAGAAAACAGAAAACGGCGCTCACACACCGCTTGCAACAGAAATGATAATATCATAACATTCATAACATAACCTCAAATCAAATGAGATTAAATTTGAAAGTACGAAACTGTAATTTTGGGGAATTTTAATTATCATCAGTTCTACCAACCTTGAATTTTGGTTGAGATTTCGCCATCTAACGGGTAAAATGCGACCTACATTACGCGATATTGAAAAGAATCCTTCTGTCAAGTAGGCCGTAGGTCAAGAACTTTGACCGAATAACAGTAGATGGGATTTGATAGGGAGTTTCTACACCATCTTCTGTTCATCCTGGTTATGAGTTATAATTCTGTACAAAATCTCAGCACATATTCCTGTACAAAACCTCAGCACATATTCCTAAAATCAAAATGTGATTTGAATCAACTTACCTCAGTCGGAAATTGCTGTTTCCGAGATACAGGGTGGTGAAGTTGAAAAAAAATTGACAAGTACACTCCAAGAAAGTATATTGAAAAATACATTTTTGCACTGCCAACCCACTCACCAAATTACATTCACGAAGATAACAGCAAACCTTATTTATTCAAAATAATCCAAATATACCGGTGCTGCATCAAACACTAAAAATCGAAATATTTCGAAATTGGCACACTTCAGTGGATTTTCTCTAGAGTATCTTTTTTGCTTGAAAATGTTCAAATAATAATTTTCTCAGCAAATAGAGTAAGAAACTACACTGAGAAAAAAGTAATGGCCATTCTAAACCATAAGAAGTCATAAAATGCATAGAGGATTTCAATTTGACATTTACATTTTGTAGAGGAAAAGTGGCAATGATGAAGTGATATGCATTTTGAAATATCTCTTTCAATAAATTGAGTAATGGGAACGATTTTGCATATTTTCCTTCTTTTCCGGATATCTCCCGAAATAATTGAAATGTTCCCAATTCAAAAGCAGCATTTCGTTGATCATGAAATGGTGTGGCACTTTACCCTAATTCAACCTACTCTGTATCCCTTAAGGTTACCGAGATCCCCATGCTAAGCCACGAATTAGTAACACCCTGTATGATCTAAGTGATAATCTTTGCTCGGAAATAGATGAGGAATGCAGTGTTTTTTATTTAGGCAAGGAGCAGCGGGTGTCAACACAGCGAGACAGCTGGCCAGCCAGGGCGTCCGAACCATCGTGTACACTGTCTCGAGCGAGGCGTCCTGCATCAAGAAGGAGATCGCCCTGTACTCACTGACCAAAAGCAAGCTGTTCAACGACATATCCGACCTACCGAACACCACCGATCTGATCATCGTGGCGCTTTGCGAGGACACGGAAAACCCGAAGCACTATCCGCTGCTCTCCGAATGGGTGAACAGGAACAGGTAACTTTTCAGTCTATAGAAAAGAATAGAAATACACTCAGTTCCAAAAAAGTGACGCACTTGATATTTGACCTATCTTCTTAAAATAGTAGGCCGATTTTTATTTTTTCTTTAATTTGTTGGTAGGTAATGCATTTGTCTTTAAAAAAAAATAAAGAGGTGAAAATTTTTTCAAAGCCTCTATGATCGTGGTGGAATAACTCGAACCATGATTTATTCTTAATTTTTGACTCACCCTGTGTGTTAATTGAGTAATGGCATAGAAAGTGCTCGCACCCTAAAAGAGGCTTCTTTTGCGAGCAGTTTTTTTTTTATTCATTGATTCATCTCTAAAATTTTCCGAATTACAGCTTTTTTTGCCGAATCCTTGCAGATTGCCAACTTTCTGAATTCATCGAGAAACAATTTTCTAATTCTAATTTTCTAACTGATACCAATAACTTTAAAAAACATTTTCATTAAACACAACATTATAAATTGGGATGACTGTTTAATACCGTGTATTGCCTCCTCTAGTTGGAAACTGCACAAACTTGCATCTTTCTCCTAATTCTCTCAATTTGTCAAACCTTTGAAATTTATGGCATGTATGTACGTCCGTGTACTGTCAGTTCCCGCTTTTTCCATCAATGTATTTGTGGTTATGTCTGATTGTCAGTGCTTGTCATAGTGTCCTTACTCTGATATACAAAAAACGACAAAACAGCAGTGTCAAGTACATTTGAAGACCTCGGTGTGAGAACCGGGCAAATCCAATTTTTTAAAATGTTGGGAAATGGAAAAAAAACTTGATATTTTTGAGAAACTTGAAAAACATTATGCTAAATGGTATGATTCCATTAGAGTTACGTTAGATAAGCTGTATTTACTTAGATACTAATTTTCATTCACATTGTAGAAGCTTAAAAAGAAGTTTGGAAAAAATGGAGTTGCCTGTTTCTTGCCCCAAAAAGACAAAATTCTGAAAATATAGTCAAACTCGTGTAATAATTTTACTTTTTCATTAAAAATGAAATACGAAAAATATTGTAATCAAACAGTATGTTGAACATAGGAAGAATCGCTGACGTTTCCTGCGTCTTGATCTTCGTTAACATTGCCAGAATTTGGGTCGTCTTCGTCAACAGTTAGATTTTTGGAACATTTTCACTCCCCGAAAGGGCTCACTTTCACTTTCCGACGGCATTACATTATAGTGCATAACAAATGATCAAACTAATCACGCGGGAAAGCTTGCCGCTAATAACCTCACTCCGACATCTCCCACTACACGCGTACATTTCGGTGCTGAAATCGGGTAACTCCTGGAGTTGCCCGACTCTAGCACCGTCATGGCTTACATTTCGGTGCTGAAATCGGGTAATTCCTGAAGTTGCCCGACTCTTGCACCTCAATGGCTCATCAGGTAAATCCTTTCCCGTGTTAACTTAATAGGAGATTGTTGGATTCGTTTGATTCTTGCACCAAAATATGCGCAAACAAAATTCTATATGTTAAATACAATAACCCAATTTCGGCATGAAATGCAGTTGCCGGTTCTTGCACCGAGGTCTTCATTTAGGAACTCTAGTCTGCCCCTACTTACGAAATCGTGACTTCACTTTTTACACGCCGTAAATTTCTAGCCGTTTGAAAAGTACCGTGGCATTATGATAGATATCATATATTGTTTCCAACTAAAAATCGACCGAAACATTCTAAAAAAATATGAAATTAAAAGGTATTTGAGTGACTATTCCACTCTTGATCTCGAGAACCAATCAGAATCGACCATTTTCATGGTTTCTTCTGTATTCTAGCGATATTTTTTGTTTATTAAATTTTATCGGACTTGCTCTACCAATACAGAAGCCGAATTGACCCACACGTGACCAACTAACCTCGTTTATCAGCGATGAAATTTTGACATCGTGACTGGTCAAGATTGCTTTGGATTCAAATCTGAGACAATAACCTAAGTTCCTACTTTATTTTATTTACTTATGATTCGCGTTAGTGAGATATTTTGTACGAAAGGCGAGACAATTTTATTCTGGCTGGACGTTTCATGTGTAATTTAAAAAGTTTGCATATTTGTTGACGGTCTGACACAACAATAATAGAATTCAAATTCCTTTTTGAAGTAATCTTCTTCAAATACTCAAGTAATTGTGACTGACTGATAAAATAACTAGATGATGTGGCGCAACTGTTAGGGTGGTTGCGCGAGGATACGAAGGTCGATGGTTCGAGCCCACGGCGACGATATATATTTTTTTAATTATTCCATGTCACATAAATTCAATTTATTTTGTTTGAATTGGATAGTAATTGTATACACTCTTTTGAGAGCAACCATTTCCAAGATAATAAAAAAAAATACTGCTTATCAAAATTGTACATTCCACTTTGTGAATAACTATAAGTAGGTAGTTAATTTCTAAAAAAGTAAATTCTGTATTTCATTACTATCATTATGTTCTTCTTCGCAGTTCTAGTTGAAATATACTTAAATTATGTTTCCTATTTCTTATATATATTGTCTCATTCAATCATGAAATAGTCATACGAATACAACTCGTGATACTATTTTTCCTGGAAATATTCGTCGATTGACATACTCCAGCTTGCTGCTCTAATTCCGCTCATGACATTGATCCAAAACTACTCGCCTACGGCTCGTAGTTTTGATAACAATGTCATTCACGAAATTACTAGGCAACAAGCTGTCGTAACAATCACCGAATATTTCCGGCAAAATATTATCACTTGTGGTATTATATATGATAATTTTATTTGAGAAAAAAAATAGTCCACTCGCTTATTCTCAATGTAATGAAATTTAATGTAGGGCCCCCATACTGGCCTTGGACCCCCCGACCAGCGGCACCCCGGGCATAGTCCCTAAATTTTCGCTGCTGCCGGTGTTGCCGCTGCCGCATTCCTCCAGCAACGGCAAGCTCTATCTGTGCAACCTCGGGTTCCCCGTGGACATTTTCAACGAGGTGGGCATCAAGTACAAATCCCCGTTCGGGCCGAAGTTCGTCATTCCGTTGCACCCCAAAGACGACTAGCGAAGAAGTGAGTAACGATTTCTGTTGCCTCATCGTACGGGCAGATTAATGTTTTTATTTTTTCGACTGATTCGCAACTGTTTTTAGAGTGTTGTCTAGGTTGAATATTGACGGTGAACCTGTATAATTTTCGTATTTCGAAAATTTATATTGATGCATATTTGAAAAATCCAAGTAGGTACAGGGTCATTGCGTATATTTAATCAGCTTCTACAGGGTTCATCATTGAAGATAGAAAAAACTTCAAATTCACAAGTCGTAGGGTTTGTTCGGAACCTATCCAGAAAATTGTTCGAGGTGAAACAAATTAATATCGCTGATATAACATATGGGCACTAACTTCGTTATTTTCAATGGAACACCCTATATATATATATTTCATATCAACAACCTATACACGATGTGCTTACACTATCTCTATATCAAGATGAAATATGCATGCTTATATTTTACAATACGCTCTTTTCATTTAAAATAATTTCAGCAATGCAGTGTTGCCGCTTCTATCAAAAAGTAGCAACAACTTTGTTATTTCAAATCGAATTCCCTGTATTTCATTGCATTTTTAGATTCTCCCTGAAGAGCTGATTTCATCATACATCAAACTTGAGGTCTATCGGAAATGATTACAAAGATATAGGGTGTTCAAAATCGAGATTTTTCAACTTCAGGATTTGTTTGTGTTAAAACTATTCATCATCGGCCAAAACGGCTCACATGTCCCTATCTCAATTTTTGATCGACTATTTACTGATATTTAATCGGAGCAGATACAGGGTGATCAGAATTCTTAATCTTGAACCACCCTGTATCTGTTCCGATTGAATATCAGTAAATAGTGAATCAAAAGGGTCATTTGAGCCGTTTTGACAGATAGGTAATGAATAGTTTCGACACAAAAAAATCCCTAAGTCGAAAAATCTCCATAATGAACACTCCCTATCTCTGTAATCTATTTCGATAGACCCCAAGTGTGATGAATCGATAAAATCAGCTCTTCAAGGAGAATCTGAAAATGCGATAAAATACAGGGTGTTCCATTTGAAATATCAATGTTGCTACTACTTTCTAGTAGAAGCGGCAACACTGCACTGTCGAAAATATTCCATTGTGTTTGAAGTTTTTTTTATCTTCAATGATGAACCCTGTAGGAGCTATTTAAATATACGGAATGACCTTGTACATAAAAGGAAATGTATCAATGAGATAACATTTGCAAAAGAGAATTACTTGACTGTGTTCACTGTTTTTATATTTAATTAAGTGACATCATTGTTTTTTGAGTAGTGAAAAATCAAATGCGCTTAGGTATACAGGGTGTTACAAAATTCAGTATCAAGATTTCAGAGACTCATTTTTCTGGTAAAAATAAGACTTTTTCCTATAAATAACCGCCCGCAAACGTTTCCTTACTGATCGTTAATGCTTTGTATTAAAGTTTCAACATTTTTCATTTTTCAGCACCATTTATAAAAAGTCAAAGTTTGTTAGATTTCTTATTCTCCAGGCAATGTTTGGAAACTTGTAATTAAAATCACAAATTAAATATGTAGCGTTTTTTGTTTTCATTATGATAATAGGTTCATTCCTTTTGTTAAAAATGTTAATTCAATTTAGCAAATTTAAAAAAAATATTTTTCACTCGATAACGGCCGCAGATGCGTAAAAATTGCAAAAGACAACAAAAGTTTATGAACAAAATCTACCAGTAATGAACCATAAAAAAAAGTTTATAGAGCAAAAAAGGGCAAGCCCTCAAAAAATATCTCCCCTCAGATTTTCACATCTTTTGGCATACTGTATGATGTAATACCTCAAACGAAACCTATGTTTCAAATTTGATCTGAATATCTCAAAAACTAAGTGCTATAAAGAAAAATATCTTGAAACTTTAATGGTATGTAGATCGGTAAGTAACCGTTTGGGGACACACATGTTAATAGGAAAAAAAGTCTTATTTTGATCTGGAAAATAAGCCCCTGAAATCTTGATCGGCACTGAATTTTGAAAGAACCTGTATAATTTTTCAAGCAACTTCTCGAAATTCTCTGTGGAATCTTTTTTTTATAATCGAATACTGCAGTCGATATTTTTATTGCAAGAACAGAAATATAAACCTCTACAAACTGCCTAGTGATTTTATTTATACATTTACTATTTGTGACATCTTTACATCTGGATCAATCATATATGTTTTTGGTATGAAGGGTGCTGATGCTATTCGCAATAGAAAATAACACATCGTGAGGGCATCAACTTGAACACTTCTGCGTTGGGAGAGAGCGAAAGAAATTATTTCCCTCTCTCTCTTTATTCAATTCATGGTCGCCAAGGTCAGTAGATGACGTTGCAATGACATTCAAAACTATCGGAAAACATCCTGAAACTCCTGGCATACATAGGTCGTGTGCATGATGTTGCGGGTAAAATATTGATACACAACCTCACTTTCCTGTAAAACATTGAAACAAATCTCACTTTTTTTATTTGTTTACTGAGGAATCAAAGGATTGAGATAGTTATTCACGATATTTTGCCATACGAATCGTGTTTTTTGCGCTATTCATTAATTCAAGCATGCCTTCTCTTTGTGCTGTTGTACAATGCACAAAAAATGCAGCCAGAGACGAAGGAATATGATTTTTCTGGTAAATAGTAATCTCACATAATTTTCATTATGAAATTTTGTCATTCCTTGTTAAAATTCCTTCTGCCACTTCTGCAATAGAAGATAATACTGCTAATAGATTGAAAATGTCTACAACACACACGATCATATTTCGGCAGCATGTCAGACCAACCCTCCCGTTTGATTGCATGAATTCAATCTTCTTGCATTATTTAAGAAATTTCACGAGTATTTCTATTAGTTCCTATTGCAGAAGGAATTCCGATGAGAAATCATAGAAATTACCAAATTTCAAAAATGAAAACCATATGTGAGTGACTATAGTAGGTACTTACTTCAAAATCATAATGTACCAACCGGATTCCTTCGTCTCCCGCTGCATTTTTTGTGCATTGTACAACAGCACAATGTGACGGCATGCTCAAATTAATGAATAGCCGAAGAACACGATTCGTATGCCAAAATAATTGTGAAAAACTATTTCAATCATTTGTAAACAAATGAGAAAAGTGAGGTTGTGTTTCAATGTTTCACCTCCAGGGTCATCTGACAGTTCTTGCACGCAACCCATTGAAAGTTCGACATGTTTTCCCGTAGCTTTTAATGTCATTTCTATGTCATCTAATGGCTATGGCGGCCGCGGATTCCAACGTGAAATAATAGGTTATGTTGGTTACACAAGAAACAACCTTTTTTATATTGAGGTTAGGTTAGTCATCTTCTGAATAATAATAACAACTGAATATATCTTATTCAGGTAATTTTTTATAGCCTTATTTATTTTTTGTTTGTGAAGCCTTCAAATTTGGTATGTAAAGGCCTGAATGCAATTCTCTATTGAGGCTATCGTATTTTTTTCTCGAGTCCTAGTAGGAAAAAAGTCGAGTTTTTCAAATTTCCAACTGAACTTGGGAATCTGAGCGACGACACAGGCGATAAAAATTCAAAATATTCCTATTTCAAAAGGAAAACAAGTAAACATTGCAGGTAATAATTCTAGTGTGGGGGTTTATAGCAGCATATTTTGACTTGATGATCAGGAAGGAAATTATAAACAAATATAGTATCTTTTTTATTATGATTTATTATCTTGGTAACAAAAAATATCAAATTTCCAGTGATGTTCACATTCCACTGAATTTTATTCAAGTGTATACTTTTTTTATTGAATTTGTGTTGCATTTCATTCTTCAGTGATTTGTGAACATAACTTTACATTAAATAAATATCCAATAAATTATCACTCGATCTTATGCTTTACAAGTATTGTTATTTGGTTTCTATTCGATATGTTCATCATTTTACTAATCTTATCGGTATTTTCATATTGATAAACATGTAGATGTGTTTCAAAAACTTTGTTAGACATTAAATAGGAGTTATTGATCATACATCAGCATGTGAAAAATAAAACTACATTATTTTTTATGTGTTGGTAACATTTTTTGTGATCTCAAAATCAATTAAATTCTTTTTTTTTAGTTATGGAATCAAAGTGGAAAACAGTTTTTTAACAAATCGACAACAAACTACTGAGTTGTTTCAACCATTTTATATAAGACCTGAAAAAACACAATTTCAAGGGTTCCTACATATTATTTGAAAATTTGGTCGAATTAAGTTGAATAAAAAATCAAATATTGCTAGAAATTTGAGCACTACATTTTTGAGCTATAAATTTATTTACAATAGAGTACAAAGGAGGCTCTTGAAGTGATTGTTGATGGCAGGATAGTACACCATGTATCTTATTAAAATCAACTTTGAATGGAGTATTTTTTAAATTGTAATTTTATTTAAAAAAATGAATCGACATAAAATGATAATTTGAATTGAATGAATAAATACTTGATAATTGTAAATAAATATCTAATATCCAAACAACAATAATATTGTCTATATAATTATTCGTATAAGTTACAAACAGGACTATAATTTTGTCATCAAAAAAGATATTTCTACCATCCGAATTAGAGTAGTTTAAACAATCAATTAATCAATCAATTCATTATTTGATAAGTTTTTTTACAAATAACTCTAATATTGTCAAATACATCTCACGCATTAATTATCAAATAATCAATTATATAAAACTGTTTAGGCAATTCCAATAACAATAGTGGCAAAGTGTAACAAAAATGTAACCAGTATTATTAAAAATATCACATTGTTATACTTATTGGTATATTCGTTTGATTTAAACTTTCATGCACTGAAGATTTATTGACAGAATCACATAAAAAGTGTAAAATTAGATCAAAACTAAAGTTTTGACTGAAAACAATCTCGAAGTCTACTTTGGTTGAGAACTTTGTCACAAGAAATATTGGTGACGTTATATACATTTGGTTCATATATTTTTTAAACGATTTACGTTATTTAGCTAGTTAGTTGACTTTTTAAGATTTCACTTGTTTGAGTGCAAAGTTGCAATATATCATAAAGTATATTTGAAAAATTATGGAATGAAACTATTCCTGCAAAACAATAGCTAATATTGTAGTGCCTAAATAAGTTCATTAGATTTTTAAGATATACTTTATAAAACATTTGGAAGAGTAAGAATAAATCATGATCGAGCTACTTAAGCTGAAGATGAAAAAAGCAAATGGATAAAAAATGAAGAAGAAAAAAGAGTTATTATGATGAATTCGAGAATTTCATGCCAATTTCATTGTACCTAAGCAATTCTTCAATAAATTTACTTGGCTTGGCTATTTCTGTATCAGACCTTTCCGTTTTATTGAGGTGATGTTTTTTTCTGTTTCAAATATTATTTCATCAGAACTCCAATATAAAAATATCAAATATCATACACATGAAAATCGAAACACCCTAAATATCTTTGGAAATAATCATAAAAATATCTGTATGGTTAGATATTGAGAAACTAGTAGTTATATGATGGAACATTGCCTAGCACTTCGATTCTAAATCAATGAGAAGTAAAAAGTACCATACCAATGATATAATCGATGATCATTTCTATTCTCAGACCGTTCTCGAAAAATGTTGGAAAGAAACTAAAACCCAGGCCAAGCCTGAAAAATCATTTTTAAATATTGCCTTTCAATCTAAACTATCCGGTAGGTTGGTTGCTAACTTCAATATTACCAAATTTCCCCAAGTGATGCTATTCTAGGGAGTACCTACTTCTTGATATCGATATGGAAGTTTCAACAGCCTCAGAATCTTAAAACTGGTTTACTAAAAAGAAAAAACAGCATCGAAAACCTTTGTCTTTATCCCGAAATTCGATTCCTACCGACTGCGCCATTTTTTATCAATTCTGAATAATTCCACTTCCCAAGTTATAAATCACGCGTTCAACTCTACAATTCGCTTAGATCGACTGCTAGCAGTACACACCGAAATAGTTCAACACATTTGATCCTACCAAAGCCTATTTCACATAACAACAGTGACAGTGAGCTTCACCCACTTCTATCACTGATTTGACAATTAGCGATCGACCAAATACTTCCGTCATCTTGTTCGAATTACTGAGAGATTGGACAAGTCAGTCAAAGTGGGAGGTTGACTCCAAGCTTTTGCCTTCATGTGAATGAGGCATAAGGCGAAGTTGTACCGACGCATGTGCTTCCAATTACTGTTTCAAAATGATTATTCAAACATTGTTTGATGTTACTTGAATTACACCTAATGAAGAAATGTCTGCTTTCGAGTGCAGTTCTATATTATTGGTGTTTTGTCATGTTTCACTGCACGGCATACTTCGCAAAACTAATTCTTCATGATCTGGAAAGGACCAATATTTTCATAGGTAGGATTGGTAGGAATATTTTATCACTTTTATAGCGTTTCAAATTGTTTTATGTTCTTTCACACATATTCCACACATTGTTGATACCTACTAGAGTACCTCAATGAACTTGACACAGTTGTTTTGATGTTTTTGTATATTAGAGAACGAACACTCGACAAGCAGTGACAGTGAGACATAACCAAAAACTATTTTGAAGTAAATCATATGCTTTGTCAGACAAGGACAAGAATATGTTGTTCGCTTAGATGAAGGCTTCTCGCATCTTCCTTCCTCTACATGTTCAGGGAAGAGTACATCCATATATTTTTCTTTCTTTCATTTTTGAATGATAAATTAATTAGAAATCTAGTTCTCGAAATATGGAATTATAGGGCTGAAGAAACTGGATGGAGGTCGATAGCCAGTTGGTATGTACATATATACCATCGAAGTACATATACTATTACTATGAAATGATAACGAACTGAAAGGAAAGTTACGTTCAGTGGTTCATTTGAATAACTTTTGCAGCACCAAAATTCAGAATGGTGTTAAAATTGATGTTACAACCAATAACACATACTTTCATTTCAGATGGAACATTTCCTCTTATACAAGAGTGGTAGGTAATAAGTTTAGTATAGTTGAATGAACAAATGATATGGCAATCAACAATAATAGGATAATAAATACATATTAATATGAAGGAATAGTATGATGGATTGATTATAGTTCAGTTCAGATGAATAATGAAGATTTTCCAGGACATACGGAATAGGAAACCATAGAATATAACTGTATGGACATGTACGTCCGTATACTCAACAATTTATTTGTGGTTATGTCTGACTGTCAGTGCTTGTCATAGTGTCCGTACTCTGAATATGCAAAAACGTCAAAGCAGCAGTGTCAAGTACATTAAGGAACTAAGTTGATACAGGTAGGGTCCCTTGATGTAAATTGACGTATTCGTCGTCTTGATAGGGACCTCGTCTCCTCTCACTCTAAAGTGTTTGTCAAACAGTTGTATAGTTCCATCTTTATTAATTTCTGGGGATAAAACACTCGATTTCTGACATTTGTTGTTTTTTAGGTTATATTGAGGACATTGGCGTATCATACGTAATTTCCACATTTAATTTCTCAATCAACTCTACATATTATATCCAAATGAAGATGATAATTTTCGACTCCAGAATAATCTTTGTGAGGCAGTGAGCAAATTTTCCTGAAAGTTTAATACGGTTTAACAAATGAGACTGTTCTTAGGCAGTACCTATCAATAAATGAATTTTGATTTCAGACTAAGCCTTATGGTTGAGAAATGGTGAGAAATTTTATATAGGTATTCAAACTAATGTGCTCGTATGTCATGTGAGCTGTATATATTCATGTTGGGAATCATTTTTGCAGTTTTTCACGAACACTCAATATTTCCTGAATGTAGGTATAATTTTTTAAATGGTAGGGCATATGCCTCTTCTTTCAATCCTCTGTTTTAATCAAAACTGTTTTTACTTGAATGCATTCAAAAACTTGTGGAGTGGATAATTATAGACACAATGAGAAAGTATAATATGTGATTTCGTATCAGTTTTCCCTCGAATATTTTGCTGATGTATTTACCAATTTTCCCCATTCGGTCACTTCACTTTCCATGTTCTAAGTTCATTTGCATTTGATATGGAATTTGCCATCCAACTGATTGATACAGCCTAATGCAGCACATTTTATCATCATTCCAAAACAGAATTGAATAATGTCGTATTAAGATCAAGTATGAAATTAAAATTTTGTAAGATCTCTTTTAACGCCTATGAATGTGACGTGACAGCAATGTCTGATGATTAAAAGAGAAAAGAGCTATGATCTGTCCGTACCCTGTTAGATGACAAATACGTCAGTTTGCATCAAGGGGCCCTAGATACAGGCAATCAGCAGTCCATTCGAGCGAATCGAGGACCAGAACGGTCTGAGATTCAACTAGAGATTGAAACTCATCCGGAGAAGTCGAAACGGTTCTAATACAAAATAGCCAGATCTACACACTAGCGCCTAGCACATGGTCTCCGACTGCATGTGAAGGCTGCCCTCGGACTCGGCCTTGGGCAGGATGGGCAACTGGGACGAGTCGATGACTATCGAGGGCCTTTGCGGCATCGGCGGTTGATCGACGCCCGACGGGGCGTTATCGCTCGATCCCGTCGAGTCCTGTCGCTCGGTGGACGAGCTGCTAGAACCTGCGCCCAACAGAACGTGCGACGGTGATGTTTGTCACATACATTTCATCTTTTAATTTTTGCAAAAAAATATAGTTGCTCGAAGTGGGTAGTGAAAGTTGAAACGGACAAAATTGCTCAAAGGCCAGTTTACAGAAATGTCAATTGAGTGAAAGGTGTTGCGCTATTGGGTGTACGGCGCTTAATTCAAAATCACGGCCATTCTAATGATTGAATCCCATTTTGAGTTCCGAGTTTATTCTCAAGATTTATTGAAATATGAAAAATGTTAGGAAGAGATTATTTGACATAGCCCTCATGGAGAGTTAACCGCAGACACGTGTTTCGGGCTTTCGGCCCTCATCAGTACGGTGAAAAAAGTGCAAATAATAGGCAATACTTGGTGGAAGGTGGAACAAACAGAAGCCCGTTGCACAATGGGCGTGTACACCTTAGATGAATTTTCAACTCAAACCATGTTTATAATGATCCTTTTATACATAAATAATGATTGACGACATAATTCGATCGGAAAATTAACTGGAATGTTTTATTTTTGGACATAAAGAATAGTACCTTCTGAAAACGGACCCTCTTATGACGTAGAAACCTCATCTCGCCATGGTTAAAAGAAAATAACAAACGCCCGACGGAGACTGAGGCAACTGATATATTAATTCTTTCAACTGTGATCTCGCGCTAATTCACTCTGTCAGAAATCATGTATCATTCATCTGTGTCTGGAATAGTCTTGTTTCAGTATTAGGGTTTTGACGTCACATCATCGCCTCGTTTTCAGAGGTCCGAAAAATCGGGGATTTCAATAATTTTTTATAAAACGTAGGGAGCTCACAGCAAGAAACGGTTTGCGGTGGAGAGCTAGTTTGGGTGAGTTCTATCGAATTATGAAATAAATTTTCTTTTGTGATATAAGCCCATTGTGGTTTCGGTCAGTGTTGCCTACCTTTTGCACTTTTTTCACCCGACTGATGAGGGAGGAAAGCCCAAAAAACCTCTTCCTAGTTTGCTCAGAATAGTTTCCTCGATATTTCTTCTATCATAAAAATTATGACATATAAATGAAATGTGATGATGTGATCATCTTCCCATGAAGAAAACTTCAACATCAACGTCACGCCAGGCATGTGTGATATAGCTATGAGTCGAATATTGACCAATCGAAGCGAAGGTCAACGCCTCCCCATGGTTTCCAACGCCGTCTTCTTAGTTGGAGAGGAAAAAAGAGTGCCTAGATCTGACGTGTAATGCTTCTAGACGACTGCAACGGTGCAAATTTGAGGTGGTTTTTTGAGCTCTGAGAGTTTTAAATGAAATCAACTGTTTTCCATCGGTAAATTCATACTTCAGAACACGACCTATTCGACTCGTCTGCTTTTATAGTTCAACCACCTTTACGAACATCCTTTGATGAACGTTGAGTAGAGCATCAGGGTATTTTTTCAAATATTTTTCACCTCTACCTACATGGTGTATTAAGAAGAGTTTGTATAATATGATCATTGTATTCAATTGTAATTGAATTATTTTCTAGAACTTTGTCCACATATCTACTTTGGACTACCCTATTTCTTATTTGATAGACTAGAAAGTACGTGTTGAAATATGAAAAACAATATGCACACATATTCAAGAACATACAAAATTTCAGTGATTTCTGATGAAAGCTATGCAATAACTAATGAAAAAACGGTCCGAATTGGAATCATTTCCTGACATAATTATACTTATCAAGATCCCTTCAGAAAAAGAACCGTAGGAACCGGATATGTTCATACAGTGACAGTATATTTTTTCGTCTGGATAACTAATATCTGGGTGAATGTGCAGGCGAAAATGAAAAAACAGTGCGACTAGAAACTACCCGAATATCCCAAGAAACGCAAAATCTACTGATGATAATGAAAGTTGTTAAATAGCCAATTGAAACGAATTAATGCATTATCATAATTTAGGAAAATTGATGACAAGGTCATGGTCAAGGATTGTCAACTAAACAGTATGGATCATCCGGCCGTAACCAATCGAAAATGTGAACGACATGACGTCACGCCAACCACTGACTGTTTTGTTTTGAACTCTCAAGAAATATTTTTCGTTTTTATTTTATTGAAATGAATCCGGTTTTTCAGATCCTTTTCAAGATATTTTTTTCCCTGTTGAAACTGATCCTAGAATTTAATTTACTATGTTCAGATTGTAAATTAATCTGAAATACTCAACCGGAAGTATAACACTGACACTATAAAACATAAAAATAATTGAAATGAAATCCGAGATATCAATCAATCTGTCATTGACTTGAATACGAGCAAACGTGAATGGCATGACTTCAAAACTGTCACATATTGTAGTACAAGGAAATAACCATCCTGTCGAGTTGAGAATCCTTGGATCATGTAGGCGTATCGAAATCATAGCTTCTCCGCGAACCCGTCCCTATCCATCGTCAACACCCGCACGCTGCCCCCCTTCTGCCAAGGCGGCAGCTCCACCCACACGTATTTACCTATGACGGCGGGCGAGGGCGGGGCGTCCCCCTCCACCACCGCCGACGACCGCCGCAGGGCGTTGCGGGCCGGCCACGAGTTGACGCGGAACTCGCGCTTCTCGGCCACCACGCTCAGGTGGGCGGGGTTCAACGGAGGGGCGTGGCCGCGCAGATGCTCCGCCCCCTCCTCCCCCTCTTCCTCCTCGTCCTCTTCGCTGTAGCGTCGCTGGATGAGATTCTCCATCACCATGTAGTCGCACTCTTCGGCGCTGCGCAGGTGCTCCTTTTCGAAGTTGATCGCTATTTCTGGGTTGGACATCTCGGACGGGTTACGCTTGCGTGAACCTAGAGGAAATTCTTTGGTTAAAGAAAAGTTCTCCCGTAACGTCTCGATTCTGTCATAGATAGTCCTCCCTGAAAATACAAAACCATCGAATTTTCCTTTAATGAATCTGCACTGGAGGATGATAATTGTCAGGATTTAATTCACCATTATTATTCAAGGAAGACTACTATTAACAATCATACCTCCAATAATATGAATATAGGTCTTTTTTCAATGCTTTCATGCTTTGATACCACCCTAAGCCAGTACCCCCGTTAAGTTAGTTGAAATTGATACCACCCAAAGCCAGTACCCCAGTAAAGTTAGTTGAAGTAAACCACACCAGTAGGAGAATTAAAGAACCAGAGTTTTTATGAACTGCTTGCTCGTGAAATGTAATTTGATCAAATATCCTGATATAGTCCAATGCTAATTTAGACCGTCATCTAATAATAATAATAATAATAATAATAATAATAATTGTTTTTATTGATCAGCATATCGGTACAGCAAGATAAATTCTCGGTACAAAGAAGAAAACCAACTTATCAAAAGGCAGGATTCAATTTCAGTCCATGTTCAAGACACAGACTGAACTTGCTCTCCCATCCAACCATCCTGATAACAAAATGATATATGTTTCAAAGGCATGTAAAAACATTGTAGTTTATCGAACGGCACCTGTGCCATTCACTATCCTGAGCAATATGATTCAAACAAATCTAACTAAGTCATGGAAACCATACATCCTTCTCAAAGTGGTTCCGATTTTTTCAATGAAAAAACAAAATAACACTAAGTTTACAAGGATGATAAGGTATTGAGAAACAAACATACCTATAAGGCCACGTGGAAATCACATAATAAATTGAAATTCAAAATATTGAGGAGCCTGTCAACGTCTGTTGCTATGCTTGACGCTTCGCCTTCTCCTTGGCTTTTGTCTTCCACAAATATGGCCATTTGAAGATAAAATCCTTTGAGTGAATTAATTATTAATTTTTCTCAAGTTTGTGCCAATGTTGAACCTTATGATAGTTGGGTTCTTTTAGCAGCAAAAAGATAGTGGTACCGTAGATTTGGCTCAGATTGAGGGGTGACACTGGTAGGATTCTGAGATCTACCATTGAATTGGTATCGGATGGTATAATTCTAATCTCGTTTTCAAATCGCGAAATTGAGTGCAAATTACCGCACAGGAAAGTGCTATTTTTGAATCATTTTGCTGAGGATAGTGATTGGCACAGGTACCGTTCGATGAAACAAAATGTTTTTACATGCCTTTGGAACATATAACATTTCGATAACAGATGACTGTCGTAATTCGCAGCCGGTTCACCTACTAAAATGAAAGAAAACGAAATGTGTAAGATTACCTGAAATTGGGACATTTTTCATTTTATAAATGTTAGGTATCTGGAAAAGTGATACATACTTGATTGAATGATAATCCGCTGAAAAGCTTTCTGGAATTGCAGGAAGACACAAATAAACAGTAAGACATCAAGTTTTTTCTGCTAAAAACACTGCCAAAGAATCCAGATACACACAAGCAAATGAACCATTTCAAAACAATGTACTTTCATATAGTTCCACCATCGACCACTTTGTCGCAGCGATCTCAAACTCAGTCGCCTATACCTCTGATCATTCGCGCCCTCCTGTTCCAAAACTGACATGTTCTACAGTCAGAATACCAACATTGAGTTGTGTGATAGTTTACCAAAATTACACTAATTATGGTTCAACTACTACTATTCTATGTCTTTTATTTTGCCCTAAGACATTGCAAATATATATCATACATAAAGTATACCTGAGTGAGGGAGAAAATGACAAATTTTACAAAAAATATAAGACTTGGCGCCTTCAGCAATTTGACAATAGCAGCGAAATAACGCTTAATATACGATGTTATGAGTGAGTTGTTGATTAGCATGACCTAATGAATCATTATCACCAATCAAAACCAGTAAGTGACATAATCTTCAACCACATTGAGATATTTTCATTTAATGAAACTATGAGAGTAAATCACAAAAAATCCGGAAAACATTGACCTGTTCGGTTAACAAACAGACAGTATTTATAATACTTTTCACTTGCTCTTCTTATTCTTATTTTCAGACCATTTTATATCGACAACAAACTGAGAACATGAAACAACTGAATAATTCATAATTTAATAATGTTATGGATTTCTTGTTACTTTGGGAGAAATATAGTGTTGAATCTGAATGCATTCGACCTTGGACCCCAACGAAAATTATGGAGCTATGATCTGTCCGTACCCTGTTCGATGACAAATACGTCAGTTTGCATCAAGTGACCCACCTTTGACCCACCCTACCGACGACAACCTCCCTACCTCTAACCAAGGTCCTCTAACGCCCACCCGCCCACTTACTTGGCGGCGACTGCTCCGGCCTAGGCGGCGACAGCAGCCCCGACGACCTCGCTGGACTCAACAGCCCGCACACCGACTCCAGCTCGTCGGTGATGCTCGCGTACTCGGTGTGCATGTGCATCAGCAGCCCCGCCCGACCGCCCGCCGACACCGCCGGCGGCACCACCCTGATCCTGGGCTCGGTGAAGGTCACGCTGCGCTCCGACGAGAGGGCAGCCGGCGGGCAAGCGGCGGAGGGGGGCGGATCGCAGGTCTCCGGCTCCGATTGGGTTTGCGAGAACTGGCGCTTCGTGGCGATCGAGGATTCGTCGCCTGGGCAGAGGACACGCCTACACGCCTGAGCGTTCGGTGGTGAGGGGTGGGGGGGAGGGCAGTCGGTGTAAGCGTGAGAGAACGTGTGAAACGTGGGGTGGTGGGTGGGTTCATAATGTGGCTGTATGAGCATGGAGGGTGACTTTATAAAACAATTAGCATTTATCACTTTAAGACATTATAGTGAATTCAGTTATAGAAATACTCTACATTTGAGATTCTTAGAAAGCTCTATTGTAACTGACAGATGATTTTCGACACATAAGCCATCAAAATTCAAGATTCTGAAATTTCGAATGGATATATTGGATGGATAAAACATATACTGGGATAAAACTGTGTACATGCAGGACAGGAGGTAGTTTTGATTATTTATTATTTGATTTCTCATTTCTAGTAGAAACATCTCTAATTATCATTATCTAATTTGTTTACCGAGCTTTTTTGTTACTCTTTTACTTTTCAAAATTCATTATGGATGATGGTCTTCTGATGCTGATGGAAATCGGAAGACTCAAACGCGTGTATGATAAAAGGGGTAATAATTTATTCAAAGATAAATTGGCCAGAGAAAATGCTTAGAAATATGAGATAACTAAAATTTGAGCACAAAAATAGTTGGCATGTCCCTGCTTGAACAAATAAATGGGATCCCCTTGTGGTTCTTTTACAAGTTATGGGTATACTCTAGTTCCACCAAATCATTAAACAATTCAGGTGACATTCAGACTTTCTGGTGTATTCAAAGAGTTGTTCTATATCCCAAATAAAAATGGTACTGCTAATGGGTATTCCGTTGCCTGTGTATGGGTCTAATTTTGTATTTTCTATTTCTACATTTCTTTCTTACGATAGCCATATAAGTATATACTTACCTCAAGAGCAGAAATCATGAACAAAGTGGATACTGTAATAATACCGATTGCATGCATCTGTGATTTGGCCATGCGCAGATTCATTTTTCATTTATGCCCATTCAAGATCCACTTCTTAAGTTGGAAGTTGGGCATCATCTTAAATGTTGAATCATAAGGCTTAAATGGTATTCTAACATCAATAATGCTATTTCCTTCTGTCATAATTGATAAGTCTTAAATGTTAGATGATAAATTTTAGATGTTAATTTTGTTTATAAAGTCACCCTAACACAGCCCTCTTGCGAGCCGTCAGCCATGAGAATGGATTCGGAATGTTCAACACGGTGGGTTTGTTTATTAGTTAATGGGGAAGACTACTGAGGGATGAAATCCATCCAAACCTCTTTCAATCGATGAATCATTATTTACATTTGAAGTACAATCAGTATTATAAGTTAAAGTTGAAGGAAATCGAAACTAGAGCATTTTTGTAATATTTCATTCGATATTTCGACGCGTCTATGCCAAAACGGCACAAATGCCATCCAGTCAACTTTACAGGAGAGACTAAAAACTGATTAACTTCATTCGTAATTGCCACACAAGTCTGCTGGATGTCTTCAATGAAAGATTGATTTTTTTCATTATTTTTGATGAATTACTGATGAAGATTCTGATTCTCGCCCTCATGCAATAAATGAAAAATTGAAAATATGGCGCTTGTGCCAGTCCACACTAGATACAATGTGTTTATGCCAAAAGTGATACTGGCGTTTGTGTCATCGAACATTCAAGGTTTTGCTCGAATTGCCGCTTATACAGTTGATATGCCAAGTTAAAATTGATGTGTGTGATTTCTCATGTGTGTCGTTTATGCCACGCATGATTATTTTTTTTATGGCTTGAAGCGCAGGAAAGGGAATCCCTATAATGTTCAAAGAACATCGCGCGTTCCTAGGGAGGATAGGGATAGGAGGTAGGTATTAGAATTTTTTATGATGATCTACAAAATATTCCATCTTAAGGCAAGATTTTCATCTTGAAAATTATTATCATCATTGGAAAAATCATGTTTTGAAACTGTGAAACGATCGAAAAATTTCTTATTCAAAACTTAGGAACTATTGGGTATCTGATAAAAGAGTGAAGAGATCATACAAACAAAATAAAATTTGTTTTAGATGTATGACAAACTGACATTTATCATACAGGGCGTGGAAAGAAATTCTGAATTGAGAAAAACCCAATCACGAATCTGCGATTGAAGGTCTATAAAAAAATTGTGTATTGAATGAAGAATGGCTGAAGGAATGACTGGACTTCAGGTTACTGAGGAGAGTTTGAAACTCGAAATGAATTTTATTCGAATCAAAATCATCTAACCCATGTGAAAGAGATGTGCATATATCCCAAACATCATGGATACGAATGATTTTTGATAAATTCACTACTCAACAAGAACAGAGTATGTATACTGGTATATTTCTCCCATACATTCCAATTTTCATACCAATTTGGTGAGTAATATATTTTTTATATCGTTATATTCATCATATTATTCATCCGATTCTGGAAGAGAATATCAATTCTCAATTTCAGACGATATTCATTTTATTCTCAAATTCCTATCGTGTATGTTCAATTGATATAATTCAATGTTCGTCGTGGCATATAGCCAGGGAAGTAGTTGTTTTCTGTTGAATATGCCGAGAAAGAATCAATATTTTCATCACATAGAGAATGCGAATTCTCAATGTATTTATTCAAATGTATCCATTTTTTCATGTTTATAATATATCTGAGAATATTCCTTTTCAATAAAATAAAATTTATTAATGAAATAAAAACTGAAATCTTATTCTGAAAAACTCAAGAGGGATAACTGGCTACATTGATGAATATAAAAATTTGAACTCAATAATCATCAATTTCTTGGTAGAAAGATACAGGAGAAGAAATCAAAAAGCCTAGTTCCACCACTTGATTTTCAGTTTCTCTCAATGCCTTCAACAGAATTCGTTTGCTTCTAGAGATGTTCATCTGCAAAGTAAGGAAACGGCATAAGCGCCAAATATCAATCGCAGTTTTGAAGCTGTTCTATTTGAAATTGATTATCAACTTCCTACTGACATATCGAGCGACGATAGGTTTACAGTAAAATATAAAAAAACTATAAATAATTGTATTTAAACATGTTTTTTCGATGTAAGGATAATGCATGTGATTCGCTATAAGCGATGGCATTTATGCCAAACAGGTTCTCATGATACTGTTTTGGCATTAACGCCTCATACTTTTTCCTCAAAAACTACGATTTTGGGTAATAAATACGTCATTTGAACTAGAAATACATGCAGATAGTTCAACGGAGTAATGTAATCAACTTCCATATGAATCAAATATTACTTACTGTGATCTCACAAGCGAAACACCTCACCCCATTGAATGCTTATGGGTACCTGGCTTTTGTGCCGTTTGATTTTCATTGAATATGGTCGAATTGGCGCTTGCGCAAATTTAAAATACAAGAAAAGACAGAAAAAAGAATTTACGAATATATGCCGTTTTGACCATTGGATGCAGCATGTGAATACCTTTTATTGAGTACCAAAAAGTGAGAAGTGACCATTTTGGCGTTTGTGCCGTTTTGGCATGGACGCGTCGATTTCATGAAAGTGGAACCGTGACGTGTTGGTCCCGAACTGTAGCTATCTCTACTCTATACCTTGCCATTCTGCATTGTAATTGGTCAGTTCAAGGACAATAGGCGTGTTGGGACTAATACGTCATACCAGTCACACCAATGAATTGACACCATTCCAAATGGCACAGGAAGTGTGTTTTTTGAAATGAACATATTTTGATTTATTTTTTTAATCGTTCTAGTATTAATGAAAAAATTCCAAATTATATTTACTGGCAGTTTTTTGCTATAGAGCTCACGCTAATGTCGTTTTAAAAAATCAGTGGTCTTCCCCATCATTGAGGTGTCATCTATGTGGAAGATTGTTGAAATCCAATGAACAGTGTACTTGAGCAATAATCTAGTAATGAAATTGAAAGTTTGTCAGCTCTAACATGGAATGCCGGGAAAAACTGAATGAGCTATCCAAAAGAAATGCAGTTACCCTTCTATGGGTTCCGGGACATTCTGGAGTAGATGAAAATGAAGAAGCGGACAAACTCGTTAGGAAAGGAGCTCGAATGCCCTTCGTGAAGCCAGAACCTTTCTGCGGGATCAGCAACAGTACTGTTTCAGAAGAAATTAGAAAAGCAGAAGCTAAACAGATAACAGACATCTGGGAAAATCTTGAAGGTCTCAGACAGAGCACTGTCGGTTGAAAGGACATTTTAGGAAGCTCGGCTTAGAGGAAACATCTATCCACATATTTACAGAATCCAAGGTCAAAAAACCTAGGAGCACAAATAATAGAGGAGGAGGAGCTACCTACCTAGAACCACTTCATATCCTGAAGTTTCTGATGAATATAGGACTAGAGAAATCAGGCCCTGCTAGATGAATCAATTCGAACAAGGTAGTAAGAATTGCATTTCCACAATGTTTGCAAATTTGCCAACCTGAGTACAGTCGTCTTCAGCGAACATGTCGCGGTTGGACTGTATGAACACTCTTATTGCAGCAGTGATCAAGGGAGCTGACACCGTCCATGTGCGACATGATGAAATGTATAGATGTACAAATATTCATTATATTTATAGTGGAAACTACCATTCGGCAAGAAATAATGTATTTTTTCACTTATACATCAAGGCACTCCATGCAAGACTTACCTGTCTATCGGACCACTACGAAAATCGAAACAGATAAATCCTGATACCTGTTCATGAAAATAGATATGATGAAAACCAATTATACCTTGTTCTTTCCTGTGCAATTTTTGATCTCAAATAGACCCACCTATAGAAGTTGAATTGAAATCGAGTTTTCCCGAGTTTTCCGCTCTGGTAATGCGACATTGCCAATTATCTCAACACGGCTCGAGAGTTTATGAAGGGAGACTGTCTATGACTAGTAGGATATTTAGCCTTATGATCAAATATCCTACCAATAGTGTTGACGTTTTATTGAAATCTTACTATGTGTAGTAGGACATTTAAATCCTAGTTGAAGGACACGTAGCCAGTCCAGTCCCTTGAGAAGGCTGTGTGTGTGATAGTGTGAGGGATCCAAGTTTCACAGATTCTCTCAGATCGAACCTCTGATGCATATACTCATATACAGAGCGTAACAAGACGCAGTACCATGAATCCATTGTCTCACTATTTCGTCAAGAAAATCGTGAATACACTCTGTATACGCTTTTGAGGACATTGAGTAGACGAAGCAGTGAGCAAGCAGAACATCTAAACAGCAGAATTTGAGCTTTATGTGTATAGTGGAGGTTGTGTCCCTAGTTGTGATTAATTTATGGATTGTTTGGAATGGAATATGCACCTAGTATGTGTACTTTTATTCTCTCGTCACCAGTGTAACATAACATAAAACAAGATAATTTTCTAAATTATTACTCTATAGATGTAACATTCCATGAAATGATATTTGGTGAGAGTCTAGCCTAGATTTGTTTTCATGCTTATGATTACCATTTTATGTTAACATCTATAGTAAGATGAACGTAATAATTATAATCATTTTTCGTACCTAATTTCCTGAAAATGTGGCAGAAAGATAGGCTTTTTGGTGTTAGAAAGGGTGCCCGTACTTCGCATGCTAGTAGATGGAGAAACAGAAGCATTAGACAAAAAAATTACACGCCAATCATCACAAAAATCTGTTAAAAAAGTTCGGTTCATCCCAGGATTGATTAGTAGCACCAAGATAATATAAGGGAAGCATACACAATATTGATTCATGAGGTATTCACTATTCTCGTCTGTCTAAACTGAGGAAATTTATAGATATCGGAAGAAATGTGATAACAAATAAGAACGGAATTGCTACAAATTATTTTTTTACAGGTCTACAAATTCATTCAAGTTGAGAGACACAAGTGAATAAGCCTGTATTTATCAAATCACAATACTTTAGATAGTAGGTACTATTTACACTATCAAAATCAATTTTATCAAAACTTACACAGCAAATAAAAAAATCCCAACTCCTCAAGAAAAAATGAAAAATTCTTACCAGGAGCACTTTCTGAACCTCTTCTACCAGTTGAATCGCGTCTTTTTTGCATAGCCCGGCTCTTCAAAATATCAATGCTGAGACCAGCAATATCGTCTACAAGAACACCATCAGACGCCCTGTCACTCTCCCCAGAGGTTTTTGAATCGGTGCTTTTAGTTCTTTGCCTCAAGAAATTCAGCTGTTGTTTGCTACCTGAAATATATATACGAGAATTTAATAACAGGAGACCAACGGAAAAATTTGAAGTTATAAAATGTTAATAATCGTTCACAAGACACGAACAGCTCAATAAAACTTCACCTTTCAACGAGAAGTATGTGGTTTTACTATGATAAGGTGTTAGTAGATGAGCGCTGAGGCTTCCTAGGACAACGTGTTTGGGCGTGGTCTCAGTGCAGCTAGACGACTGGTTGGCCAGACAGAAGTCGTGTATAACCAACCATATAGCCCCACTTAGTAGACCATGCCACCTATCAGTCTCAATAATCATAAATGAATTCACGCTTTTATTTACGTAACTAATAAATATCATTAAATAAATCACTTGCTCACCTCTGACTGAGATATTATCCAACTCTTCTTTATCTTCTCCCTCGTCATCATCCGCAAACCGATACTCGATGTGTTGTCCGTGATCGAAAATATACGCATCGGGTCTAACTTCAGTAAGAGACCTGTGGATACGATAAGCGTTACAGAAATCAAGATTATCGACATTATTGTCTTGCAAAAATATAATAAAGTAGTGATAGTATTGGATGGATTACCCCCTACTATTTTCCTTCGTAGAATACGCCCACATTGTGGAACATGCTCAACCGTCACTAGGTGGGCGTATCTAACAAGAGGACAAGAATTCAGATAACCAAGAATTTCAGTATGGATGCATTTTCAGACCAATTAAAATGTTTACAGGCGCGTCTGCATAGCCCAATTTCGAGGCAATCACAATATTCGTCAATTTTGCAAGCGTTTGAACTACTTCGAAGGGATTTTGCTCGGTGAACTTATTCATACGTTGGAGTCGGAGGAAGATAAACGATTTCTTTTAACCCGGCGTCGACTCAACCCGGCGTCGACCAGGTGGGGTCTCAGATGGACATACACATTTTAAATCACTGGCATTTTTTTTTTTGGAACAATTTTAGTGACAGTGCAGTAAACAGCTTTGGGGTCTGAGAAGCCCCACCTGTGTAATAAAGATATATATTTTATTCTAAGAGATACATGTAAATTCCCATAAGAAAATTAATCATTGTTTGTTTTTTTCATATACTACATGTTACTTTTGTAGCTGATAACTTGAACATTTCAATAATCAGTTTTACATGAAATCTTTCAGAATTGAGTGTTGCATATTTTTCAAACAGTTTTCAAAGATATAATGTTTTTTTCCGTGAGAATTTCGCCGTTCAATGTCTTTGATGATATCTCATGAATTAAACTTATAAAAAGTTTCTGTTTATAACCATGAAGTGAATACATCTAAAAACTCATTTCACTTACAAATCTGGAAATATTCCAATTTTTTTTCCTCGAGTTTCTGATTATGGGGTACATCAGACCCCATCTGGCTGAGAATGTACAGATTTTCCACCTGGGTGACGCCGGGTTAAAAGGGAATGAGACGATGAAACAAATTTTCTTAGTATTTAGGACGGTCTTTCCTGGAAGTTTCTAAGGATTCATGTAGAAGATTTTGAAATTATGTCTGGATTCACAACAGCGTGTCATTTTTTTTTTTTAGGCAGGTATATTCAAGATGATATTATATCAGATAAATATCACATATCTTGTGAATTTTTATGAAGTAATAGGATAAATTAAAATAATAGGACAAATGTAAAGTTTATGTTAAGGCCACTGTTGTATCTAGACGTTAGTATCAACTCAACTAAGAAATAAATGAAAAAAGAACTTGGCTCCTTCACCATTCCTATGACGTACGATTTTCTGTGTCAGTACGACGTTGCCAGCATCATTGATCTGTCTAGATTTCTGAATATAATAGGATATAATAGGTTTTTTAATCCTACTTCGTCGAGTATTCTGAATAATTTCCATAAATCTCTTATTTGCTGGATGAAGTTGATTACTGATAAAGTACGATATTTTACAAAAGTATCCATAATTTTTTATTTCCGTTATATCACAAGATGATAATCATAACTTGCCAGTTATTTTTTTTTTCAAAATGAACTCGTTCATTTAGAGAACAGAACTATTTTCTAGGAAAGTTGCATGATATAATCAACAACGACGCCAAGTTGTCTTCTTCTTCTATTTTTTTTATTCGTTAGCTAGCCGCTAGCTATGTTAAGACTAGATTCAGAATATACGTCACAGTTTGCCGCCCTGAAAATTAGAAATTGCCTTATTTTGAAAATAAAAACTACATGGACTTTATCGATCGCCATTCTGTATAGCGTGGACATAAAACTCAAGAGTTCCGAACTAATTTTATGGACATTCATCTGAAGGAAACTTCCCTATTCTTGCTTCTGACTCAATTTCTACTCGATAAAAATGTCGACCACGCACCTTGTTTCATCAAGCCAGAAATTGACTCTCTGAGAGCTATACACGTGTTTTTTAATTACGCCGATGTATCTCCAACCAAAGTTAAATTCCTTCCTATAATGAACAATTAGGCGAAAAACAATATAGTACAATTATAGTTAGTGTCCTGTTCTTGATATCAGATGTGGGTCGTCGACGGTACCATCTCCAAGACTGCAGATTATACGAAGTTGGCGTGGCAAGAAGACATCACGGGTAAGTGGCCTTTATAGACCGCTCTGTGATTTTTATGAATTTTTAAATCATACAGTCCATTAGTTTATTCATATCTCGAATCATGAAACACACCTGATGATCGTCTTCTTCCTCGTCGCATTCGGCGCCAGCATCTGCCCGATGATCGTGTCGTCGGATATCTCGCTCTGTTGGCTCACGCTTCTCTCTCTGAGACCCTCGTGGACGGTGGGAGGCAGCTGGATCTCGGAGGAGGGCCTCATTTGGAGGACGATCTGGCGCAGGGCCTCGAAGTCCGTCACGAGTTCCTGCATCTGGTCCGTGTATCGGCGGCTGCGCACGTCCAGGTTTTGTAATACTGTGGTTTGGAGGTTCTCTTTGGTATGGATGTCCTCCACTTTCTGGAAAAGGATTATAGGTTTAGCGAATGTCGATTCTGTTACCTACATACTTCTAGAATGTTATGGAGAAACGGACTCTGTCACAGATGAGGGCTAACATTTTCATTTTCACCAGTCAGCGATACTGGGGTTTAAGGTATTTGTCAATATAAAAATTACTCAAGAAAATTTTGCTGAATATCCTTGGAGGATAACAAACTAGACTGCCACTGGATCAACTTTGTATGTACCTGTGAAATACAAGATAAGGATATTTGTAACAAATTTTTCCTTACAGATTTGACAGTGTTGAACCATTTTTATTCAAAAAAAGGCTGCTTTACATTGATATCATTAAATGACTTACTGAAATACCAACAACTGATCACACAACAACCAGAAAACCATTAATAACAACAAAAACGACAAATTACATTTCTCACGATTATTGCTCGCCTACTACTAAACTAGTAGGTTTATAATCATTAAATTTCTGAGAATGATGTTTGTTATGGGTGAATTGTTAGGTTGTTCTATTTTTTTCCACAAGATATTGATGTCGAATTGAATAAAATGTTTTATCCGAAATCCTCCCGGCAGCGGTTCTACAGAGTTCCTCAGAGTGTGATTCCTTTTCCGCAGATGTGATAAGCAAAATAAATTACTTTTTCAATTAGTTACTTTGAGACAAACCTTGAGGCACTTGGAAATAAGGATACATTGATTTCCTTGATCACCCCAAGAAATACATCTGTTCATAATAGGGATACATGAACACATATAAAAAAATTATAATGAAAGGTTAACAAATAAGTTCCACAAGTGGACACAAATTTATACTTTTTCTTAAGGTGAAAAAAGTTATTACACTTCAATTCTGAGTAATCAAATCATGCCACATATTTTTCAATATAATGATCCTGACGAGGTATTGTTCAAGATCGATTGCCAATCTTCTTGCATCATGTATATTTTTCAACTTATTCGGCAATGAATTGTATACAATTATTCCATTGTGAAATACAGATTGTTGCTAATGTTCGACTTCAATGTATTTGATGTCAAGTAATTCAATCATCTTCCTATAACTATGGACTATATTTACTTCATTGAAGACTAAATTTGATATTTTCAATTTACTCGTGGCGAAGTGAATAAAACAACATATTTTGAGTTTATATAATGAAATCAGATTTAGAAATCTAGGTTTGACCGTTCGTTCTAGAAAATGTGAATGAAAGATTCACTCAATTGATTTGTTTTGTAATTTCATTAGTGGTTTTGGGCCTGCATTATTCGTACTTCCACTAATAGAAATTAAATATTGTCAATTTGAATGAATGTGGCGAAAGTAAATGTACTTCAAGTATTTTATAGGAATGATATTTCGGATTTTGAATAAGCGAACTGAGAGACGATGGTGGTCCATAGCCTATAGAAAAATAGCCCTCCTAGCCAAATCAACCTGCGCCAAATGCTCTATCCTCTCGGTGGTGATCTTGATCCGCTCTTCGGTGGACTGCTGCAACTTGGCCTCCATTAATCACCCCTTTTAATTAGTTACTTTGAGAGATGATCCTTTAGGCACTTCTAATTAAGGAAATATGGACATTGAGAGATGAAAATGGCCCATTCATTTAGTTATAGAGACAAACCATGGAGTATTTGGAAATAAAGAAATGAGATTTGAGTACTGATAATGGTCCTCAAAATGCCAAAAACAACCCTCCTAACCAAACCCACCTGCGTCAAATGCTCTATCCTCTCGGTGGTGATCTTGATCCGCTCTTCGGTCGACTGCTGCAGCTTGTCCTCCATAAATCACTCTGTCTAATTAGTTACTCTGACATACATACCTTGAAGCATTCGGAAATAAGGAAATAGGAGGATTGAGAGATGATAATGGCCCAAGAAATGGCTCATAGAAAAACACCCTTCCCAGTCAATATCCCACCTGCGTCAAATGCTCTATCCTCTCGGTTGTGATCTTGATCCGCTCTTCGGTCAAATGCTACAACTTGGCCTCCATAAATCACTCCTTCTGAGAGATGTTTCTTGAGACACTTAGAATTAAGGAAATATGGGCATTGAGAGAAGTTAATGGCCCATTTTGTCATAGAGACAAACCATTGAGTATTTGGAAATAAAGAAATATGAGAATTGAGCGCTGATAATGGTCCTTAAAGTGCCAATGGCAAATAGAAAAACACCCCTCTTAGCCAAACCCACCTGCGTCAAATGCTCTATCCTCTCGGTGGTGATCTTGATCCGCTCTTCGGTCGACTGCTGCAGCTTGGCCTCCTGCTCGGCGAAATAGCCCTCGACGCAGTCCTCTTCGAAGTCGTACAGCCGTTCCATCTCGTCCTTGTCCAGGAAGAGCTTCAGCCCGTTGTCGTAGCTCTCCTCCACGCCTTCCATCTTCCTGCGGAAGTACTTGAACAGCAGGAAGACGTGGCAGAAGAGGATGAACGGCGGCGGCAGCAGCGGTTTCTGTTCGTACTCCATCACCACGGTGAATCTATGGAATGTTCGGTCGCGTTGAAAACACAAACAGTGTCAATAGGCCTTTCCAGTATCGTAAAATTTCACATTTTTATGTTATGATTGTTATGAAGGGAAATCAAAAACGTTATCCTGACCCCATATATATCGAGAAAATCGAACAAATGAATTATTCAATATATTCACCGAGGTGGGGAGTGATTCATTCCTGGCGTGAGATTAGTTAGTTAACCGAGACGCAAAGCGTCGAGGATAGCTATAATCTCGAGAAAGGAATGAAACTTCCTACCGAGGTTTGTATACTATTTTATTTACAACCATCATATTTAGACCAAAATTAATAAATCTCTTGTTTCGTTCTGAACATATCTGAAATATTACATAATTGAGATCGGGAAGTAGAGGTGTGTAATGACAACATTACATATATGGTTGTAAATAAATGCTATTTCAAAACCTGTGAATTCAAACGCTATTGAGCTGTGATGTCAGTGTCACTTTGCAATTTGATTGATTGGAGTTTGTGACATGTCTCTATGAAATCCTTGAATCGATGTTATGTGAAGATGGTACAATAAGGAATGCCATTATTCGAAATTACTATGTGGTATGTGATTAGTTGATTGGTAATTCACCACTGATCACATTCAATTTACTCTGAACTCCGAAATATTTCATTAACTTCAAGATTAGCTAGTATAAAATATGTGATGCAGGCATATGTAAGAAGCTTTTCATATGGTTTGGTTTGAGTTATGATGTTATGATTTTGTTGACTAATTATCATTCCCAGAAAATTTAATTGCTAATGTGGCAACTATGTTTAAAAGGAGAAAGAGATGAAGCAGCTGTTGTTAACACAATGTTGCCAAGTTAAAATACTTCATCCTCCGCATAATTTCACTGATCTTATTTCTCAATATCATTGACAAAAAGGCAGTAATTCTTGTACAGTTGTATTCAATAAAAAAGCGTACATGTATCAAAAAGAGAGGCCAACGTCATCCTAGTTCAAGTTGTGTGAAATTGGCTCAGCACGCCAACATCAATGCTTTTTATTTTTTACAACCTATCAGAACTGTCAACTTTTGGTAAACAATCATTCCCGATAGTCCGTTTTATGCAAATAGGATGATGTTATTTACTCTCTCTAATATACTTGTAAGCTTTTCCTTTGAATACAACCATACTAAAATCAATAAAAAATAGAACCAAGTATGCAATTTAGTATCCCTTGATTCAAAATTTGTTCCTTTCCCTATGACAGGTAGGTAAAGGTGAGTATCTAACCCTAAAGTATACTTTATGCTTTACTGGAAAGGATTTGGTAATGTCACTTACAATTTGTAATAATCCATCAACAGAAATTAACCATCTAACTAATTAGGCAGTATAATTTTTCACTATCACGAATTTTCAGGTGGGCAGGTATCATTGAGTTATCTAACATAATCTGTATTATTTGTTAAAATGAACAAATCGAGAAATAAATATTCGACTAATCATAGCTTGTCCAAATTGATATCATTGTCAAGTCCATTGTGAATTTTAATGGTACCCGCGAGAAGGTGAGGGCATTACCAATCCAAATTGCTCGCGCACTGACGTCACAGGTTTTGCAGCAATGTCTGATCGTTTAATTTCGCTCATGGATTTTAGCGTTTTCAATAATTTTTATACGATGAATTGATGAAAAAAAAAAATATTTTAAGGTATTCCAGAGCCATATATCGAGATATATTTTTTCTAAATGGCTGCTAAATGCCATTTGCGTTGCAGAGAGGTCGCTCCGGCCGAAACTTGAATTAATGTGAGTGCTTACATATGGATGAATAAAGTGAAGTTGTTAGTTCAATATATTGAAATCATAAAAAAAATCAAATCATGCCCAGTAGTATGATTATCTATTCTATTCATATTTTTATAAAATAATTTAGATTATTCACCTTCTTGTAATTTTACAATAGATTAAGTTCAGTCATGAAAATATTTAGAAAAAAACACGATATAAATATCACCATTATGAATGAATATAATGGGTGTTCATCAAAGGTCAACAAAATGAGTCAGTTGCAGTTAGTTACAGCTTCAAAAACAATAATTTTACGCTCTATTTACAGCATCTCAGATGTTGACAGTCATTCATAAACACCTGCTACATAAACCAATACACCTATTAGTTAATATGGGCATCAAAATGAGAGGTAATTTTTGCTCTACATGAACGGGCATAATGGAGAATGCCGGCCTAATTTCAATTATTTGATTCATTCCTTTATAATTTGAGTAGCTAAGTAATATGTTAATCATGTCAATGAGGAAATTTTCCTCGAACGAATTATCATCGAATTACTATTCAACTACCTAGTATAAGGTTTCTGATGTCTAAAATGGCTATTCAGATTATTTTAAATATGCAGTAAAATCAAGAATGCATTGAATTGTATATGGGTCATGATTCGATATTGCTGACATTACCAGCCACAGTAAGCAATTTAGGAACAGTAAACAATAGCAGTAGCTTTGAATTTTCATCTCATTTCGGACCCATTTTGGCAGTACTGGTAGACTGGCAACAAAAAGTAAACATAACCTATGATCTTTCGAGGTTCGATGTATTGTTTTGTTGGTTTTAATTCTCATCATTCTCATTAGTATCTTCTTTACTCATGCAGAAATTATGAATGGAGTGATTCATATCATCTTAGAAGACATGTTATCCGACAGTGACTCATCAGAAACACCAAGCATCAATCATCACACAAAATGCCAAGGTACCTCTATATAGTGATAAGGAAATGAAGCATAGTTGTGAAATATTTGAAGCTATCAAAAGTAGGAATAACTTGTAGATTAGTGGCAGTTTCAGCGTCTACTGCCACTGTGAGATCTTCCAGTTCGACTCCATACATTTTCCCAAAGTATTTGAAAATAATAATATAGAATTTTTATCGACTCATACCTAACCATTCAAACGCTTAACCTAACATTTCATGAATACTGGCACTACATCACCATCTCTGCACCAGTAAACTTTTAGTCTCTATTCGCTAACAAGGTTCTTTTGGAGGTCCAGTTCTGATATTACTGAATATACTGATGACAGTAATAACGGAACGATTTGAGTTTCAGTGAACTACTATTGCTGGGGAATAACGGAACGAATATCTAGCAGAGATGGTAGGGGTATGTCGTTTGCTGTCAAGGTATGAAAATGGGAATAATAGATTTATCTAACTCAAGTTTCTTCTGTACTGTACTAATTTTGTTAGAAAATATGGATGACCTTGTTCTATCTGTTAATGCTCAATTTTTTCATTCATCTGATGCTCGATGATGGCAGTAGCTCTAGCAAGTATTTCTAGTAGCAGTGATAATGAAATATATCAATTCCTACTAGATTAGATTAGATTTAGAATGGGGCCTTCGGGCTATCTGCCTCCACACCGCGACCTTTTCAGATCTATTGTGTCTGCCCTCAAAATCGATTAGAGTTCTTCGGCTAGCCCCGTCTTCTCTATGAGACTCCATAGGCTAGCTTTCAGATCCCCTGTGTATCTCTGGGCTTCTGGTTTTTCCTCACCCAGCGTAAGGAACCTTAGTCTTGACAAGCCCTCACAGTGGCAAAGTATGTGTACTGCTGTTTCCTCCTCTTCCTGACAGAACCTGCACAGCAGTTCTTCAGTCAGACCTATCGTACTCATGTGTTTGTTGAGCCTACAATGCCCTGTGAGAAGTCCCACTAGTATTCTAGTTGAACTTCGTTTCTGGCTTAGTAGATATTCTGTGAATGTTGGCGATGGTTTTTTAATAAACTCTTTTGCCTGTCTCATTCCTGGCGATTTGTTCCACCATTCTTGAGATTTAGTTTGCATCAATTCCTACTATGTATTGCAGTGATTTATATGTATACTTATCAATATAAGGTCAGATTATTCCTCGTCCAAGAGTATTCACTATTCAATTTCATTTCAATTGAATTGGATCAATTCCGAAGTCACACAAAACTACCAGAAACATTTTTATTACATCAGACGATGAATTCTTGTTCATTGGATTTTGAAATGGCAGGATTATATATTTATAAAAATCACTGTAAACACTCGAACAAACAGCCAATAAAGAAAATAATAATAATTATTATAACCATACTTTCTAGTTTTTCATGGATGAGAGGGGATATTACTGGCGCTACATGACCATTTGATGTCAGTAGCTAACGAAGAATTTCTAGCCTTGCACAGGATTCATTAACAAAAGGCGCTAAGCTAACCTAACCGGCCAGCAGATAACAGTAACAGTCTAGACTACTGAACAGTACTGTTTGGGACAGGGTTAGAAAACATAAAATCATCTCCACAACGTTTGATAATCAAGATTATTTAGGGGAACATGTTTGGACAGTCGTGTGACTGTTCGAAACATATTCCCCTAAATAATCTCGGTTATTAAACGTTGTGGAGTTGATTTTGTGTTTTCTAACCCTTCGATCACTACACTCCACTTAGAGAAAAGTATGGACTTCTACATAAGACTAACTGTTAGGGAATATCGGAACTCTACCGGAACATGGTAATAACCAAATAACTAAAAAACTATGTGAGCGAACAGCCAGTCAATTCTCGAAAATCCAATGAATTCCTCACCTTTGGAACATCCATACTTGGTGGGCGATGGCATTGACTTCGTTGAAGATATTGTTGAACACTGCGATGAGAAGGTTGATGAGGAGGATGTTGGCCACCAAGAGGTAGATCGACATGATGATGGGGGCGATCCATCGGCCCGTTTGGCAGTCTGGTTCATCTTCCCCGCCGCAAGAAGGATTAATTTTGTCGGCGTACACTTCACCGTACAACATGAAATAGGGCTCCAGAAACACCTGAAAAACATAAAAAAAACTCGTTCAATATTTTCGGGTAAACTGAAAAATTAATATCAAAGATATGAAAAAATGGAAAAGTTTGATAACAGAAAGTGTGAAAGTGAATTGTAAAATGTTCAAATGCTTAGTCACAAGGGTTTGATTGATTGTCAGATTACAGACGATTTTTATTGAAATGGTTCATATCGATAAATTCTACAACCAGTTCGAAAATATGCCTCACCATTGAAAACACCGTGTATCTTCAATGAATTCTTAATATCACAGGATATGATTCAGTGGACAGTATCCAACTATTATAAACAACATTAATGATAATGATGACGTATTGCCAATTTTAGATCACAAAGAATTCGAATCAATACTTTTTCGCCATATATTCCATGAATTTCAAAAAATGAGAAGCAGATAGTTTAAATATTTGACTTACATCTCGAGCTATATTCCAAGTTGGCTCTTTATTAGGATCTAGTATAGCTTGCCTGGATACACCAAAACTCATGAGGACGATCAACAAAAGAACAACGAAATATATCATGTTCTTCACCATTTTACCCATCATTGTTACCAAAGGACCTAAAAAGAATTACCTATCAGTTACCTACTTTCCGAACAATGTATAATCTCGAAGCATTCCAAAGTCATATATCATTCCTTGAAATTACTAAAAACGCCCAAAATGTCTATATTTCTCACTGGTGACATCGTTCCTGAGTTTTAATTCATTGAAATGTGACTTATTTTCGTTTCCAAGTGTATAAAAATGGTAGAAATTAGAGATTGTGTGTGCCTTATATTAAATACATTAAGATGGTATTGAACATCGTCGGAGACGAGAGATCAAACATAAATTCCACGTCAAGCAAATATGAGGCCTGTTATCTGTAGATCTGCTATCGCTCATTGCAAAGAAAGAAACAGTTTAGGCTTAGTAGTTTCCTCACAATTCCAATTTCCAACAATTAGGTTCCAACCTATCAAAGCAAAAATATTTATACTCAATTAGTCTATATCCATTTTTCAATCCTCATGTCGAGGTCGCGAGTCAAGTGGTTATTTTCCTGCTTCTAGGGCCTGTGTAATGTGGTAATTACAAGCATAGCAACGACGAATACGTACTCATTGCCTGTCGACAAAGACACTTGACTCCCAACGTAAATACTCGAATATGAACGTGATTTTCATATCGTTGCTTCGATGGTATCATCGCTCTACATGTGCTCTGCCTAATTTGCATCATATGAAAACGGATAGCTTCCTATATTATGATGAAGGAGATCGATATCAATATCACAGCGATCAAGCCAACTCAGGTTGTCTCACCGCTTGGACTCATTTACCACTGTTACCACTAGCCGGCAAGCAAAAACCAACTTGTTTGGTGTTCAAGTTCACTAAAATTTTTTTAGCAAAAGTTCGGTGAGAACCTAAACGCCATTGAGATACCATTTCATGTTATTACAATCTGCAAGCTGACTCAAATCACACTGACACTACACAGCCCACTGTAGACATTCCTATGAGTACAACGATTCTCCTGTGTCTACAATTTCGTCAAATTATCTCGTCATTGGGGAAGCTTAAATTCAATTTTTCCAACAAGAGGTGTAGATTTGTGATATTTAGTTATTTTTCAATAACTTAGAATGGAATTATTCGGCAGTTGACAATAAGCAAAAAAAAATTCAAACACCTCGCAAATGTTGTTGGCTGCACCTATATTCCACGCTGGTCACTACAACTTTTCTTTCCTATTTCTATATAAGTATTTTTGTAGTAAGAAACATCACAAAGTTGCATCTTTTTATTATCCTAAATGGATCTAAGTTTGACAAGTTCACATCATGTAAGATGGGTACTATCAGTTCTCGCTCATCTATTCTTTTGGTTATATCGGACTTTAAGTGTTTGATAGAGTGACCGTACTCTGAATATAAAAAAAAAAAACGTAAAAACAATAAGTGTCAAGAAGTATACTAAAGAACTCCAATAAACACATGGTTTTCATATCGTTGCTTCGGTGGAATCATCGCTTTACATGTGAAAATGAATAGCTTCCTCACCCAGACATTTATTCACACCCAAAATATTCAGGATCCTCAGGTACCAGTAGATACAATTCACGCAGTAAACGACCCTGCCCATCGAAGGTATCATGCCTCAATTTTGTCAAATTATCTCGTCAGTAAGGAAGCTTAAATTCAATTTTACCAACAAGAGGTGTAGATTTATAATATATTGTTATTTCATAACACCTCAGAATGGAATTATTCGGCAGTTGACACTGATAAGCAAATTAAAATTAAACACCTCGCAAATTTTGTTGACTGAACCTATATTCCACGACGACTACTTCATGATGTCTTTCCACTTTATTGAACATTTTTGCAGTTAGAAATAGCACAAAGTTTCACCTTAGTGAATTTGTTCTTAGTTTGACAAATTCACATCATGTAAGTTTGGGCACTGTCAGTTCCCGCTCATCTATTTATTTGTGGTTATGTATGATTTTTAGTGTTTGGAGTGTCCGTACTCTAAATATGAAAAAACGTCAAAACAAGGCTCAAGAAGTACTTTAAGGAACTCCAATAAGCACATGCTTCGCTGGTATCGTCGCTCTACATATGAAAATGAATAGCTTCCTCACCCAGATATTTATTCACGCTCAAGATATTCAGGATCCTCAGGTACCAGTAGATGCAATTCACGCAGTAAACGACCCTGCTCATCTCGAAGGTATCATGTTTCAATTTCGATTAATTATCTCGTCAGTAAGGAAGCTTAAATTCAATTTTACCAACAAGAGGTATAGATTTCTAATATTTTGTTATTTTATAACACCTCAGAATGGAATAATTCGGCAGTTGACACTGATAAGCAAAAAAAAATCAAACACCCCGCAAATTTTGTTGACTGAACCTATATTCCACGCCAACTACTTCATGATTTCTTTCCACTTTAGTTAATATTTTTGCAGTTATGAACAGTACAAAGTTGCACCTTATTATTTTCCAAGTTTGTTCTTAGTTTGACAAATTCACATCATGTAAGTTTGGGTACTGTCAGTTCCCGCTCCACTATTTGTTTGTGGTTATGTTTGATTTTTAGTGTCAAGGATCAAGAAGTACTTTAAGGAACTCCAATAAGCACATGCATCGCTGGTATCATCGCTCTACATATTAAAATGAATAGCTTCCTCACCCAGATATTTATTAACGTTCAAGATATTCAGGATCCTCAGGTACCAAAAGATGTAATTCACGCAGTAAAAGACCCTGCCCATCTCGAAGGTAACATGCTTCAATTTCGTCAAATTATCTCGTCAGTGGGGGAGCTTAAATTTAATTTTTTTACAAGAGGTATAGCTTTTTAATATTTTGTTATTTTATCACACCTCAGAATGGAATTATTCGGCAGTTGACACTGATAAGCAAAAAAAAATTAAACACCTCGCAAATTTTGTTGACTGAACCTATATTCCACGCCGACTACTTCATGATTTCTTTCCACTTTAGTGAACATTTTTGCAGTTAGAAACAGCACAAAGTTGCACCTTATTATTTTCCTAATTTGTTTTTAGTTTGACAAATTCACTTCATGTAAGTTTGGGTACTATCAGTTCCCGCTCATCTATTCATTTGTGGTTATGTATGATTCTTAGTGTTTGATAGTGTCCGTACTCTAGATATGAAAAAACGCCAAAACAAGGGTCAAGAAGTACTTCAAGGAACTCCAATAAGCACATGCTTTGCTGGTATCATCGCTCTACACATGAAAATGAATAGCTTCCTCACCCAGATATTTATTCACACTTAAGATATTCAGGATCCTCAGGTACCAGTAGATGCAATTCACGCAGTAAACGACCCTGCCCATCTCGAAGGTATCATGCTGGAACCGGAACCCCATTCCCACTAGAAACATGAGCACGGCCGCCATGTCGCACGGGTTCCACATGTTCCACGACCACACGGCGAACTTTTGCGCGAATCCTACTGGTTCAGACGAGAAGAGTTCGCGCAGTTTCTCGCAGCCGAGCGATATGATGAAGGAGATCGAGACGAACTCCTGCCAGGAGGGGAAGTGGTACATTCTGACTAGGATCGTGTAGCTGAACAGGACCAGGAACACTATGTACGCTATCTGAAAACGGAAGAGTCCATCGTTTGTCAAACTCAAGTGAATGGGCGAAGAAGTATAAACATTTCACACTCTGTTGTTATAGACATTTTGATTCCATGGAAGAATGGCTGGCAATGTATCATTGCATTTTATGAGTACGTAATATCGGAGATACCTACCCAAACTATCGCCCTGATAGTTTCTGTGGTTTTATATGTGTTTATTGAATTGTTCTGAATGTTTACTTGTTGCTTGTATATAAGTATACCATATTTATATCAATAAACATACATACACGTGCTATATGAATATAATAGAGAAGAATAGATTCATTTGATCACGTAATATTTTTCAAGATGTTTGTGAGGAGTCATAATAAACGTAAAATGTTCAGAGAGAATGATCAGTGATAGATTGTTTCACGGATTACAAATTTCAAAGGACACAAATTCATGAAACAATTGAGAAAAAAATCAACGCACAAAAACAAAGCATAAACACAGTTCCCTTCGGCATTATAAAAACAGTTTTCTGTTATAAACTCTTTGACGAAAGTCTTGGGCGGACCGATCGCCATGCACCTCACTATATCAGGAAGGATATTATTTATCATTATTATTATCTATACTAATTGGAAATATTTCAACTATAGAATCCTGATATCGAAATATGACTTTTTTATGTTATGATGAATCACAACCAAAATATATAACAGAATTGACAATTCAAAATACCAGTAATTTGCTTGTGTACTGATAGAATATCTAAAGCTTATATGATCAAATGAGTGTGACAAGGAAACATGTTGCGGAGTCACATCCATTGAACAAATGGTAACTTCGAACGCAAATATCTTTTTTCGAATTGACTCGGCTGTTACTTGATCCATGACAAATGTAAAAACTTCACAAACGATAAAATTTCCACAAAATTCTCAAACACACAACATGTTTCGCTAACACAGTAGCTTCGTCAGGTGATATACTGGTACAATGAAGCGGATGTTGAATTCGTTTTCTTCTCCAAAAAATTCATCTTATGTTCATGAATGCGCTGATTAAACGTACGACCTGTCTGACCGATATATACCTTAGGACAAGATCCACAGTTGAGTTTGTATACTCCTGATATCTTTCGTGATCGTTTGGAATAACCTCATCAAACCCGGTATCGTTGAACTCGTCATGATTCGATTATGGAATGAAATCATTTAAAAATCATAAGTTGGGGTCGTTTCCGGTGGAATCGGAAGTGATAGAACAAAAATGGTTTTGTCAATAAATGAGCAATTTGGTAAACTTGCTACCCACCGACTTTCGAAATCTGATCTCCAGCCGTTTTTTGTGCACTTCTCTCTAAACTATACACTTCTCTGTATATTCAATGACAAAACATGTAGATTTTACTTGATGCAATAAATAAATGAATAAATAAATGAATAAACTCAGATCACCCAGATAAAATGTCTGTCTGTCTGAGTTACGAGATGTTTTATTTAAAAATTTATGAATTATTTGTGTCTAGTACTTTGAAACTAATTGACCTATCATTGTCATATTGGGCAGGAAGTCTAGATACTATACACCCTACTTAATTATATAGAGTACGACAGGGGCAATTGACTAGCCTGATCCTCCCTAAATTTAACCACATTGGCGGAATTTCAATTTTATCACAATGTTACTATAATTCAATATTTTCCATGTACATATTCTTTCTTCAATGCGATAAAGTCATTATTTTTCGAGATATATCAAGTTAAACATTGAGCTGTAAAATTATTTTCGTTTTGATGTGTATTAATTATGTCGATATTGATCAATGAATTGTATTCATCAATCTAATGAAACTTCAATCCATATTTACAAAACAAACATAATAACCTAACAGACAAGACTATCTGAGGCGATCCATCTTACAGTGGAGTGAAGGCAATAGGACAGGAAGAAGGAGTAGACTGTAAGAATTCCGTCCTGTCCTAACAGACAAGAGCTGTTAAAAGGTGTTTTGAATTTTTGAATATGATAAATAATAAAACACCTAGGAACAGCTCCTGTCTGCTATGTTATTATGTTTTTATTGTTGATATGGATTGAAGTTTCATTTAATTGATGAATGCAATCCATTGATTCAAAATATCACTATGAAGAAAACTTAATAACATCAGACAAGAGCTGTTACAAGGGTTTTTAAATTTTTCAATATAATAAATAATAAAACACCCAGCAACAGCTCCTCTCTGCTATGTCATTATGTTTTCATTGTTAATATGGATTGAGCTTTCATTTCTTGCCCCTTGTTTCGGAGTTTATATCCAAGAAAGAGAATATAGAATATTGTGTCAAAAGGGCCTAACGAACTTACAAAATGTTAAGAAAGATGCACTTACCGAATTTGACCAGAACTTTGTTATAGGTGCAGTATAAAATTCGTACAGCTTTTTCTTCATCCTCAACTCTTTGCCCTTACTGACTTGGGCATGGAATTTGGACTCGTCGAATTCAGACATGATTTTACCGTTTTCGTGTACGATAGTGTTCTTAGTTATGAAATTTTCCGTCAAAAGAGCCTGCAACATTGGAGAACGTTAAAATATCGAAATTATGGGACATTGAAGTGTTCACATAACAATAGGTAAGAGTGAAACGGAGACAGTTCAAGCCAGGAAGCATAGTTCATAAGAAACAAGGTATCAGATAGAACATTAAGTTAACAGACTTTCAGATGGGTATATTATTATTATTAGATAGATAGATAGATGTGCTCTGTGATGAATTCACTTTTCTAGATTACTTTGTTAGCAACAATGACTGTCCTACATAACCTATCAGGTCTAATTCTGGTCAAGATAATACTGGATAAGGAATCCATCGAGGATGGACACCCATCTTGAGATTTTCATCACGGTCCTATTCACATGTGAAGTCTATCGGATTTCGTGATTAACAGCACTTCCTATCGTAGTACCATGAATTCATTATTTCACAAGGGATTTTTGGAGTTCAATAAATTGTCAGAGTCTGTGAAGGGATCTGCTTCACTCATCCAGTTCAAAGCTAATTTGAAGGAATTCGTCCTAAATAAGTAGCTAAGTATGGTCTTCATGGTGTATTCCATATGTCTATTTAGAATTTTATCTTTTTTATGTTTATATTGCCGTTTATTGTTATTCTACTGTTTTTAATCTTATTAGTCTACTTTCAACGTAGGTATTTCATGATAGTCATTTTAACATTTCTGTTCTGCAATTGTTCAACTCAGTTTTCATCTCTGTATACATATGTGTATATATATTGTAATATGCCTTCTAATTTAATTATGTATATTAGGGTTCCTAATCAAATAAAGGTCTATCTACAGTTGTAGAAAAAATACAAAATAAATAAAAACATTAAACGTAAGAAACAAACTCAAATTGTCATTATGTAGTTGCTAACAGAATAATGTCATTATTGAAATAATTTGAAGTGAAGATTATATTATTCATATCTGATAGTCTGTTGTGATGGTGACGAAACAACAAGCACTGCCGTTGGGGAGGTGAAACTGACATTCATAAGAGTGGGAAAGAAGAGAATCGTACAATAAACATTGATAAAAAAGACACATTTTGGTCAGGCTTTTGCTACCTTTACACCCTGTGGGGTTGGCTGCTTGCTCCGAATACTCAAACTTCGAGCACGCTTCTAAAAGAACAACAGATCAGCTTTAATAGGAGAGGTGCTCATGACGTCATCAATAGAGGTAAAACAACCAGAGTATTAGGATTTTTCGAGAGGGATTAGGATGTTGGTTTCTTTTGTTTTTGTTGAATAACATTTTCCCCAATGTTATTTTCTATTATAAGGGAATACTACGTCTATATAAGGTGGGGTATAATTAATGGATGCGAAAAAATTCAACTTTCAACAAACGCTCAAATAATTGCGTTGTTTTAATTGTGTTAATAAAAACACTCGATTTAATTGAAATTGGTATAAGGACTTTGATACCATGTTTCAATAAAAATGATTCAAGTTAGGACATAATTACATGAACTTATTTTGGTGAAATACATTTTATCGCAATCATTCATTATATCATAAGAACATTATGCTTTTGGAACAGTAATAGGTTCACATGAAATTTTGTGTAGTGTGCAGGTATGGATATACTGAGTGTTTCCGAATTTGAAGCTATGAATCAAACGAATTTTATTTCAAACTTCCACCACATGACATCTTTCAACTATTATTAAACGTCCGGCAACATTTTGGAAATGATTGACGCTTCCTTTGCTTGTAACCACTAATCGATTCACAAAAATTCCAGGAAAATTCTGAAATTTAGTACCTCCTAAAATAATTATTTCAAAAAATACTTTAATTATCCTGTTGTCTACGAGTACCTACTTCATTTATCGCTCCAATTTCAGAAACACTCTATAGAATGTAAGTTACAGGTTGTTTTACGTCCAGTGTCAGTTGTCATGCATCTTTCCAATGGCAGGGAGGCCCGGTATTGCTCCAGCGTAGCATCACTAGAGTAGTTAGGGGTCATCTGTCATCTACATGACATGGAAATCATGAAAACTCGTTTGAATAAAGTGAGGTTACGTTGTATCTGAATTCTCGAGGAATACAAAGACACAATGAAACTTTATTGAGTCACAATTATTAATTGAGTAAATGTAAAAAACTTCACAAACAAAGTATTAATATCATGACGTGTTCCGCTAATACAGTAGCTTCTTCAAGTGAAGTACTCGTGCAATAAACTGTACAATAAAGTTTATTGTACCAGTAATAAACTGTACAATGAAGTTTATTGTACCAGTATTTTACTTGGAAAAGCTACTGTGTTAGCAAATCATATCGGCAGAGTCAATTGAAAATATTAATGAAGTTTCCGAAACAAATTTTGTTCCTGCAAATAGATTAATGAAGACTGACAGCTAATGTGACCTCCAAACTTACCAGAGGCATCTGCTTTCAGCTTTACAGATTACCTGCCATTGGTTTATTGGTGCATTACAAAGATCTAAGAATATTCAACTACTAGGTGCGCCCTTACACGTATTTTGCTAAGCATTGAAAGTAACATTAAGAGAGAGGAAAGATAAATCGATATGACTGCATGTGTAACACAGTCAGACACTGGTTTCACCTAACCATCAGGTGCATGGTAGTTTGTCGAATTCATTTGTTTGGTTCTCATCAACTAACGATCAAGGTTGTATTTGCAAATATCAACGTGTTAAATTCAAACCGTCAAATGATTTTGTTGCACCATGTTGGAGTTGCACCATGTTGGATCCTGTGTCTCAGTCATATGTTATTTGCCATACCTCTTCCTATGTGGCAACATCTAGCAGTTCAATATTATTAGATATTTGGTACATTGAGAGTTTGACAGATAACTCACCCTGGAGTTAAACATCCCCAATTTTATTGTTTGTTATGGTTGGAGAGTATGTTTGTTTCTAGAGGAAATTTGATAATCCTGTTACTTAAAGATATGGATCATTGCACGAAAAATTGTGTATTTTCTCAATATTTCTTTGATGAACATTATCATGCTTGAAGAAAATGTTCGCAGGTTCAATCTCAATATAAACACAATAAAAATACTCTTGAGAAAGCATTCTGACATACTAAAAGATTGTTACCTCTAGGGTCGGTTATCTGTTAAACTTTCATCAAACCAATGTGGTTTGGGGTTATGTCTGGGAATAGGAGACATATTAGAGGTACATTGTAAATGAAGCATCTCGTTTGTGGAGGAGTCAAATTGGTTTGCTTATTTTTGCCATAATTGTTTGTGGTAGTGAAAATTTAATTAGAAAAGCATAGACATCAAACACAGGAAGAAAGTAAAGTTGAAAGGAATTGAAGAGCAACAAAAATAGATTGGAACTATTATTGTTTCATATCGATTATTTTTATGGAAAAAAAATACGAAACATTGAGGAAGTTAGTTTGAATTCCACACTTGTGATTATCTGGTTTTGAGAGAAGAACGCTGAAATAACTGATATAAATTGTGTAAACTGTGTAATCTTTTACCAGAATATATGAACAAAAATACATGTTTCCATTATTGAAATGAAAACCGACAATAACTGATGTTGAATCATAAAAAAATCGAGTATGGTGAAGACCAAACTCAAAGTGAAAGTGGAGATACAGAGAGGTAACAATTATAAACATTGTGAGAACATTAACATTTCTCAGGAATTGAAACATCAAATCCCATCATCAAAGTTGAAAAGACACTAAAAAGCATTCAGCTTTTGATACTAACAAATCTCAATGTTCCCACAATGTTTGTAACTCCTTCAACTCCAACCATGTAATATTTTTTCCTCAATATATTGTGTAAATTAACTATGCTCTTCTTCTGAATCCTCATGTACCATTTGGGTAGTATATAGTCATATATATAGAAGAAGCAGAAAAATTTAAAATCAAATTTAAGAAATATCTGCTCAGTAAATATACTTTTTCGGAAAATATATAGGTGTTTTGAGCAATTTGTTTGTGATATCTAGTTACTTCCCTTGTATCCCCTATATTATTCCAGTCTTCAGCAATAGAATCGCGAGTGTGGATTTCACATAGATAACCTCGTACAATTTGTGGACTCAACAGAGGTACTTTCGAAATTATATACGCATTCAAGTTCTCGAGAATTAGAGCTTGAATATTTCATGCTACAAAAACACCCTTAACACGAAAAATAGTACAATGGTGCAGATAGCCTGTGCAAGGGTGGTAAAAGTTCGATAAGATTAGCTTACTTTCGGATAAAACTCAATGTATTGTGTAACCACCTTATGCTAAAAAATACGCATTGATATTATCACAGTTTACTGATAGATGGCGTTAGTATCGACTTGCCAGAGTGTAGTTCGCCTTGCCACTTACTTCGCCGTCTTGATTTTTCTCCGAGTCTGATTTGTCATCGTCCTCGTTCTCTAACTCCATGTGCTCCTCGGTCGTTTGGGGCATGAGCTGGAGCTCTTCCTTCGACTTGAATTCGAGGGTGAAGATGTACGGCATGAAAAGCAGACCGATAATAACCTGGAAGTTCGAATAAACGGTTCGTCCTTGATGGATTCAGGCTACAAAAATGGTAGTTTCTCTCGAGCGAAATATCATAAACAGAGTATAACGACTGAAAATGGAAGTTACGTTATTTGCCGACAATACGTGAGATAACTATAGGCATTTCAGAGGATGACGGATTTCATTAATTGACGCCGACATAATAATATATACCCATAATTTTAGAATCTTAAATTCATGTTTCGTATATAATTCTCATTTCATCAGGTATTCAGTATACAGTTTTAATCTTCTCCTGAAGATGCTAGCGAAACACGTGTCTTGGCGTTTAAAAATTCGGTTTGGTTAGTAATAAAACAGTGTAGTGTATTATCGTGCCAAAGGTTCCAGTCTTCGATATATTATCAAGACTATCCATTGATTGTAAACAAATACTGTTTAAGAATGAAATATTATGTCTCCCCTCTTTTAATATGTCGATATGTGCCACCGTGAGCCTCACCTTGATGTTCGTGTTCTTCCTCGTCCGCAAACCGCCCATCCACAGATCGGCGAGGATGATCTGGGAGCAGGGGTGCGCCAGCAGTGCCCTGTGATTGGCCGTCACCGCCAGACTGAGACAGGTGTGGCCCGACCAGTTCTGCAGCTCGCAGGTGAGCAGCTGCTGCGTCTGATCGTCGTCTTGCCGGTAACAGTAGTCTAATACTTCTAAGCCTATAACATACATTTAATATTGTACAGGGTGTTTCCTTATATTTTGATCCCTACCAACAGCTTCAACTATACGAGGTGGAAAAAAACTTCAAATATGGAAGTTGAAAGGTTTCATCTGTACTATCTTTTGGCATTTGTTGAATACACAAATGCTAATCGCAAAATAGAAAAAAGAAGTCCAAATCAGTTTTTTTGGTGGAACACCCTGTATATTTTCAACTGCTATGAAAGATAGTTTTCTTCTGTTCACAAATATACAGGGTGAGTCGGGAGGAACGCATCAAACTCCAGCTGTGTATTGTGCACGGAAAAATAATTTAAAAAAACCATATGTTAATATACGATTCTCATTTGTTTCCATCCTAATTTTGAATAGATGTGTGTCATTTTATAGGACTTTAATCGTACAAACTAGATTGTTTGGTCCGTTTTGTTGTTCTTACATGTGTAAGTGTCAGTGTCAGTGTGTTTCACGCGTTTATTTTCGAGTTTGTACGATTGAAGCCTCATAAAATGTCACAGATCTATTCAAATTTGGAATGAAAACAAATGAGAATCGTATAAGAACATATGTTTTTTTTTAATTATTTTTACGTGTATATAGTTAGCTGATATGCACATACTGTTGGAATCAAGATTATACTTTTTCTTCATATCATATCATAAATCAACATGTGTCCTAAAATCCAACCCCTCCGAGCTATGGCAACTGTAGTTAGTATATTAAAGATGAAATATTATCTGAAATTGTGAGTTGAAATAACGGATCATATTTTATGAAAATTGGCATGCTCCTGTCCTTTCAGACACTTTACTTCTTTCTTGCTTCAAAAATTATGTGAACCCAGTTTTAGGGGAGTTGGAGGAAGGTCCTCACTTTTATTGGCGGAAATGGGGTGCATTTTTACATAAAGAAAAAGTCTAATTTTGATTCCAACAATACGTCCTAAAAATATTAAAAATTTTGAAACACACTGTATATTTATTTAAGAAAATCGGCTATTCGCGATTGAAAATAACACATCGCCCTACCTGACGGCAGCAACTGAGCACAAATGTGAACTAATGAAAACAAAGTAAACATGCCGCTTTGAAAGCTTTAAAGAACTCCGATAGGTGGCGTACGGCTTATTTTCTATCGCGATTATCTTCGTAGCCCTTTGACATAACCCCATCATAAAGTGTGGAATGAAATACAGGAAGTCCCATTCGAAGAAATCAACTACTGCCTTGTAAATCGTTTGTTCTGAGCACCCTTAATTTTCTGATGTAGCAGATATTTGAAAAAAAAAATCATTTCAAATGATTTTTCAAATTTTGAAATCAGTTCAAAAATAGCTGAGCAAGAAGGGGGGACATTTATGGTGACCCACCCGTATATTGGGCATGATAATATTATTATTTATATTTCAATTTTATCGACATGATACACATCGACATAAGAAAATAAATTATTGGGTAAGTTGTCCCCATCAGAAACAATGAGGAATTGGGAAAACATTAGCAATCTGTCCTTATGGATTCTACTAATATAACAATCAGTTCATCGTATTGAATATTGAACCCGAAATTGTTGTTAGGGTTTTTCCAGTTTTCCTACCCGGACATTATCTATTGTATTCTTGAACACACAACCAATTGTTGTGATCGCGAAGAGTGGTGTTAAAATATTTTTTCCAATGAGAATAGGAAGAATCGGTGAAAGTAAAAACAATCAAAGGGACTGAAACAATGATTTATGCACTAATTTAGTCCACATTGATTGTTACAGAGTGTCATTCAAGTTCTTCCCAACTGCTGGCAATCTTTCTCAGTTATAGCAGTAGATGTACCAGTACAAGAAGTACACAATTTGTGTCCGTATAATATGATATTAAAACTATTTTAATAATGATGAAAATGATGAGGATGATGAAATTGATGAAAATTATGAAAATAATTATTGAACTTTGTCAAATCAAAGAAGTCAACTGTCAACAAAGAAGCTCAATAAAGTTGGTAAAAATAATGTTACATGGGAAAATCAAATCCTGAAATTTCATGATTTTTCTCACCGATATTTTCAAATTCTTTGCCATAACTTCGCAACTCCTCATAAACTTCAGTTTCCATATCGTCTTCGGCTGCCTCGTGAGCCATCGCTTTGTAGAGTTTGCAGGCCACTAGGGCCTTAGCTAAAGCCTCTTCGCCGTGTTGCCACATCAGCAACGCCATTTTGTGCCTTTTCATAAGCACTGCCCAGATCTAAAGACATTACTTCTAAAGGAACTGCATTTTATAGTTACATACAAAATAGTTTGTTGAATAGACTAATTTCTTTAACTTGTCGAAAATACAATTTGTACAATTATTTGTATATCTACACCCCCACTTTTCACATATTTGCCTTTCAATTTGTGTATGTATGTGATGTTATGTAAAGTCTTAGGATGAAAGTGAGCTACAACAAAGTTAGTACTTACGAGTAACTCGTTGAAGGGATAGTCGAACAAGCAAGGGCTCGCACCCCCAGGAATGCATCCGGGGATCAGCCCCATCGCTCCCAAATTCCTACCGGAAGTGTGAGCCATGCTGTGGCCTTTGTTCATGATCTTCGCATAGATTGGCCGAAATTTCCTCCTCGTGTATAAAGCCCTTAAAAATAATATGTTGTTTCAGAGGAATCAATGAGCAGTTCAGCTAGCGTTGAGTCAGAAAGAAAATGTCTTCTCTAGAGTGACTTTATAAATAGAGTGACGACAATAGTGGTACATTTTTTGATTGGTCAGACCTTTGATATGCAGGTGAACCTCTGTCTTATTTTCTCCATTCAGTTCTACGGATTCCATTTCACTCTGATGTCAATGCCTTGTCTCTGTATTCTGCTCTTTGGACACAAAACATCTAACGATCAGAAATGAAGCTCTATAGGTCAGTACCTTGGATATTAACTATTAGAATCCGTCTTCTGGGGACTGGCAAGTCTCGTAAGTAAGATTGTTCAGATGAAAATATCAAATATCTGAACCTTACATCGGTGGGCACTTCGAAGGCGCAAATTCATTACTGCATGGGCGATACCCTTCAGATTTTTTGCTATTCAGTGACTTGACCACGAATGACATTGCGGAAACAGCAGACTTTTGAAGGTCTATTGTCGTCAGTCTATTCAATCTACTCACTCTCGTCTTCCCTATCTGTCCATGTCTTCAGTGTTCCAACATGTAATAGTCAACATTTTATGTTGGCGACACTGGAAATGGTGAGAAAAAGAGAAGAAGACCATTCCAACTTTTTTTATATTGAGGTTAATACGATCTTCTAAATTTTTTTTCATTTTCAATGTTACTAATATGTAGATTGTAGATGGGTCGTATAGGCTGGGAGACCTCTCGATCACTGCGACCTAGATCTATCGTGATTACCCCTATCTAGTTTTGATCCTCTAACCCTAGACTTCTGATGAAGCCTACGATTTTCTTGACGGTTGACTTTTCCACTTCAGCAGGGGTGAGATAGACCTGTTCTAGGTGGTTCAGCCTTTGGCGGACTAATACTTCACATGAGCAAAGTATGTGTTCCGCGGTTTCGGTCGCATTGTTACAAAAGCGGCAAGTGTCAGTCTCCGCATGTTACCAATATAAAATTATCATTATTTTACGTTGGAACAATGAAGACAAAGACAGTTTGGGAAGACATATTATCTCTCTCAAAGATAGCTGAGCTACTCAATTAGAACATAAGAATAAATTGACTTTATTGAAGTTTGCTTCAAATTAATGATGTTGATGAACGGGAACTTCTCCTATGGGGGTTTGCGTTTGTATTTGTAGCCTTTACATGTTCCTCCTTGTTTCTGTTCTTTGTTCACAATGTTGTTTCATTAGTTTTAGTATGCATTTGAGTCATATTGATTACTTGTATCTACATACTTTGTGCACCAAAAAATGTGGAGCATATGGAAAACTAATTTAATATTGTTTTTTCAGAAAAATATGTTCATTCGATGAAACGGTTTCAATTTGAAAATTCATAAATAGGCTATATCCTAGATCACATCATTATAGACCATGTTGTTCTAATGAAGTACTAATAGAAGATAAAACGTCGACTAAGGTGGAAAAAATGGTTAACTTGTGACTGTCACTTATAAAATACTTGGTATCATTTTGTATGTAGACAAGTCATACCTATAGGCCCCGCCCATCAGTTTATTGATGACCAGACCGATATCGTGCAGAGTGTAGACGTAGCCGGGAGGCAGATGGGGTCTAACGTCCCTCAAGATATACCCCAACGTATTGCTAGGTCCCTGCTTGGAGTTGTAGAGGTTTTCTAATCTAGGTATTGTCAAGAACTTGCGCATGCTCACTCCGTTCTCCAGCAGCAGTTTAACGAAATCGCACCTAAAACACGAAAAAAAAGTGAACTTCAACGAATAACTCCTAATAAGTATAAACAGTAACAACACCACCACCAAACTCTGCACTAAATTTCAGTTATTAGTAATTGGCGGGTTCAATAATGTGCTGTCCATGTCTTCTACTGTATTCTTAACTGGAATTTAGCATCTAACTGTTGAGTTGCGATTTACAGGGAGAGTTAGATGATAAATGATGATCCCCATGTTTACTATGACATGTTACTATTGAATGAATGATTATATCTCCATCTAATGAACCAACAATTATAAATCTGAGCTAGCTCACTTTATTTCTCCCGCAACACACCGATATATAGCAAATTCCAGTTGAGAATAAAGTACCATTCAACAGCAACATGGAGGTGTTAAGATACAGATCTATTGGTAAAATTCCCTTCTTTTGACGGTGTCCAATGATATGAATCATGTCACCACGCTCAAGCAATGAGAATGGAGAATAAAGTTTTTGACTAATCAATAAAAGCACTCTGACAAGACTACCATTCACATGGATTTAGTGGTAATCAGCGAGATCCGGATATTTATCAAGTGGATCACAGACTTTAGCAGCAATTAACTGTTATTGCACGTACAATGAATGACATTTTGGTCCTGCTCGCACATAAATAATACAGTCTCGTTAGTATGATAATTCTATTGTTAGCAACGATATTCAAATCAGCTTGTGATAAGGCATTCCTTCGGCGTTCTTCTCAGTTATGGGGTGATTTGAACATCGTTGCTAACACTATGGTGATAGCGTACCTGTCGTGCTCCAAGGCTTTGATCATGGCGTCCTCCAGCGCCCCCGGCGGCCATTCCTGGCCGTACACGAAGATCTCCGATCGCGCAATGTCGGCCCGGTTCCACGTGAGCGCCAGGCTGAGCTGCTCGGTGGGCGAGAGGTGCTGCGACTTGAAGAGTGCAGTAAGCACGATCTGGTCGAGCTCTTGCGGCTTCTGGTCGTACTTGTCGGCTATCCTGAACACGGTAATCTGCACGGTAGAGAAAAAAGTGAGGATCGCACCATTGCAGTCGCAAAAAATCATACAATAAAATAAAAATCTTTGTCGGCGCAGTTCCATATGAGCGCCAGAGGTACTGCGATTTAAATAGCGCAGTAAGCACGATCTGGTCGAGCTCTTGCGGATTCTGGTCGTACTTGTCGGCTATCTTGAACACGGTAATCTGTACAATCGAGAAAAAGGGGGGTACCATAGCAGTCGCAAAAATCATATATTTGCGTAATTTGCGCGGAAGAGAAAAAGATGGTAGGTTGAAGGAATGTTTATACTGACGAAATAAATATATGAAGCTTAATTCAAAATTATAACCATTCCCATTGTTATATAATATTTGTATGTAGATCAGTCAAACCATTTTTTATATTAAAATAAGAACCATGTAACACAAGGGACAAATGAAGAACAGTGTAATTCTGATTTTCATGACATGAGCTGTCTTTCTTTCAATGATCATTGAATTAATTGATTAACTATTGAGTTATTCAACATGGCAAAGTTGTGAAAAGTGTGAAAGTATACTATTCCACCTTTCAATTTACAGAAACCTAGAATTGAAGAAATAATAAGAAAAAGCTGTGTATAGAAAAAATTATGGCAGATTACATAGGGTGACTGATAGCACAATGCATGTAAGAAGACGGACGAATTAAAAACTCATGAACTCATGAACGATTAAAGGAATGAACATCGCTGAGTTGAATTAATTTTTAATAGCACTCATCAAGTTGTTTTCAACATGACATGTCGCAGCGACAATGGCTGCTTATCAAAATGTAATCTGTATTTTACTCCCTTTTGGAAAACACATTTCAATATGTTTGTACCGTATTTTACCATAATGTCGATAATTTCAAACTGGACCAGACATATTTTTATGGACAAATTTTCTTGTTAACCTGACGAGTATGCACTGATGATGACTCAACAGTCGAAAGCGCAGAGCTACGAGTAATAAATTTGAAATAATCTTGCACGAAATACAACACTTCCCTTCTTTGGTTTAAGAAAAAAATCCCAATTGTGAACTTATTGATGATTCTTCATTTTTCATCATATTGAAACCTTTTCCAGCGCATAGAGAATTCTTAGGTAAAACGTTATTGAGAAGAATGTTACCAATTGTTTTCTCAATATACTAACGAGATATTCTCAATTTTCTATTTCATTGAATCCCAATTTTACAGTTAATTCAGACGAATTTTTTTAGGGAGTAATCACGCAAGTATTCACTACACACTGTTCACTAACCAAACCAATTTTTTACACCTGGACACGTGTCTCGCTAACTAACATTTTCAAGAGGAGATTGAAACTTTTAATTAATTTGAGTTTTAATCTTCTCATGAAGATGCTCACATAGTTAGCGAAACACGTGTCGAGGTGTAAAAAATTGTTTTTAAAAACAAACTAAAAAAAATTGGTTTGGTTAGTGGTAAAACAGTGTGTAGTATATTATAGTAAAAAAAAATGGTTTGGTTAGTAGAAAAACAGTGTGTAGTGTATTATCGTGCCAAAGGTTCCAGTCTTCGATATATAAGCAACTATTCTTCGATATTCTGAAAAAAATATTGTAATATCGAACATGAGTGTGTGTGTGTGGAAAAAAAAATTAATGAAGGAGACTGCAAGAGCCTTCTTACCAGGTGTTTATTTTCTACGCACTGCATCAGTTCAGCGAAAAGTCCTTCGGCTAGTTCGGCGGCCACTTCAAATGCCCTTTGGATGGTGGCAATGATGTACTCTTTCATGGTTTTCAGAACGGAACACTCATACCTGAGTATCAAAGTTCGATGTTAATCAATCAGATTCCATTAATGTAATTTACATATCTCAACTATATGTCTATGATCTCAACGAATATTTTTCAAGAACAATGTGAAAACATGCTGTTACTCACTTTTTTCTGTGAACGTTTGTCATTGAGAAGTGAAAATAGAGAAAAACGAAGACAATTTGCGGAAAATAATATTTTCCATTTTCATGTTGAGAACGTCCGAAGGTAAGTGAAATTATATATTTTGCAATTTCTAGATTTCTGGGATGCCAGGAAATACTTAATTTTTGACCTGTGCAAACTTAGCCCAATTTTTTTCATCTCGACTTTGACAATATCTACTAAACAAAGTATTTGCTGGATTCTTTTCAACGGTTCAAGATTAGTTGAGAATTCTTTGGGATTATTAGAGGTTATTAGGACACTTCAGATAATAATATCTTCCGATATTATAATAAAATAAAGTTTATGAAAATTCGCCCCAAATGCGCATAAACTGCAAAGTGAACACATAAATTTGATCAGACACTTTTTATGGAAAATAATTCTGAAATATCAATCCAAATTTTGAGAATGTCAACAAACAAGGTGTTGTCGTAGATAGATAGATTCCACACGTTTTTGGATAGGCCTATGCCGAATTTCGAAAAGAAAAGGTTGACTCAAAAGTTGAAAATCACCCTGTATAGAGAAAAAGTCTTACTTGCACATGAACGCTATAATATCGGCGGCTCTTCCCGAACCATCACAAACCACAACGGGTACCGGTGGTTCGTCTGTGACGTATTCCAAGACAGCTCTTATCGTATTGGTACCACCTTCAATTACCAGACACACCAGGGGGATAGGACTCTGTGTAACTGAAAAATCCGGCAATGATGAAAACTGATCGATATACTGTACATCAAAGTTAATTCTATAACAAGAGAAATTCTAATTTAGCCTTTCGAATTTGGGACCACAGCTGGTAATTTGAAACAAAAATATTCCATCAGACATAATACAATCTTTGAAGTATCATTGAAATGAACATTACATATTTGTTAATTCACAGTCACACAAACTCTGGATATGAGTTGAGAATTCTCAGTTGAACAGTATATCTTTCCATTTTTCTATCCAACTGAACAATGAATGAAAAACCATTAGACAAGTAAAATAGTGCAGAGTGAAGTGGAGTAAACCAAAGCGATTTCATCAAATCCATTTACTTACATGGGTATAACCTCTGTTTTGATATGTATTTTTCTAGTTTCCTCCTAAGAATAATTTCCGCACCGTATTTCCCAACAGTTCCATTGTCTACGAGAAGGAAATACGCGTGCCTGTTATTTAAAGCTGCATTTTTAGATCTGCAAAAAATAAACACTCAGTATCATCCCACTCGGAAATTGTCAACAACTATCAAATCTTCACGTCATCCAACTTTTAATCATTCATCACATCAAAATTTCAGTAAATTACTCATCAACATGTCTCACCCAACGAACTGAACCCAACAAAAACCAATCCAAATCTTCAAGTGATGATATCAAGAGCAGTACTCAGCTTATTCAAAAACAGACAAATAATCAGAAGAACCAGTTATTCGACAGTCAAAAGACTCTTCAACGATACCACTTCCAAGAACAATGCCATCCAAATAAGGAACATACACAACACCAGGTTACCCAAAACTCCAGACCTCATCTACATTCCACACGTCATACGATGGCTGAAGACCAAGTTCCAATTCAAGTACCTGCAGAAAACCTGGGACCCCGAATTCACAGAAGGCGCTTTCATATACGGTACATCCAAAGCTGTGTGCAGAATCACAGAAATCATTCACGAGGACAAGCCTGAAGACCTAGAAGGTCTTCTTACTCCCACCACCAAGATAAAATTGAAGGAACAGATGAAGGCCATCTTGACCAAGTCGCAGAAGGCTATCATAAAGCTGAAGCCGGAGGATATCAAGATTTTGGTGCCGATGAACGTTTGTCTTAAGAACGAAGGGTTGCAGAAGAGTTGCAAGATTGGGATGAGGGTGCTTGCTCTGAAATGGTTTCAGCAGAAGAATGGCGCTTTGAGGTTGGTGTTAGTGGCCCTGCAGACAGAGTTCTTGAAGGATTACAAAGATGGCAGCAACTCGGATTGGATTATTAGCAATTTCGATATTTTGGAATGTGCAGTGCTCACCCAATCGACTATGTGACCAAATACGAAACGAACGTACCAAGAACCCTACACCTGGAAACCAGATTCCAATTCAAGAACCTGCAAAAAATTAGGGATCCCGATTTCAATAGAACAAACTCGAAGATTTAGGAGGTTTCCTGACCTCTACCACCAGGACAAAATTGAAGGAACAGATGAAGGCCATCTTGACCAAGTCGCAGAAGGCTATCATAAAGCTGAAGCCGGAGGATATCAAGATTTTGGTGCCGATGAACGTTTGTCTTAAGAACGAAGGTTTGCAGAAGAGTTCCAAGATTACGATGAGGGTGCTTGCTCTGAAATGGGTCCAGCAGAAGACTGGCGCTTTGAGGTTGGTGTTAGTGGCCCTGCAGACAGAATTCTTGAAGGACTACAAAGATGGCAGTTATAAGTTGGCAAAAAAACGAACTCCCATTCAACAACCAGGAAAAACTTGGGATCCCAATTTTAAGAGAAAAAACCTGAAGACTTAGGTCTTAGGTTGGTGCAGATGGCATTGCAGATAGATTTCAGATTGGTTCATCAGTGATTTCGACATTTTGGAATGTGCGCACCCAATCGACTGTATGATTGATGCTGATGAAAAATCACTTAAAACAGAAACAGCAAATTGTAACGTAAAATAAATTTGGGCTGCTACAAAAACAGAGTCTGGTGACTTAATATGTATATTATTTCAGTTCTCAACATACACAAGTGAATTTTTCCATTATTTTTTCAGCTACTGTAGGAGGAACCTCACGGATCTATCTCAGGCCCGGTTATATTCAGCTAATGTTCAAACGATTAAATAAAATATCACATAGGAGTGGAGGAACAACTATATTTCAATTCTTTGTTAGTCAGATACTATGACTTGCCAAAAATAACTTATATTTCTAGTATAAGGAATGAATGATGAATGAAATACATATGAACAGAAAATGAGTGTTTTGGTTTCTTATCTATACTTACCGAGGTGATGATATGGAATGATATGGTACTTCGGTATGTTGTCCAATAAGGTCTTGATTGTTTTCGACTATGCCCCAAGGTGCTATACCTAGGGTGTTCACCCGACCAGTCCTCTGAGATCTTTCTAGTAAAAGCGCATCTCCTACGTGTTTTGTTACACCTAAAAAATAAAGCGATTTGTTAGATGAAAAAATTCAAATATTGAAAATTTGGATTATCTACAGAAATTGCTCAGTAACCCAAGTAGATGCGGTAGAATTGTGTTTTATTTCCATTGATGTACACACTTATTAATTAACCACAAATTAACTGAAATCTCAAATTCTGAAATAAAAGATTATCTCGTAAAAATTTCTACTACTGTCGACTTCACTCGAAGTTTTCTTTCAGCTTATTTCAAATAATGCAATTTCAAGGGGAGTTGTGTTTTCTTTGGAACTCAGCATGTCAATTATCATACTTTTGGTAGGAATATTTTCAATAATTCGAATGCAAAAAAAAATGGAAAATTTGAAAATGAAGCACCGATTTTCTGTTTCTGGTTTTGAATGGATTTTACATTTTTTCTGCTCCAATGATCGTTCAGGTGCTACATTTTAACCACATGAGAAATATTTAATTATCTCTCCAAATGAAGCCTGGGCGCCATTTTGGAATATTTTCTCAGATGGAATGGAATGAAACTCTATTACCCTATCAGAATATCAGACCGAAATATTCACCCAGAACGAAATATCTAGCCCCTAGTTCTCGATCCAGAAAAATCCGTAACAGAATATAATAAATTCGGTCAATCAGTTGAAGAAATATCACTATTAGAATTCAAGTCATTTTGAAATTATAAAAAATTCTGAAATTGTTGACATGATCAATTTCCTAAGAAAAAGGAAGAAATCTGCAAGAATCAAATATCTCAAATTCGAATGAGCATTTTCAAATGTTTCAAAATGAGTTTCATGGAATATCTTAAAAACTGAACGAAATATCAAAAGTAATCTAGCGAACCATAATTAAGGCACTGAGCAGTAGAAGTATACAGTCTGTCCAAGATAAGGTTGAACAGCATGGGGATCTCGGAAACGGTAGGAGATACGAAGTCGCTTAAATGGGGAAAAAGTTGCGCATTCGGAGGCTCATATCAAGAGCCTTCAAAAATTTTGAAAATTATTTTTAGTTTTTGAGTTATATCGAAAAAAGTGAATTTTTGGAATTTCTATTTTTTTTTTCTCCGTTATTATCAGAGATACAGAAAAACTGAAAATACTTTTTCATTGCAACTTTTGATGAGGTTTAACGTGGTGATACCAATTTTTTATGCGACGTTTCGTATTCGTGGAACCATCATCAACTTTTGTTTTTTAAATACGGTCCTGATAATATTTTCACAGATTCTGAAAGGTTTTTTTATTCTGATTTCAACAATGTACTATACAAGGTGATTCGAATGTGTTTCGACCTATTTCTATCCATCATCAATGTTTTTTCGAACTTCCAGAAGAAAAAAAGCCATCAGTTCCACTTATTTCTTATCATTTAGTGTCAAACTTGATGGATTAGTTATTCAATACTGAAAAGTGAATAAAAAATATTTCACTACATCATTCGATCAATGCAGCGTTTAAAATTGTTGATGAATTCTTACACGAATTACTTTAACAACTTAACTTTGACAATACCTACAGAGACATTCATAACAAATGTTCAAAATGATAACCATTATTTTCTGAACAAAGATATCCTCTTCTCACAGTTGTTTCTAAGACATTGCTAAGCATTTCTGGGGTTATTCTATTGAATGCTTCGAAGACACTGTCCCTTAGTTCTTCTTCATCCTCAAAGTTATTTGCGTGTACAAAGTTCGATATACCCCCTAAGAAAAAATCCAGCTGTGTTAAATCAGGCGACCGCGCCGGCCAAGGGATAAAAACGCACGGACTTCTCTGGAATTATGTACCGGAGCGCCATCTTGTTGAAACCAACAGAGTTCTGAACTTCCGCAATCGGTAAATCATCCAGAGCTTCCTCAAGATGATTCTCAAGCGAATTTCTATAACGTTCGGAAGTCTGTGTTTCATGGTAAATAGAAGGAACAATAATTCGTGTACCAAATATTGCAACCCACATATTTAAGCCGAAACGGTGTTGGTGTCTTGCTGTAATGTATAATTGTTCATTTTCTCGTGAACAATAATGTGTATTTTTTCTATCGATGCTACCATGATTAGTGACCATGGCTTTCATCAGTCCAGATGATTGTTCGAAAGAAATCTGCAAAATTTTAACATTTCCTGGTATACCACTCACAGGATGTCTTGCGCCTTTCGTCATCTCCTGGTTTTAGCGCTTGACATATTCTGAATTTGTATGGATGGAATTTTTGTTTCCGCAAAATGAAATGGGTTGTTGATTAAAACCAGTTGATGGGGTATTAGTGTGGTGACTAATTTTCCTTCAAAATAAGTGGAACTGATGGCATTTTTCCTTTGGAGTTTCGAAAAAACATTGATGATGGATGGAAATAGGTCGAAACACAAATGAACCACCTTGTATAATACATGGTTGGATTCAGAATAAGAAAACCTTTTAGAATCTGTGAAAAAATTATCAGGACCGTATTTAAAAAACAAAAGTTGATGATGGTTTCACGAATACGAAACGTCGCATGAAAAAATCGGTATCACCACGTTGACCGTCATCAAAAGTTGCTATGAAAAAAACTTCTCAGTTTTGCTGTATCTCTAATAATAACGAAGAAAAAAAAATAAAATAGAAATTCCAAAAATTCACTTTTTCCGATATAACTCAAAAACTAAAAATAATTTTCAAAATTTTCGAAGGCTCTTGATATGAGCCTCCGAATGCGCAACTTTTTCCCCATTTAACCGATTTCGTATCTCTTACCGTTTTCGAGATCCCCATGCTGTTCAACCTTATCTTGGACAGACTGTATTTGGTAAGTAGCATACTGAAAAAAAAATTCTGATATCAATAGTAGGTCGTTGAAGGAGCATTTCCATGCATCAGTCCTCCGATGTCCGATATAATGATATTGAAATGTTCCTATTGGTAAAATATTTTGAATGACTTTTTCTTACAGAAGACACCTTTCTTGTCAATGAATATTCATCCATATCTATTATATCTTTTTTTCTGTGACGGGAAAAAAGTTTGGCATTTCATCTCTGTTGGCAGGTTATAAAATGTCACTTTTCATAAATTACTTTTTTTCCGTGGGAAAAAAGAGTACTTTTTCCCGGATATATATCACATATATATACACTGTTGATGGCTTTTGTTGTGCTATAGTTCCGAAAAATGAGTCAATACTTCCGTCTCCGAGAAAGAACTGCAAGTCCTTTCATCTTCCATTCAACTTCGCGGTTACGTATATTACTAAACAACCACTGAATTCGCAATTTTTTGAAATCAAATCACAGAATTAGACTGACAGAAGTGACATCAGATATTTGATTACTTCAAAAGAATGATAAAGATGCCTACAACGCAGGTGTGTCCCTACTGTTAAAAACTTAAAATTTCACGTCGATAATTTTCAGATTTCAAAATGTAATATCTTCTCAATATCGATTCGCTAAAATCTACTACTTTTTTCCCTTGTATAATAAATAACTATTTAGTTTTTCTTAAACTTGGTATTTTTTCAATTTCTTTTTTTTTTTTTTTTGTTTTTTTTTTTTGTTTTTTTTTTTTTTGTTACCCGTATTCGTTCCTCCGGTAAATATCCACGCCCCGGTGGACCTCGCGGCCTTCAGCAGCCCCTTCCTCAGCACCTTCTTCAGCTTCGGCTGCAGCTCGAAGTTCGGCTTGCCGCCCTGAATCGAGATGAGCAGCTTCGGCAGCTCCAGGTTCCATTCTCGCGTGGTCAGCTGCATCAGGTGTTCGGGCTTCGTGTCGTGGGCCACTCGAATATACTGAAAATTGATGAACAATATGAGAGAATTGAATTTGAATGAAAATTCCACGCCAAACATTTTCGATCAATTTAAAGCCTGTATTTCGTATCGTTACCATAGCAACTAAACAAATTTCTTGGAAATTTTTTCCTCCTTGGGGGACGGAGCATGAAAGTACACTGGAAATTTTTTGAATGAAATGACATTTACATTCAACGTCAGATTATTTCGAGTTCATTCTATAAGTCAATAAATTAAACAACAGTTTACTAATATTATGTAGGTATACTTGCAATATAATATTTCAGTGCGAAATTTTCTTACCGAATACCACTTTAGCTTCAATTAACAACGGGGAATTTTTTCTCGAACACGAATATTTAGAAAATTCTCCCTCGTGAATTTTCATATTATTCGTGTTCTCGAAAAAAATTCCGGAAATAATTGAAGCTCTCGTGATATTATGAGTGAAAATTCCACACCAGTGATTTTTATGACAAATTACCATAGCAACGTATGCATTTTAGTGGAAATTTTTTATGACGTTCCAATGACAGAATGATATTTTGACGTCCTAAAATAGTGATATTGTGCCACTTCAATTGGGTAGAAATCAACAATTAATTAAGAATCCATTGATGCCCTGCATCTATTATATAGAATGTCATACCACTACCTGGGCTTAAATTCGAAATTCTGGTACTGATACGCTTCAGGAGTCGAAACTTTAAAAATACTCGTAATAAATTATTTTGTATTGCACAAAATCAACATGAAATAAGTTTGCAATCTACTGAGCTGTGAGCTAGAAGCCAGATGGAAAGATTTAAGATAGATATACAGAATGATTCAGGTTTTAAGGTACAAACTGAAATGGGTGATAGATGTTATCATAATAATCAAAAAAGTTCATAAAAACATTATTCCTAGAAGCTGAGCTATAGGAGGTCAAAGTTTCATTATTTCTTTCTATTAATTGAAATATCTCGCTCACTTCTCGATACATCAATTCGAAATTTGGTGCGGTTGATACTTCCTAGAAGACCATCGTTTTCAGGCTTTTAAAGACTTTTAATATCTACAGGGCTATAAGATGTAGAGGCTTCTTTATCCCTCCCAAACTTTTTCGTAATCGCCTCTGATATCTTCCAGTTACCAAATCGGTTAGTTCCTCCGATTTGGAGGCTTTTTTGGCTCTCCATTTTTTTTCGAGAAACGAACCGTTTTCGAGATGTATGTATACATCCTTTCTAAAACATGTAAATTATGTCGTCAATGTTTCGCTCAAATTTTATTCTTGTACAAAATTAGTTAAAAATGGAATGAAACCTGAATAAACCTCAAGAAAGTTATGTTTAACATTACTCGGTACGAACCGTGTAACTAGCGCCTTCAATGAGAGTCAGATATAAAAACAAATTTATGCGATGTATCAGCTTTCAAAACACATCCATACAAACTTTCATTACAATGTTGCCAGTAGTTTCGACATAATTGTGTAAAAAAACATTTTTTCAACAATTTTTTTCAACTGAGCAAGCTCAATTTATTTTGCAGTGTTCTACCTACCCTAGCAAGGGGGTCAGAGTTTATTGAAACACCCTGTATAATGCTTACGAATTTTCCGCATCTAATTTTCACGCCTTTTTTGCGATCCAACTTTGCCTTGATGAGAAAATAGAATTAATAGAGAACTAAGAGCGTAGGAGTTATATACCCTTGGAAGGATAAACCCGGACCCTGCGAGAGACATTCGGCGTTATCTCAGGGCGATTTATATCGCCTCGTTGAACCGTGCAAATGATCTTTCCTGCTGAAGATTCAGGAGAGAGTTAGCTAAATGCACCAGCAATTGGAAATCGAATAGGAATCGGTTGATCGGAGAGATCCTTAAATTGGACCGTTCAATTTATGATGCTATGGGAAATGAGATATCCAAGGGTTATTCAGTCAGCGCCTGTGGAGTAATTAAAATTCATCCCAGGGGGAATGTTCCAATATTCAATATTAAGGAAAAAGAAAATTGACTACATAATGACTATATACTTTGCACTATGCACTTTGTTCAGAAAAATATAGTTAGTCATGTATTTGTCAATAAAAAAAAGATAAATAGAATAAAAAGTCAAAAAAGTAAAACCGAACTGATTTTTGCTGTAAAATTAGTGTTTTGCCCGAAAGAAAGAAGTTCTTTCCCAAGATTATTTCGAAAAGGCAATTTTGAAGATTCATTTCGAATTTGATTATGTTCCTTGATTATTTGAACATCAAGCTGGGCCCGAGGCTGGGCCTATGTATGAGCAACTGATGCCTTGGGTATAATTTTTTTGGCGCAAAGACCGACTATATTTTCATTGTTGGTGACATCACCTTGCTGTGACACATTGATCTTTGGTATTTTGAGTACTATTGATTAAAAAAATATGGAACTTTCTGAGTACGCCACTGACTATATCTACATACAATATACATCTTCCAGTTCACTCATTCACTTCTCATTTTCTTTTAGCCTGATTGAGTATTCATGATATTTCACTAGAACTGCTAGTTAGTTCACAAAATTCAATTTGAAACAATCTGAAATGTTCATTAAATAACCTTTGGGATTCCTTAATTTTTGAAGGTTTTCACTTAATTTTCTCAGAAGATTGTTTTTAATAATGATGTTCATTATTTGACACGAGTTCATTTTCGGAATCGGTATGATAGAGTGTGTAGATACCGTGCAGAATAAGTTTTTTATGCAAAATGATCATGTAATGATACACAATTGATTGTTTCCAAGTAAGTATGTATTCCTATAGGCCGAAAATCAGTTTCATAATAAGAAGTACGTGTTTTCATTTGCCAAAATCTGTTTCATAATGAAAGTCAGTATTGATACGTTGGTAGCAGATATTTGATACGATACTTAATAACTGAAAAGACATTTTAATGATACTCATTTTCCCGAGAAAATACCCCAATAGAAATCGGGAAGACAAGTGAAAGGAACTCAATAATTTCATATTTTCAGCCCTTATTATTGAAGAATTGGCACATTCACAAAGAAGTTAGGACAATATTTGTTAATTATTCTTCCTGATCCTGATACATTATGGGCATCAATAGTTCACTAAATTCCATTGAATTTTTTTCAGAAACACGCATTTTCTAATTATTCGTGTTCGAGAAAGAATTTCCGGGTTTTAATTGATGCAAGTGTGGTATTCGGAGAGAAAATTCACGCTGAAATTTGAAATAATAATAATAAATCAAAATAATGATAAAATACTAGGGTACGATACTTTAGTTACACAAAATAATTAATCATTCCACTAAAGTTGGTGAAAAGATATTTTCCTACAAGGAACTCGACAGACTGTAGTATAAATATAATTCTCATCCATAACATTTTTGGATTAAATAAAACACAATTAAGTAACTTTAATTACACAAAATTTACACAAAATAATGAAACATAAGTTGATAGTATCTCAATTCCTCAGTTTTTCACTAATTCATTTTACTAAAGTTGGTAGGGTATATATTTTCTCAAAAGAAACTCGAAGTACTATTTAGTATATAAACAAAATTTGCTCACGTGATATTATTAGGTTAAATAAAATATGGGTGAACGACTTAAGTTACTTAAAAGAAATAATAAAAAATGAGTCGGTAGTAGCTCGAGCTCTCAGTTTTCTACAAATTCATTCAGCACATCTCACAAGGAACTTATCAACGAGAATATCATTTTACCTATAAACCTCAAAAATATTCCAGTGTAATTCCATACTCCTTCCTCCAAGGAGGAAAAAAACAGTTCCAGAAATTTCTGTTGCTATTGTAACGATACGAAATACAGCATTTTAATTAGTCGAAAATGTTAGGTATGAAATTTCCTAAAAAATACCCCTAGGAATGAATAGGTCCCAGAACTAAAGTGATAACGACCTTCTTACTGGTCAAAAATATGACGAGTAAAACGCTCGATTGAGGCTGTTTCAGTGTTCAGCCAAAAACATTTTTTCATTCGTGAAAAGCATACTTGCAAATCTCTTATGCCCTCGTGAAAGCTACCAAACTCATTCAGGATTCAATTCGTTCAGAAGGCCAAAGAGAGAAGCCATTTCTCCCTGACACAAGATAAACGTATAAGTCGTTGTGATGTAAGTAGTGGGAATGGAGTGTTTTTTCCGTAATCTCCAAATCTTCTGAGACATAAAACATGTCAGAATAGAGAGCGAAGGCATTCGCAGAACTGAGAGGACACATTAAGGTGAGTTCCCAATGCAGCTTTTTTGCTTTTCGCGTCACGAAAATATCATAGTGAAAATGAGATAATCAGGTAGGTACTTACTTCAGGCATAGATTACTATGCTTCAGGGATACTGCAATGATTTACTCAACTTGAGATCACTTTCTGTAATGAGGTTGCATTCAAAATGTCTACATTTTCATGAAAAATCTGGTGTTGAAAGAATTCATATTGCTTCAATGAATAGGTAGCGTGCACGATGACCGACCCTGGAGGCAAAATATTGAAACACAACCTCACTCTTCTGTGAATTATTGAAACACAACCTCACTCTTTTATTTGTTTACAGAGGATTCAAAAGGTTGAAATAGTTTTTCACAATATTTTGGCATACGAATCGTGTTTTTTGCGCTATTCATTAATTCGAGCATGCCTTCGCATTGTGCTGTTGTACAATGCACAAAAAATGCAAAAAGAGACTAAAGAATATGATTTTTCAGGTAAATAGTAATCTCACATAGTTATCATTATGGAATGTTGTCATTCCTTATTAAAATTCCTTCTGCCTTCTGCCACTTCTGCAATACAAGCTAATACTGCCAATAGATTGAAAATGTCTACAACACACACGATCGTCAGCATGTCAGACCAGTCCTCCCGATTGATTGCATGAATCCAATTTTCTTGCATTATTTTAGAAATTTCAGATGTATTTCTATTAGCAAAAATGAAAACTATATGTGAGTGACTATAGTAGGTACTTACTTTTAAATCATATTGT